CAGCATCTTCCTCACTGGGCCATCGCGGAATGCTGAATATCAATATTGTTTGTCATCGACATGGTGTTTCACACCAAAAGAATTCGTCAAACATTCTAGCCTCTGTCGCGTTCTCAAGTTTTTTGGAAAACGGGACATAACTCTAATACGGATGATCGCGGAACGTTGAATATCGATAGGGTTTGTGCTTTCATGGCAACAATACTTCACACCAAACTCGACAGATTCGTCAAAAATTGTAGCCTACAGCTGTATGTATCGCGTTCATAAGACAATTGTTGAAGGGCGGATCGACGGACAGACATGGTGGCGACATTATGTACACACATGTGAGCGTATAAAAATTAACGGATTCTCATGAAACGCGATCTTGGTCTGAAACTGTGATATACAATAAACCATAATATCAATCATCTCTTAGTTTAATTTTTAAAATCAGTGACTTATGAGTTCGTTCGACGTTGAGTCAATTCAGGTAAATTTAAGTCACCAAATATCATTTTAGTGTGTGAAGTGGACGTCAAACCCTATGTCTCTCTCATTTCAGGTAATTAATTTCTCACCGTAGGACTCTTTTACATACCCACTTAAAATAATATTTAGATTGGTTATTGGACCCTAACGTATTGGTAACCAATTATTCACTGTATACAGGACTCTTTGACATTACCGAAACAATAATATTTAGATTATGTTATCAGTCTACGTCTTAATATGACGAAGTGCACAAATACAATAGCGATATAAGAGTCATCAAATTTTTGTCGACATGTAAAGTGATTCCAGGCTATAATTTTGATTTTTTAAAAAAAAATCTAAGATCTTTACTTTAGATATTAAATCATATTTTCTTGCTGGGGAATTTAAGTGATCACAATGTACAATACAAAAGGGAACAAATTGAGAAAGCTGATAATGTGTGTTGTTCAGGCTAATACATGTCTGATTTTTTCTAATTCGTCATATTTGCTACCTTGTTTAGGTACAGGTGGAAACTATACTCCCACGGGGTGAATTCAATAAACAGCATATTTAGAGAGAGCTTTAAAAAAAAAAAAACTTTGCATGGCTCAGGATATTATTCCCTTTAAGGGTCATGCGAATCATTAGTTTAAAGGTACAGCATCCCAAACTATTCACATATTTCAAAAGTCAAAAATATATATTTTAACATAAATGATACCATTGTTCTAGTTATGTAATTCATCTGGGGATTGAACAAAGCTCTATGAAAAATGGGTTAACTTGTATGAAAAACACATGTAGCAGAACTTGTATTCCTGTATTTCTCGAAATAATGGTGACTGTGTGAAATCAATAGAAACCATTGTCAACTTAAATTACCACACCGTATGGATTTCGATCGGTTTGAATAATATTTGAACCAAAATGTTTGTAAATAAAAATACTTTTGATTGTGCTTGTCTTAATGTTTAACCTGTTTGGGCTTTAATATACTTTAATTGATTAATATAAAATGAGATGGTGATTCATGACAGTGGGTTAAAGCAGGGGCGTGGTGACCCATGATTTTGGATTAGGGACAAGATCCCGTCCGGGTCCCCCCAAAAAACAGTATTTATATGTGCATGTGAGCGAGGGAGGGGGTGGGGCGGCAGTTGGACTGTGTGGAACATGCTAGAGAGAGAGAGAGAGAGAGAGAGAGAAATGGGGTTTAACGTCCACTCGACACAAACTAGGTCATTTCGGGACTAACATATGGTTTAATTTTATTTCAATAATTTGCTTGCGCGTAGGGGTCTTTAGCAGTGGGAGGAAACCGGAAGACCCGGAGAAAATCCACGAGGTTGGACAGGCGACCCTACTCCTTGTCACGTACAACCGGGGATTCGAAACCCCGCCAGTTGACTCAATGACAGACTTTATGATACAGCGCGCGCACGCTAACCATTCAGCCATCCAACCCCCCTAACATGCTAGAGTCGATTTGTATCTGACCCACGGTATATGTTTGACACTGGTTAAGCATTATGATTTTGATTATAAAGTTGAAAACTGTATTGAAACCGCGTGATATTTTGCCATTTGCGAGGGGGAGCAAAAACTTAAGGGATCGCAAAAACTCAAAACCATGACGCAATTAAGCGTCCCACTCACTTAGCCCCTGGGTTAAGGTGAATTCATAATAAATCAGTAGATATGACGTGTTATTCAAATTAGATTGTCTGCAGAATTTGAGATAAATTTGTCAAATCACAGTTGAGATATAGACGATCCATACTGTCTTCTGGAAAATAGGTATGAAGTTAAACTCCATTTCATTTCATTTTATTTGCTTTCAGGGTAAGCAAATAATGAACACAGTTGGCGAATTGCTCCTTAATTGCCACCAGGGTGACGTCTATAATAAACTTTCATAAATTGTTATCTATATTAATATCTAATTGACACGTCTTAATGTACTTCTCTTTAGGTTTGTTTTTTTGGGGGGGTTTTTTGTTTGTTTTTTTTTTAAATTTTTTGTATCCAACTAGATTTAAATAGCGACGTAAGAATGGCCTTATAATTCCTTCAGGTCTAATTTCTACTATTTGAGTCAAAGAAGAGTTTTACATCCTGATCCGGAACTTACACTGGATGGTAGTCCCATTCCAGTTGTAGATGAAACGAAATTCTTGGGTTTGATATTTATTTTGAAAAGAAATTATTATTTATCCCCATATCAAAACCCTGAAGAAGAAATGTCTGAAAGCTCTCAACATATTGAGAGTCTTATCAAACACTGACTGGGGGATCACGTGGCTAAGTGGGTAAGACGCTAGCTTGCTAGCCTGGAGGTCGGGTGTTCGATCCCTGCATTGGCAGAGAAAGTTCATCCAGATTTTCCGGCGTGGTTCTCCCTTGTCAGTGATGCAGGACGGAGGGGCTGACAAGGAAAGCTGTCTAGTCGTTCGGATGGGACGAAAAACCGAGGTCCCGTGTACACATTGGCGTGCACGTAAAAGATCCCTTGGCAGTTGGAATTCGATATAAGAGTAGGCCGTAGTGCCGCTGTCCGGGCAAAATTTCCCTCATAGCACACTGTATGGCGTATGCCCGTCTTCATTAGCCCAGGTTAGGAGCAGGTTTAACAGTAGGACGTTAAACTCCATTTCATTTCATTTCATTTCAAGCACTGACTGGGAGCAGACCGTATAAGGTCCTGCTCAGATTATATCGAGCATTAATAAGATCTAAACTCGATTATGGGTGTATTGTGTATGGGTCAGCCCGTGAGTCTTATCTCAAAGAGCTTGACACCATACACAACCAAGGACTTAGAATCAGTTTAGGAGCATTCGGAACATCTCCAGTGCAGAGTTTATACGTCGAGGCGCACGTGCCCTCATTGCACGACAGACCTGATACACTTGCACTGCAGTATGCTACAAAAATTGCATCTCTGCCTCATCATATTTCATTTAACACCATATTTAGACCCTATATCATGAACATCTATATTTACTAAAAACTAATGTTATTCCGTCATTCGGTATTCGCATTTAACCCCTTTTGTCTCAGGCTGGTATCAGTCAAGACAGTATTGCGAATACCCCTTTCTTTGAGACACCAAAAATTGCATCTCTGCCTCATCATATTTCATTTAACACCATATTTAGACCCTATATCATGAACATCTATATTTACTAAAAACTAATGTTATTCCGTCATTCGGTATTCGCATTTAACCCCTAACTTTTGTCTCAGGCTGGTATCAGTCAAGACAGTATTGCGAATACCCCTTTCTTTGAGACACCAACATGGTCCATTTCTCCTCCCAAGATCGATATCGATCTTACAAAAAACAAAAAGAAGGATACTAGTTCCACGGTGTTTCAGTCTCTCTTCAGGGAGTTGAGGTCTAAATTAACTAACTATGGTGAGTATGCTCCAATTTATACAGATGGTTCTAAAGATGGTGATCTGTCACGCCATTTGAGACCATTTCTGTGCGTCTTCCCCTACTGCTTCCATATTTACTGCTGAACTCCAGGCCATCTTTCAGGCTTTGGAGTTCATTAAATCCTCTTCATTTTTAAAATACATTATATTTACTGATTCTTTGTCCTCTTTACAAACAATAAAAAATAAACAGCTTGTACACCCGTTAGTGGCAGACATTTATCGTCTGCTACTATCACACGAGTTTAACAGCAAGGACATTGTCCTTTAAGCTGGCTCCCCAGCCATGTTGATATCAAAGGGAAAGATCAAGCAGTCTGCTTTAGATCTTCTCATATCTCAATTTCTTTTACCTTTCACATATTTTAAATCTTCTATTAACTTTTTTATTTATGAACGCTGGCAACGGTCTTGGGATCTTGCAGGCACAAATATACTTCATCACATTAAGCCTCTCTTAGGAGACTGGCCAAGCTCCTATAGGACCAACAGGAGGGATGAAGTTGTTTTGTGTCGCTTTTGTATTGGTCATACTTTTTTCACTAACATTTTCATATTAAAGCGAGGGCCTCAACCAGAATGTGAACACTGTCATTTTGACTGAGTGCAAGCATCTTAAAGATATAAGATCGCAATTTTACCGTTATCAGTCATTACTTGATCATATGTTTGCCCAACCGGGTTTATTAACAGCGTGTTGTTATGTTAGACTTTTTAAAAGAGACAGAATTTTATCATAAATTTTAATTGTATATATATATATATATCATTTCATTTTTGTTTTTAAATATTTGTATACATAAAAGATTGATTTTATTTTTAGGCTAATTTTACTTAATTAGGCCTACTCAGCTACTGTGATATTGTTTTTATTTATGCATATAATTTTTTCTGTGATATAATTACCATATGTTTGGCTCAATATAAGTATAACCCGGTTTGAGCTGACGTGCTATTAAACATTTCATTTCATTTCATTTCTACTATTTGAAAATAACCGCGGATTTAGAAATTGGGGACGATTGAACTCAGGGGGGATATCCTGGCTATAAATAGTAACCTCGCGTCATGAACAGGATTTCTGTAGAACTCTTCTCTGGATGGAGTCACAAAATTAATATGAAGGAACATGGCTTCTGATGATTTTATTTACGGTTGTTTGTTGATATTTTCAGTGTTTTTTGGAGTGATAATAAAATACTCTAAAGATGAAGGTGTTAAAAGAATAGTAACAACTGTTGTTGGGGTGGTTATGGTCACAATAATATGTCGCTTTCATGCCTTACATTCATTAATAGCGATTTTGGTTAATTGCTTACTGGTGAAATCTATTTCACCGAGGTAGGCTTATAATTTATAAATACTATTTATCTGCTATTGTATTGCTGTGCAATATCTATGTTCCAATATAGCCTAACTTAAAGAAGATGCATGCGAACAATTGGATTGTCTATAAATAATTATTAAGTAGCAATGCAAAAGCTTTTTTAAAATTTGAATCTGGTATTCTGACTAAAACTGAATATTTACTACCATTCCTACCCCACTCCCATTTAAGAAACCAAAAACAAAATACAAAAATTTCCAAATAGTTTAAGAAATAAGAAAGTTATTGCATTAATAACTGATAGACCTTTGCACATTCCAGACATTCATGTTTAAAGCTCGCTGTCGCTCTTGCGCTCCGTTGCTCATCTAGGTGCATATTTGAGTGCCATCCTCAATCCCCCATAATCCCTCTCCCAACTGCGTATTTTATTTCCAAAAAAGTTGTGTAAAATTTGTTCATGTTTATTGCATATTTACTTCCTATTAGCTCCGCCCTGATGTCAATACACAATATATCAATTTGTTATCATTTTCGTTTGTAAGAATCGGTCACGTACATGGTCATCACGCTTTTTAAATAATAATTTTGAAAACAAAGAAACACTCACTGGGCAATTAAATATGCCTAACACACCAACAGTCCAGTACTTTACAGGCTGCCCACCCTAAAGTGCTTCAATTATTAGCTATTGATAAACACCAGTTAACATATTTTCTGTTAATCCATGTATAAGACTCCATTTTGAAATTCTCGTCGATAGCAGCATTATCCAGTGGTTTCACATAAAAATACTACGCTTTGATTACCATATAAGTAAGGCACCACAAGTCTTCATATACGCATTTCATGCTACAAAAATAGTAAAATAACAAACAAGACCTGATAACATGTGGATTGTCATGCCTTGTGACGAGTGATTTTAGTTATCGATTGATTATAAAATACTATTATTTTTATAAAGAATGTAAACGAAATATATATATGGCACAGCTTTTGCTAAGACTCCATTTTGAAATTCTTGGTGATAACGGCATTATCCCGCGGTTTCGTGTGAAAATACTACACTTTAATTACCATATAAGGAAGGCACCACAGGTATTATTTTTCTTTTTTATTTAAAACATAAAAGACACCTAATTATAGTGTTTTCTTCTTCAAATAAAGGGAATTACATATGATTGCGCATGTCATCTCCTGTCCGCAATTCCAGGAGAGTGATTTTCAATTTTTTGCAATCCGAGGAGAGCTTTGTCACCTTTGTCAGTATCGTAAAAATTGTATAGATCGTTAATAACAAGAAAGCGGTTGTGGCCTGCACCCACATCGGGTAGAGTTATCTTTCCTTTTCTATGGTTTGTTTTCCCGCATTTTGTCACTAGTTCCATCTATAGGTTGGTGAATGAAATATGGGTCAATATGACAAGAAAATGGGTCATTCTACGAGAAAATACATTTACTTCCAGTGCCGAGCATGCTTTTGCATTGCATTATATTATATCTACTCTAGGGTTATTTTCAATTAATTACATGTACATTTATTTTCTTATTTAAAGGCCCTGTTTTCACAGGGTCTCCAAAAAAAAAAATGTTTAAAGATGCATTATGCAAGAGCTAAATCTGTTGATGACAGGTTTATTTCTGGCTTCAAATGTTATATAGATTATTATCTAGTATCCACACATTCATTCACATGACAAGCCCAATATCAACTCTCTAGTTCATTGTATTGCTGAAATTTTGAATGGATTACCCGATTAGAACACTTGCGGCACTTGCGCCATATAATAATTTAACGTTAACATGGATAATCAGACTTTATTATCGTAGCAATGCTATTTGAGAATTAAGATTATTTACACTACCGGTATATCTTGTCAAAACTTCAAACACACGCAATTTTGCTTAGAATAAAAGTAGTTTGACTGAAATATTCACCTCTTTATCTAAATCTTACATAATCCATCTTTAAAGTAGCTAAGTCTCTAACTTAAAATCATCCAGTCTTCGATATTGTCAATTAGAATCAACATTGATGTTGTGATCTTACTGGGAAAATATGGGCTTCTGATATCCAATATTTAAGTCAAAATAAACATTTTACTACTGGTATACGAATCATGCACCATAATGCTTTTCAGCACCATTTGTAACAAGGGACTCGAAGAACGGGGCTAGACATATTAAAATAGCGTCACATGTCAAACGGTGATGCCATATTCTTATCTGGAGAGCATGCACAATAAATACTATCGGTGTAGACTGAAATAACTAGACGCTAGAGATTGCTATTCAAATTTCAATTGAAACTTCTGGTGTATTACGCCGAACATTCATATATGCGTAGCAACCATTTGTGTCAATTTCTAGGTCCCAAACATTAGCGATGCAAACATGTCTTCATCTCCACCTGGCAGCTGAATGTTGTTTATTTCTTTCAAAAAGTGTCACAGCGTATCAGATAGATGCTTGAGACAAGAATAAAGGTTTTGAAAAGTCTTACACTCAGAATTAACCAGGTTTATTCTCTGAAAAGCATCTGATGTATCTTCTTTAAATTTTTCATTGCAGGCACATCCATAAAGTAAGCTTTATTTGGGCTTTTGGTTATTTGGCCTTTTTTCGAACTGTTCATCATCTTGGTATACCTGCACCACCGCCATTATCAAATGCTGTTCAATTATTCATTACATTAAGGGTATGGTTGTATTCGATAGTTATATTTTACTTTTAAAGATTACCTTTTAAAAGTTCACAACAGGCCAGGGAATAATGATTTAGTTGTCAGGCATTAATGAACTTGTATCTGACATTTTAAACTTTGTGCCGGACATGTATTATAATTACCATTAAAAACACAGAATATAGGCAAATTTGTGTCAGGCACAATAAGAGACACCAGAGGCATGGTGCCTGACAAAGCCTAAATTTGTTCTTGACAGTATCTGTGACAGATGCCTTTATTTCCCGGCTTGGTTCTCAAATCCGTAAAACATGTTAAATTTTCAAATAACAGCTAACAGTCAATAACAGCTGATGTATGTTGGCAGTTATTATCAGTTGAGTCGTAATATCAACATAAGGCAAGATTTGTTCTTTTATGCACATACTTAAATTATCTGATTGTACTTTCTCCAAATATTATCAATTACACAACGGTTCTATGGTAACATAATGTACCAGCATGGCAACAAGCAGTGGTTAATTTGATATTATATCCATCCTAAAACTATTTTTTTTCAATACTACAGCTTGTTGGGTTAGCATTTGAAATTCATGATTCCAGTAAAGTGACTGAAGATACACAGGATTGTAAATTATTAAAGAAATATAATAATGTACATCAGTGTAATATATGGGAGACATTTAGTTACTCCTATTGTTATATTGGATTATTAACAGGTTAGTACACCACAGGATAATGTTTTTATAAAATATTTGCTGATTTATGGAATTGAATAGCCCTGCTCCCTAATCTTGTTTAAATGTAAGCTGATTGGATTGGTGCCAGTTAGTGGTCTGGTTGTCTTGATTACTTTTAGGTTACATTTTACCAGCTGTTAGTTTGCATCCAGTCACTTCCAAGTTGATAAGAAAAAGATGCAGATGTATTGTTTATTACTTTAATATTAGTGTGTATATATAGTTCTCTCTGGAAGATGCTGAAGTGAATCACGTTGGAATTCAATAAGTGAAACTGTCAATTTTTTTTTATTTAAAACGATTGATTATTGTTATTCATTACACTGCTGTTGTATATTGAGTACCATTATTTGCTTTTCTAGGTCCTTATTATAGATATAGTGTTTACTCATACCTGCTTAAACAACAGAATAGTGATAAAATACCAACATTTCAACCACTATGGGAGAAAATCAAACCACTTCCAGTTATCATGGGAACATTTTTCTTCCTTTCTCATTACCTTAGTGTAGAGGTTTGTATCATTTACAATGCTAAAACAAACTAACATTTTAAAAAGATATAGTATCTAGTTTTTTTTTACAGTATTTAGATGAGCCGAACTGCACAAGCAAAGTGTTTGTGAAACACTCTACATGACAATATCACAATAGTTTTTATATGCCTGGAGCCACGGTGGCTAGGTGGTTAAGGCGCTGGCTCGCTAGCCTGGAGGTCGGGTGTTCGATCCCTGCATTGGCCGAGAAAGTTCATCTGGATTTTCCGACGTGGTTTCCTCTTGTCAGTGGTGCAGAACGGAGGGCCTGAGAAGGACAGCTATCTAGTCCTTCGGATACATTGGAATGCACGTAAAAGATCCCTTGGCAGTTGGAATTCGATATAAGAATAGGTGATAGTGCCGCTGCTCAGGCAAAATTTCCCTCATAGCACACTGTATGGCGCATGCCCGTCTTCATTAGCCCAGTATAGGAGCAGAACAGTAGGACGCTAAACCCCATTTCATTTCATTTTATATGCCCCCCCCACTCGTCCGTCCATCCAGCGTCCACAATTGCTTTTGGACGCTCTAGAGGCTAAAGTTAATATCTAGGTAGTAATATACCCAAAGAAGACCGGGGTGATTTCTGGATAAGGTATGTTTGTATGATTAACTTACCTCTATCTAAGTCAATATAGAGCTGGACCAGAGGAAGATAACAAACCAGAAACACCGCTTTACCATAATAAGTTTAGCAATGATCGAAAAAGCTAATGCTCATAACCATTGCTTCAGAAATATTAAGTAGATAGATCCTTAAATCACATAGTAGAACCACATTCTTTATGTCCTGCATATGATTGGTTGATACTCTGCGGATTATCTGCTAAACCTCAGTCATTCTTCCGCTGAGAATTGTAATAATGGAAGAAAACCCTGCCGTATATTTGTATTTAAAAAGAAAAGATACTATATCAGCAACATTAATAAAAATCTCTTTCAGAGTAGTCATTTTATTTACCTATATATGTATATAGGGAGGGATGATATGTTTGACAATACCACAGAAATCAAGTGGTCATTTCATGCTTACACCCTTATCATGTAAATAACAAATTTAATTCTCATTTTTTTTATTTCTTTAGTATGCCAAAACAGATGAATTTTACGAAAGATCTTTTTTATACCGACTTCTATTCATGGTTCCAATGTTTATGATATTCCGTACTAGACTGTACATTGCATGGATACTGTCAGAATGTATGTGTATGACATCTACACTAGGGGCTTTTCCAGTTGAAGCTAAAGCAAGATGTGGACAGGGGCCAACAGATTTAACAGGTTTAGCAGAAAGGTAAGCATGAAAGAAACAGGATTATTGGCTATCATATTTATACATGCATGTAATGATTTTTTATGTAATTAATAAAACTTAAGTTTCAAAAGTATTTTATGATAATATCTTTGTAAATATACATACTAGTGGATATACAATATAAGAATAATAGTAGCTTGTGTTTTTGTTCATAGTGGATTGTTTCATATAGATTAGCAATTTGTTTCCAATACTAATAGATTAGGTATTTGTTTAATATAGATAGACTTGTAATTTCTGTATCAGTTTCATATACATAGACTCATAGGACTAAGAATGTGATTTGTTCATATTCATAGACTAGTAGATTGTGTATTAGTTTAATATACATAGACTACTAGAGAGTGTATTGTAATAAGTGCAGGGGACTGCACCACACACAAACAAAACCTATAAGACAAAACTACATACAGGACAAACAAACTACACAGACATTTGATCTTGGGCAGCCGTAGGCATCCATTGTGCTGTATAGCCCCAAGTCTGTGGTGATACAGGGCTTCACTCAAAATGAAAGAAAATAACAGTAAGGGAGACAATCCATGAACAAACATACATACTTGAGTCAAATGTGTATTTGTTAAAGCCTCTGAACGTCAGTTGAGGGATATTTCTTTCTTTTTTTCTGTTGATTTGAACACAGTTAATGATTCTATCAGCACAGTAATTTAGCCAGATAACTCTAGGGGTCAGTAATATAGGTACAACCAGAACATGTTGCTATGACTACAAGAGGGTTAAAACATAGGGATCAGTAATTTAGGTATAACCAAAACATGTTGCTCTGCCTACAAGAGAGTCAAAACATAAAGTATTTAAATGACTACCAGTGGCAGTTAGGCACAAATTTTTAACAAACTGTTTCCCTCTGGGAATGGTTTAAAGCAATGTTATCTGTACTATAATTACAGTGAAAAGAAAGAACAAGAATCTTTAGAATATGATTATGAAACTGTTCATAATTTAGATATTTATGGATGTGAATTGGCTCCTAAAACCAAAGATGGTTTAAAAGCGTGGAATATGACAGTGCAGTACTGGTTAGCTGCGTATGTTCATAAACGGGTAACAATAAAGTCACTTAAGTAAGTAAATACTGTTTTGAAATTGTGGAACTTTATTTAAAACATTAAAGGGGTAGCATGGAGAGAGAGAAATGGGGTTTAACATCCACTCAACACAAACTAGGTAATTTTGGGACTATTTCAATAATTCGCTTGTGCGTAGGGGTCTTTAGCAATGGGAGGAAACCGGAGGACCCAGAGAAAACCCTTGAGGTTGGACAGGCGACCCTACTACTTGTCATGTACAACCGGGGAATCGAAACCACACCAGTTGACTCAATGACAGACCTTATGATACAGTGCGCACGTGTTAACCATTCGGCCATCCAACCCCCCTCGTAAATAATAGATCAACAAGGTTTTTCTCCTTTAATCTAGCGGTTTTAAACTTTTTTGTTTCAGGGTAACATTAACAATGGCTGTGAGTGCGTTTTGGCATGGTATACATCCAGGGTACTATCTATCATTTCTAACAGTACCCCCGATTTTAATGGCTGAACAAGCTATGATTAATGCATTTAGAAAAGATGCTTCTCCAGAAAAACAGGCCCGCTTCGATTGGGCATGTTGGTTTTGTAAAATGCGTGGGTTTGACTATATGTGTATGGGATTTTTATTACTTGGTGCACGAGAAACCATACGCTACTGGTCATCTATATACTATATAGTACATGTAGTAACTTTATTATTTTTTATCATTGGATCTCTTGTAGCATTAAAGAAGCACAATACAACTAAAAAAGATTAGCATTCAAGTAGACCCATATTATAAAAGCAGTGGTAATAAGCATTCGTAACTTGTTAACCATTGCAACACTTGATAGGTCAACTTAGTAGACTAATCTAATCAAAACTGTTATGTGTTGTGTTAGTACTTTGATCATTCAAACAGTCATCGACTATGCTTTTCATATGAATCAAGCTGTATGGGTTGAATTCTTGTGGCAATTATGTCAAGTCATAGTAATATACCTGAAGAAGACTGGGGTGATTTCTTCATAAGGTCTGTTTGTATGATTAACTTACCTCTAACTAAGTCGATATAGAGCTGGACCAGAGGAAGATCACAAACCAGAAACACCGCTTTACCATAATAAGTTTAGCAATGATTGAAAAAGCTGATAATGCTCATAACCATTGCTTCAGAAATATTAAGTAGATAGATCCTTAAATCACATAGTAGAACCACATTCTTTATGTCCTGCATATGATTGGTCGATGCTCTGCGGATTATTTGCTAAACCTCAGTCATTCTTCCGCTGAGAATTGTAATAATGGAAGAAAACCCTGCCATATATTTGTATTTAAAAAGAAAAGATACTGTATCAGCAATATTAATAAAAATCTCTTTCAGAGTAGTCATTTTATTTACCTATATATGTGTAGAAATCTTTCTATGGATTCAAGCCTCTGCCAATATTAGCTGATCATGTGCAGAACATGGGGCATGTAGGATTTGATTATACTGTCTGTGTTTATTTGTTACAAGATGTAAATCTATGATTTTGACCTAAATCAAAGAGGCTCTGTCCATTTAAATTAAGCTAGGAACGTGGGGGCCGGGGGGGCACTTTTTAATAACAACATTATCAATTATATATTTATAGATTTCTTCTATGTCAATCAGGCCTAAACTTTATATATTGCATAATTTATGTGAACAAAATATTTCCATCTAAAAAAATACCAACAGCAATGCGACATACTCACAGATGTTAAAATTAATTATATCTTAATTTGTTTAAATATTTTAAGCTATATGTATTATTGTCTTTCCTATATGTTTATATTAGGATTATATCTTTATTTTACTCATAAATATATATAATAATGGACATTTTTAAGACTTAAAAGGGCTTTGCCAGAATAAAAGATAGTCTTTTGAAAATTTGTATTGATAATGCCACATTAGCCCTGAAATTACTTTTCAAATTGTACTAAACAAACAAATCCATATTTTTTGTTTTTACAAGTAATCCAGGGAATTACAATAGCTCAAGTTTAGAATTATAGAGTGCTTGCCACAACACTGCCAATAATTTATTCATTTAATTTATAGTAGAAAGTGCAATGCTACAGAAGACCTTTCATTTTTCTGACTTAACCCTTTTAAAATTTATGTTTTTATTTTTGTTTCAAATAATAAATGTTATTCATTACAAATTTTTCCTCTTATTATGCATATGGAAATGATTGTCATAGCTGTGCTAAAAAGTGAGGAAGCTACTTCGTTGCCTATGCATATAGATGAGATAATAAATGTTGTCTCTAGAATGATCACAAGATATTGCGTACAAAAAATGTACCAACAGACAGGGGGGATGGCAATAAGACCACATTTCAAATTAGGATACACAATTTATTAACATATACAGTAACAATTATTAACATATTTTCCTACTTATCATTTTTTGGCATATTGCACATATTAAATATTATACATTCTAATTTATGGAAAAAGACCACATTTCAATATGTTCACAAAACAAAATATTTTAAATTAGGATAACATATTTTCCTACTTATCATTTTCTGACATATTGCACATATACATTCTAATTTATGGAATGTGGTAAATATATCCATTGATTGTCTGTGACCTCATTTCATCTGTTTTAAACTCCTTCACCAGAAGGGTGAGATAACTCCTGTATAACAAGATGCAGAATCTGGTTCTGTTCTGCTGTTAACATTGGCCAGATTTCTGTTTGTAATGCTTGTAGAGATTCTATATCCCGTGACTGACAGGCCATCTGAAAAGCAATGATATTGTGTAAGCAAATGAAATGGGGTTTAACGTCCTACTGTTCTGCTCTGACTAAGCTAATGAAGACAGGCATCATAGTATGAGGGGAAATTTTGTCCTGATAGCCACGCTATGTCCTACTCTTATATCGAATTCCAACTGCCAAGGGATCTTTTATGTACATACCAATGTGTACACAGTACCTCGGTTTTTCGTACCATCCAAACGACTATACGTTGTCCCTTGGCAGACCCTCGGTCCTGCACCACTGACAAGTGGAAACGTCAGCTAATTCTGATGAACTTTATTGGCCAACGGCGGGATCGAATACAAGACCTCCAGGATAGTGAGCCAACGTCTTACTGAGCTACCGTGGCTCCCGAGATAGCTTCAAACTACAAAACTGCCAAATTTAGGTCTCGTTTTATCGACAAAAATTGAAGCTTAGGTTACAAATACTATATTATGTTTAAAGCATAAATGCGTGGAACCCAGGGAAAAGAAGCAAGGTTCTTTTCTCCTGTTATAATTGATTAGTAACATTAATAAAACTGAGTAGGTAATTAAAATATATTATTAAAAGATTATTATTAAAAAAGAAAACTTACTACAACCGACTGTAAGAGCAAAAATAAATCTTCATTTAGATATTGAGCTGTAAAATAAATAATTTATGATGATAGAGACACTGATAGACTATAGAGACAATTAAAACAAGTTGAATTGTTGATCTATTATTTCGAGGGGGGTTGGATGGCCGAATGGTAAGCACGCACGCGCTTTATAATACGGTCTGTCATTGAGTCAACTGGCGGGGTTTCGATTCCCCGGTTGTACGTGACAAGGAGTAGGGTCGCCTGTCCAACCTCGTGGGTTTTCTCCTGGTCCTCCGGTTTCCTCCCACTGCTAAAGACCCCTACGCGCAAGTGAATGATTGAAATAAAATTGAACAATGTGTTAGTCTCGAAATGACCTAGTTTGTGTCGAGTGGACGTTAAACCCCATTTCTCTCTCTCTCTTTGATCTATTATTTCAATAAAGATTTAGACCTTACAAAATACCCCAACTGAACAGAATAGCACTATGATCATTATTCTTCATTTAGTTTTAAATACCAAGTATCTATGGTTTAATTATTACAGTACATAATTACAGAAAGATAGGTTGCCAGGCAACAAAACATACGCCCACAGCAGCTAAATCGTCCGAGCAGTCGACAAAGGTTCTCGCATATTTATTTATTGTAGGTAATTAGGAGCATTTAATAGACAATATCATTCAGATGACATTATAATTTTCGTCGTTTGAGGGTTCACAAGGTTCTAGAAACTAAAACAAGGGCCGCAATTCTGGAAGTAATCTATAGAAATTGTTGAAATTCAACAGGCTTCAAATAATGCATATAATTTCATGCAGATCGGATGATAACCTTTGTTGTTCAAACGTTCACATGGTTCAACAAAGTAAAACAAGGGCCATAACTCTAGAAGTACTTGACGGAAATTGCTGAAATTCTTTGTTTTACTAATTTAAATTCAATAGGCTTCTTCATTTTACTAATATAAATGATGCATATAAATTTCATACAGATTGGGTGATAACTTTTGTCGTTCGAGCATTCACAAGATTCAACAAAGTGAAACAAGGGTCATAACTCTAGATGTAATTAACGGAAATTTGCTGAAACTGTAACTGCGTAGAGACCTAGATAGACTTGTTCATTTTACTAATTTAAACGATACATATAAATTTCATACAGATCGGATAATAACTTTTGTCATGAGAGCATTCACAAGGTACAAAAAAGTGAAACATTGGCCATAACTCAAGGCGTAATTAACAGAAATTGCTGAAATTCAATAGGCTTCTATGTTTCACTAATTTAAGTGAAGCATATAAATTTCATACAGATCGGATGATAACTGTTGTCATTAGAGCGTTCACAAGATTCAACAAAGTGAAACAAGGGCCATAACTCTAGATGTAACTTAACAGAAATTGCTGAAATTCTTTGTTTTACTAATTTAAATGATGCATATAAATTTCATACAGATCGGTTGATAACTTTTGTCGTTAGCGCGTTCACAAGGTGCAACAAAGTGAAACAAGGACCATAACTCCAGACGAAATCAACAGAAGTTATTGAAATTAAATAGGCTTCTTCATCTCACTAATGCAAACAACATATATCAATTTCAAAACAATCAGATGATAAATGTAGATTGTTCACAAGAAATTGTGGACCGACGGACGGACGGGGGTTTAACATCCAACTTTTCTGTACCAACTGGGCCAGATGACAGCACTGCAGTCTACTCTTTATTTCAAATTCAAACTGTCAGACACTCCGCCTTGCACCACTCACTGAAAAGAGGAGGCTGCAAAATCTTTGGGAACTTTCTCGACCACCAGGGCCGACACCTTACTGAGTCACCATGGCTCCAATCCAAAATTGACATTGAGAAAAGTTATTATCTACCTGATGAATTATCTTCAGTGGTCACCCAAGCATATTTGTCCAATGTCTGAGCATGCTCTGGTCTTATACGTTGTGGCGTTGGCTACAAAAGAAATTATAGAATAAAGGCATGGTTTATGAATAACCACTAGTTGTTTCAAAGCCTATAACATTTTATCATAAGTTGATGATGATTTAGGAGACCCAATTGAAATAAAATCAGTTTTGCTACATAATAAAATCAATGAATCTGCGAAATTCTGTCTACCCTACATTCCAGTCACCAACAAGGGGATGTAACTCTGTCCATTAGTCCCAACACAATATTATCTCCCCTTTGAATACGAGCTGCAGCAATATCAATACCTAAATCATTGTATTTGCTTCAGTTCAGTAAAATATATGTAATATTGATAGCACGACTTACATGAGTTAACAGGTTTAACCAGAGGCCGTAGGCCGAGGTGTTAAACCTGTTATCGAATGAAGTGCGCTATAAATGACTTGTAACATTGACACCATCCTCGGTATCCCCAGTGTACTCGTTCCGTTCTACTCCACTATACCCTGGATTAATCCATAGGGTTTCCACGATTTCAAATTATCTGCCCTGGCCTTGCTTGTAGCTATAGTCTACGAACCAATCAAAAAACAGTTTACAAACCTGTCGTTTCGCCTTCGTTTTTATAAGGGTAGATAACCATTTACTGAAGATTTATGTAAGTAATGTATATATTTCTAATTTATTTTTATTTAATTGTATTATCAAAATATGTAGTATGTTTCGCTGATTTCCAGTATGCATAACATCTATATGTTATTTACGATCCCAAGACCAGCATTTACTAGAAGTTCCCAAATTTAACCTTCAAACTTCTGGATACAAATCTTTCCGGTTCAGTGCTCCTAATTTGTGGAATTCCTTACCATTAAGTGTAAAATGTGTCCCTTCCCTGGAATCATTCAAATCGAGATTAAAGAGTCATCTGTTTGAATGTGAATACAGTTGTATTTGACCAAATATACTGTTGTGTAAATGGTGAAAGATACACAGTGTACATAGTTTTTGGCACTTTGAGCATGCATACCTGTATGGAAATTTGCGCATTATAAATATACACTATTATTTTTATTATTATATGTTTGACTTTTGTTATTATTATTACTATTCGTTCTTGTCTGAAATGCTTCATTCTGTTATGTTTATTATTATTGAACTTATACTTGGCAATTTGATTCACAATAACTTGTCTACGATATCAGGTGGACGTAAAACTCGGCTAACGAACGATTCTCAATAAAACTCTTCAACCTACCTAAACACACGGTCTTCATTGATATAATATTATGTAATTTGTTGTTAATAAATACGCATTAGAATAATTTGGACTTCTCTCATTTATGCTATGTCCTAGCCTTGTCTGTTGAGAGTTACTTCCCTTTTCCAACTTCCTTTACAATTAACGATTTATGAGAATGGTCGATAAAAATAGCACAACCATCAAGGGCGGATAACTTGAAAACGTGTCTCCCCCATAGATTAACCCAGGGGTTAGTGGAGTAGAATGGAATGAAACCACTGGGGATACCGAGGATGCATTGACACTTGCTCAACATGCTTGTTGTTATTGCACAGAAAACCCACCCCACTTCTCTATATGATTTCTACTAAAACTAGTGTAAACCAGCAAAAAGTGTGCAATAACATTGAACATGTCTAGTTATTGCATGGTTAAGCTCCACCCAATCTACTCTAGAGGGGAAACAATCTGCTTATTCAACGAAATGAACAAAGGAAGATTTCCCGTTCATGTTACAATTTATGAACAACTGATAATTTTATTTCTACTCATAAAATGGATATACTAGTACATACCTGTAATAACATCAATAATAATACTCTAGCCACTTCACATTTAACTAATACATCTACATATGGTCCTAATGGTTTACCAGTTGTTGATGAACCTACATTGAAACAAATCATAATATGTAGATTTAATCTTCAAATTCATATTTTTAAATAAATTAAAATTCAATATAAAATAAGATCTCAAAGATATTTGCAGCTGGTATATAGTGAAATGAAAACTTGATAGTAACTGAACAGAGAACACAAGGTATAATTTTATGGATACAATATTACTGATGTTTGGATGAGGTTACTCTCGTCTATATCAAGAATTCTGCTGTGATATCGATTTATCAAAGGCGATCAATGTATTCACCTAAATTAGCCATCAAGTTTTCATAATATAATCTATTTTCTCACCTCCACGTTCTTGTGCTAAATATGTCATCTCTGTTAAAACAGCTAATGCCCCTTCATAATCTTCTGTAAGTAAATATAAATATTGAGTGAGAGAATGATTATGATATTCAAAAAACTATAACACATACTTATGATAGAACAATTATTAATTTATTTGGGCGATGTTTCGAAGAGTATTTTTTAAATTTTTTTCAATGTGTGGGGCAATTATATATAGACAAGCCATAAAAACAAATCAGAAACAAGATACATATTCATAGAGGATTAGGCACCGGTTAATTGTTTGTTTCTCATGACCCGCCTGCATGTCCGTTTTCATCCGTAATAATTATGCACTTCCATAATTATTTGGTCAAATTTAGGGAGGTCACAAATTCGTCCTGTAAAATTTGTAAAACTATATTTGTTTTCCTTCAAATATTAACAATGAATTGACACATTTATCGATAAACATGACACTGTGGGTGATAAGTAAAGTCTAGTAGGCTAGAATGTGAAAAAATATACAAAGTCCATACGTGAAACAGGAAGTTAAAAAAGCTGTATGATATCTGTTATTCGGCAGCATTTTCTTTCAACAAAGACGACATACATACTTCATAAGGCACTTGTCAATTGGCATAAAATTTGCGTAAAGATATAAATGTCTTTAAATTAGTGCTAAAATATTTTATTTACGTGACTAGCACTCTGTGACCAGTTCCAAACCTGCTGCCATGAGATAGCCTCCATCACGAGGTAAGCCTACCGACTGATTGACACAACTTCACAGTATTTTATTAACCACGACACTCTATAAACTCAGTCTCAAAAGGACACAAAGATACTAATAAATGTAAATACTTTAATGAAGATAGACAAAATCATAAAAGTATTTATATTATCACGATGCCATATGCCTATGGGGTCAAAGTTGAAGACAATTAACATACAGGTTATTTGTACTATCTTCCATCACGGTTAGAGAAACAAACACGTGTGTAATAAATTCTTTGGACTGACATGTTAAATAATCTAACTTATGTTGTATTCAAAAATCCAAAGGTATGCTTTTAAATATTTATGTCAGAACAAATCATCAACCTGATTGGAACAGGTCATTTCGTAACCTGTCAAAGTAGGGGAAGATAAAGAAATGAAATGCCAAGAATGGATGAATTAACGAATGGTTAACTTAGAAGCGTATCACTAATAATTTAGACCTATTATTATGATCAAGTCTTCAGTTACCGTTGGGTTTCAATGACCAAGTAACTGACATTAGTTATTGCTGAAATAGAAACAGCATTAAACTCAAAAATTTTAAATTCCATCTCAATAATTAATAATTACTTCATGTAGCATGTATATTTCACAAACACAGGTCATGAGAAACAAACAATTGATTAACCTCGGCCTTAGTTATATTCATTATGCCCTAAACTACACATCATGAAGGGGTATGCCCAAAGCCGTGATCTTTTGATTGGTCAAACTTTGCTACCAGTTACGTGAATAGTTTTTTCATACAGCTAAACTTACTTGTTTCTATTTTACACACTGATACCAAATCAAGTGCCTCCAAACAATCTAATGGACTCTGAAATAAGCAAAATGAAATAGTTGGATACTGTACGTGTACTCAGTAGACATTACAAACAAATTTAATATATCAATTACATTAAGTCTAGTTTCTTGATGACAGTAACAATTATGTTAAAGAATTTTAAATTTCTCACATTCTTGTAATTACAAGGACTAGTTGAAGAGTTCTAAGCCTATCTGCGAAAGACTTGTACAGAGTCAATGGTTTCCATTGATTTTTCTACAGTCCCCTTCGATGGGTGTACACACTTTTCCTAACAATGTACAAGGCTTGGATGCCGGTCAGGAAGAAATTTTCTTCAGCCACCCTAAAAATGTCATGACTTCATCATTACTAGGAAAATGAAGACCGGCTAGTTCATTTTTCATTTTTGGAAACAAGTGGAAGTCTGACGGGGCCAAAAAATTACCAGGATCTGGTTCAAAACGGCACAGATTGTCTGACACGTTTCTGAACCGCAGCCAAGAGCTTTGGCACCCATCTCGCAAAAACTTTTGTCATTCCTAACTTGTTGGCAATAATGTGCTCAACCCTCATGAAAGATGCCCACAACACTGGCAATATGTTCAATGGTCAATTGTCGATCAGCCATCCCCATGTCATGCAACCGGGTAATGTTTTCTTGAATGGTTTCTGTTGATGGCCTTCCAGGACGCGAGTCATCGTCAAGTCTCTCTCTGCCACGCTTAAATTTTGCAGCCCAATTCTTTACTGTGGAAAAGGAAGGGGCATCATCCCTAAAAGCCGAGATCATGTCGGCATGTATCTGTGTTGTGTTAGTCCTTTCAGTTGCAGTTACTTGATAGCTGCCCTGTAGCCATTTTTGTCCATTTCCGGTGATTTCAATGGGTAGGTTCACAAGATGGTCTGGTACAGTAGTGGGATTTTGCCCGTATATTCCGGACATGTCGGACGCAATTTTCCAAACGTCCTAAATTGTCCGACCAGGAATATGCCCAATCGGACATCAAGACATGGTAAATAATATTCAAAATTCCAAAATTAATATAGTATACTGAGTGCATAACTACCACTCAACCCGATTATTGTTGATAATAGGCTGGATTGATTTGGTAATTAAGTGATCAACATATTTATCGTTTTATGCCGTCAATACACCTACCTTGATTAACTACTTAATCTGCCTTGATTGGCTGACTTAATTCTTTGTCGGACAATTCATCAATTCAATCCTGAACAGAAGTCATTGCTTCTCTTTGTCGAACTATATATCAATCCAATAAACTTAATCTATGTGATTAACCCGTGATTTCTCCTTTGTCTCACGTTTTAATCTCCTTGATGTCGGCCGTAGACATTAGTCATATATGTCACATATCCTAATAGTATATAACACCCCAAATCAATATACATTGCGTCCGATAACTTCTCTGTGATATTTCTTCAGTGGAAGCCGAAGTTAAATAAAGCTATTTCACACACACGCAAAATGAAAGTAGAAATCTCGCGAGACACGTGGAATTAAGAGGTGTAAACGTGCCAAATGTAATACGTCTGATATCGACAGAAAAGATTCTATTTTGATGGCATATTGTCGGATTTATGATAATATTTTGGATGGGGTTTATGTTTTTAAATAAATAAATAAACACGCTAAGAAATGTTGACGAATATTTCGATTGGAATAATGTAAGTAGTTACAGTAATTGTTTTTAGACGATAGCGCGTGCTTAGAGTCGAATGGGGTTATTTAGCAGTTGGTGTCACTAGCTCGATCTGTTAGAGCGAAGTTTACTACGGTTTACGGCCAAATAAATTTCGGGATGTCATTTTTTTTTTACCTTCCGCATATAAATCGAAACGGAGCATAAGACGACTGCCGGACTTTGCTGAAAAATGTATCGACTTATGACCCGAAAAATCGGTAATTTTGGGGGAATTTGAAACCGGTGGGGATGGGCAGTAGTCGGCACGCTTTCAATCTATGGTATTACGATGTCATGTAATTTTTTAGGAATATTATCGACATAAATTTGAATACCCTACAGGAATTAAATATGAAAAATTACGAGGTGCATCTAATTTTTTTTTATTACGTATGAATTTGACTATTTTGTTTACACGTGATTCTTAATTGTGGTTTGAAAACGCCTGCTTAAATAACGATAAGAGTTATGTCCATCTATTTTCGGGAAGAAAATGTCCGACAACTAAAATTTTGAAATCCAATCACTGGTCTGGTACGAAGACAATAATAACACTACAGCTTCAGTTCTATGTCTATGATTCATTCAATGATTGTACTTGTTGGTGACAAAAGTTTGTTTCAACCCAAATGACCTATCCTATTCAGGCTCAGAACTTTTCAGCCCGCCCTCGTACCAAACAAAATTTAACCATTTTTGGAGTTTGGACTGATATTCCTTTTAGAGATTCAACTTGCACAATATTGTAGTTTGTAACAGATTAAAAATCCATCTCACAATGATTAGCGACTTTAGGTAGTAGTTAAATTTGATTTTGGAGTGAAGAAACAGTAAAATGTACATGGCCGTAATTTGATCAAAGTACATTATGTACCTTCCTCTAAATTTACTTACCTGTGACATAAGTTCAGCAGCTCTTTGAAAATGGCCTACAGCTTCATCTGGTTTATCTAAATTCTGAAATTAAAATTTAAAACTTGTCAACTCTCAGATCTTAAGATGACAAGGGGAATTAGTGTTTAGCAGATGCATCATGATTATTCAATCATCAAATGATATTCAACTTACCTTGAGTGCATGTCCAAGTTCTAATGATAACGAAGCAGCCAATGATATCTGTTTATTTTCTATGTGAACCTGTTTAAAAATAAGAGTTAGACTATTCTAGCCCAAATTGTCTCCACTTCAACTAAAACAAATATTTGTCAGAACAAAATAGTATGAAATATCTACACAGTGTCAAAGGTCATACAGAGATTTGAGTATGTCTTTTGATTAGCTGAAAGAAAAGGTTAACCTTCAATCACAGAATGCATTGTGGTGAATTGAGACAAAATGTTCTGCAGTATATAAGTTATTGCAAACGATCTGACAGTTACCATATACACAAGTTTTAATATGTCGAGAGCAACCCTGTGGTTTCCAACGAGATCCTAAAGTTACATTCATGAATGACTGATTTCAGTACTAAACTGTCCACAAGAAGAGAAAGAGGGAACATGAGCAACAATTAGACCCTGTATGGGACTAGAACCATGGGGTAACAATTCACACTATTTTATCCAGATAATCATTCATTGTAACTGAAGCAGAGACAATTTGAGCGGGAGCAATCAAGGCTACAAACCTTGAAATGGTTAAAACTATCCTTTTCCAAGATGTAACCTTTTTAAAATCATCAAAATTCTCAAATTCAGATGTTACAGTAAATTTGCTGTGTAATAAATTTTGCTACTATACTATTCAAAAAAAGTAGGGGATATTTGATTTTTAAGTGTTATTAAAGTCACCTAATGAAACTGACGAAGAAACAAATGACAAAATGAAATGAAGTTCACATTCATCGATTTATTCCAAATGATCGTTAGACTAAGTAAGGCACAGACTGACCATTATAAGGGTAAAATGATACCCGGGGTCAAACAGCAAAGTTACCACAGCATCACAACCAAGTCAGTAACGGGTAAATCCTCCTCTGTTTGCCAAACAAGCATTGATCCGACGTGGCATACTCCTAATGAGACGTCTAAGGTCATTTTGGTCCAGATTGTCCCATTCCTGTTGCAACGCAGCAGCAAGTTCTTGGACATTGGCAGGACGTTGTTGACGTTGACGTAACCTCTGTCCAAGCATGTCCCAGACATGCTCGATGGGGGAGAGGTCGGGACTCAGTGCTGGCCAAAGGTAATGTGGTGATGTTCTGTTGTTGGAGGTAACCTGTAACAATCCTGGCCCTGTGACATCTTGCGTTGTCATCCTGGAAGATGAAACGGCGGCCATGACGTCGTGCGAACGGCACAACATGGACTGCCAAGATGTTGTCCCGGTAGTACTGGCCTGTAACACGCCCTGCAACAACATGTAAAGCCGTTCTTCCAGCAACAGTGATGCCTCCCCACACCATAACAGAACCACCCCCAAATCAATCATGTCTGATGACGTTAACGTCTTGGAAGCGCTCGTTTCGACGACGCCACACCCTCCTACGTCTGTCCAAAAAATCAACAGTGAACCTTGACTCATCTGAAAACATCACATTGCTCCAGCGTCGATTATCCCAGTGTTGACGATCCCTACACCAACGACGTCTTGCCTGAATGTGATGATCTCTCAAACAAGGGATCACGCGAGGACGTCGGGCGCGAAGGTGACCCCTATGCAGTCGATTCCGAATCGTCTGGCCACTCACTCTCACACCAGTGTCTGTTTGAAGACGAGCGCTGATCTGATTTGCTGTGATGACATGATTTCTCAAGGCCAATTTACGGATAAATCGATCCTGGGCTTGAGTTGTCGCCTTTGGTCGACCTGAGCGTGGTCTGTCCTGTACAGATTGTGTATCACGGTATCTGGACCATAGCCTGCTTATGACAGACTGAGAAACATTCATCGTCCGCGCAACAACCGCCTGTGTTGTGCCGATCTGTAGCATGCCAAGGGCACGTAACCTTTCATTTTGGGTAAGCCGACGCATATCAAAATTTGTTTTCTGGTCACTAAAACAATTAAACTGATGTTTCCACCCTGGAATTCAATGCCACAATGACTGTAACATTCAAAGTCAGAGTCGTGCAAATCTTGGGTTGGACCCCCATGATGATCCCAAGCATCACCTGCATTCCATGCGGTAGCTATTGGTGCGTTTGGGCGTCACATGTAACTGGAAATGTTTCTTCTGTTAGGTTCTATAGTGACTTTTTTCGTAGTCATTTGCATATTTTAGTATTATGCCCCCAAATTCAAATATCCCCTACTTTTTTTGAATAGTATATTTTATACAAGCCAGATTCAAAATTTTCATTAAGAATATAATTTATTTGGCTCTAATTTCATTTACAATTAATGTCATATTTAATTTAGTTTATAATCCAATCCAATGATTCAGAAAGTATAGGCTTACCCTTATAGCATGGCCATAACAATTGATCGATGCAATCAAGTGTTCCTCAAAACTCACACATTTTAGTTGTCGATTTTTGGTTTCAGCTTCTAAAAAAGATCTGGCAGCATTTGTTAAAGCCAATGCTTCACCTGAAGGATTTCCTAATGTATGTTCACATCTATAAACATAAATTAAAGACTCCATGTATATAAGTTTTCTAGTTAACTGGCATCATGCCTCAAAATAATTTGCAATATCAAAGTACATGTACTCTAATACAAAACTTAAAGGCTCAATACCACTCTTGTTGTAACTGAATAATATGTCCCAATCTTTATTCTGGTCAACAAATTGTACTATTTTACAATATTTCATTTAATTGATGATACAAATTTCATCTTAACACACCTAATTTAAAAAATTGGAAAAATTCAACTAAATGACGTAAAGCTTTTCAAATGTGACTTGGATTTAACTCTTGATGCCATCGCTAATCTGTGATATATAGCAGACAGGAATACATTTTGTGAAGGATAATTAAACATAAAAATGGATTATCGAGACTTTGTTTTTTATCGTACCAACTTTAGTAATAATGATTAAGGCTAGCCTAAAATTCAAAAGCTAATATCTTGGTTCATAGTGGAGCAATTTGACTGAAATTTTCAGCATATTCCCTTTATGTTATCTATTTTCTAACTATTATAGCGAGAACAGTCAACTCTTTATCTAATCTCCAATAATGTATCTTTAAGTTTAATGTCTATTCATGTAAACAGTAAATCTTTACATTAAAGCGTTATAAATATACTTGCGATACCAAACAAAACTTGAGAGGTTAGACAGGCCAACCTTGCTCTATCAGTTGCTATTACCGTATAGCTCTTTATAAAATATCAAGAGGTAAATTACTTATTGTTCTTAACAGTGATTTTGATTGTCAGTTACTACAGCATCAAAAAGTAACCTACCAGTAATTTATCAAATTTGTATAAATAAAGATTTTCCTAATCATGCTATTAAATTTCCTATAGCTGCAATAATTGACAAAAAACTACAATTTATTGTCCATTATGGGGACATTGCAATTGTAATATTTCTACAAGTCAGCTTAAAAAGAACAATATATACATATACCTTGCTTGGGCCAAACAGCAGAATCCAGCATATTGTGGACATTCTTGTTGCTTCAATCCTTTGGCAAGATTTCCTAAAATAAAACAATAATCTACAGATAGAGTGTTTAAAAGTGACAAGGGCATTATGAGAAAAGTGATGCAGGACGGAGGGTCTGCCAAGGAACAGTGTTTATTCTTTCGGATGGGACGAACCCTTGACAGTTGGAATTCAAAATAGTAGTAGGTTGTAGGCTTGTAGCGCCACTTTCCAGACAAACTTTATCTCATAGCACCACGGCAAGATTTATGTCCATCTTCAGTAGCCCAGTTGATGCAGAATAGTAGAGCACTAAACTACATTTTTATTTCAACTATGGGGAAAATTATTGAGACTGTAGAGTATCAAATTTCATTACCGTACATCAAGTATCGACTGTTGAACACAAAATCAGTTACATTTCAAAATTAACCAGCGGCTTCCAGGCAGGATACGCCCACATTTTCGAGAGATGGATAGAGAACAAGCTAAAAAGAAAGTGATTTTTCATACAATCAGGGGCCATAATTCAGGAAGTTACGGTCCGATATGCGCGAATATAGAAAGGAACTAAGATCTTTGGGTTATAAACTTACATTTCAAGTTTCAACAAAATCGGATAAAAATTGTGACCTCTATAGGGTCCACAACCTTGATGATATACCATATTTTTACGCTATTTGAGAACGAAGGGCGGCCATTTTGTCTGTCAGTTTTGGGCCGATTTTCACGAAATTCGAACTCAGCGTCCTTAGGGTGTAACGGTGATATAATAATACGTTTTTTTAAATCGGATAAAAATTATGACCTCTATAGGGTCCACAAGCTAAAAACGTGATTTTTCGTACAATCAGGGGCCATAATTCAGGAAGTTACAGTCCGATATGCGCGAATATTGAAAGGAACCGAGATCTGTGGGTTATAAACTTACATTTCAAGTTTCAACAAAATCGGATAAAAATTGTGACCTCTAACGGCTCTACAACCTTGATATACCATATTTTTACGCTATTTGAGAACGAAGACGGCCATTTTGTCTGTCAGTTTTGGGCCGATTTTCACGAAATTCGAATTTAGCATCCTTAGGGTGTAACGGTGATATAATAATACGTTTTTTTAAATCGGATAAAAATTATGACCTCTATAGGGTCCACAAGCTAAAAACGTGATTTTTCGTACAATCAGGGGCCATAATTCAGGAAGTTACAGTCCGATATGCGCGAATATCGAAAGGAACCGAGATCTGTGGGTTATAAACTTACATTTCAAGTTTCAACAAAATCGGATAAAAATTGTGACCTCTATCAGGTCCACAACCTTGATATACCATATTTTTACGCTATTTGAGAACGAAGGGCGGCCATTTTGTCTGTCAGTTTTATGCCGATTTTCACGAAATTCGAACTCAGTCGTCCTTGGGGTCTAACGGTGATATAATACTACGTTTCTTTAAATCGGATAAAAATTATGACCTCTATGGGCTCCACAAGCTAAAATCGTGATTTTTTGTACAATCAGGGGCCATAACTCAGGAAGTTATGTTCCGATATGCGCGAATATCTAAAGAAACCGAGATCTTTGGGTTATAAACTTACATTTCAAGTTTCATCAAAATAGGATTAAAATTGTGACCTCTATAGGGTCCACAACCTTGATATACCATATTTTTAAGCTATTTGAGAACGAACGGCGGCCATTTTGTCTGTCAGTTTAGGGCCGATTTTCATGAAATTCGAACTCAGCCGTCCTTAGGGTGTAACGGTGTGTAATGATACGTTTTATTAAATTGGATAAAAATTATGACCTCTATAGGGTCCACAAGCTAAAAACAAGATTTTTCGTACAATCAGGGGCCATAATTCAGGAAGTTACCTTCCGATATGCGCGAATATCGAAAGGAACCGAGATCTTTGGGTTATAATCATACATTTCAAGTTTAAACTAAATTGGATTAAAATTGTGACCTCTACAGTGTTCACAAGCTAAAAACGTGATTTTTTGTACAATCAGGGGCCATAAACCATGAAGTTACAGTCCGATACATGCCAATATGAAAAGGAACCGAGATCTTAGGGTGATAAACCTATATTTCAAGTTTCATTGAAATCGGATAAAAATTGTGACCTGTAGACTGTTCACAAACAATTGTGGGCGGGTGTCCGGACGGACGGACAGGGGCGACGACAATATACGTCCACATGAAAATGTGGGCGTATAAAAATTTTAACTGCTGACAAGATAAAATACGACATTTTGAGATAAGTGTGCTCCAAAAGTATTTCCCTTGACATGATGCTTTAACCTACCAAATTGTTCAATTCCTTCAGCAAGATTTGGCTTCTTCAAAAACCTCCTTAAATACAAAAAACAAATGAATAATATAATGTTTAGTTATTAAATAAAAAAGATTTTTAAAAACTGTTTTGGGTCACCTACAATTGATGCTAAAAAACTTAAATGTACCGGTATTCAGTTTAATAATATATTCAACATAACCCTAGACTAACTTGTTAAAAATCAAAGCACATGGGCTGCTTATAACAAAGTATTTTGCATGTTTGTTCACTTATTTCCATAGTGTTTGAACAGTAATATAAGATAAATTTTAAAAAATTGATATCTTAGTCATGGGTAGGCACAGTGGCACGGTGAGTATGGGGCTGGTTCAATATCCAAGAAGTCATTTCGGGACGACCCAGAGAAAAATCTTACTCCTTGTTATTATTGTGACTTGCAAGTACATATTACATAACAGCCTAGGTCTTAAGTAAGGGTGTGACGATTAGTCGGTTTAGTCGGAGTCGGTTCGGTTTTACCTACAAACCGGTTCAAGTTTCGGGAAATCGATAGTCGTCTAAAAAATACAGCATGATATAAACCAGTCGCCCGAATATTATAACATGTTTTTTTTTATGGGGGCGAATAAGCAATAAGCTACATCATTGATAAATTGTCGACAATAATAATAACGAGACAGTATATACTATATTCCGTATATTGCATACCTAATGAAGTTATTTTAAGAATACGTTATTTGATTGGTCGGTCGCTAAGGTCAATGGTTGAAGTGCCCAATCAGAAACAAGCAATCCTCCAGGTTAGGTCAATAGGCATGCGCACTGAGCTGAGGCCCAGATACGCTTTCTCGTCGGTTTATCACTAATATTATTGATCAATACATCATTGTTTGAAGTTTTTTATATGTTGTATTTATTACTTTTATTAAAAAGGTTAAACAGGAGATTTGAACAAACTACATAGTAATAGTACAAACAAAACCAAATTTTTAATGTACTGGACACATAAAACATAGAACTGTATGTATGTCGCCATTACAGTTTTAAGCTCGTATATAAAGTCCAGTATATTAGCGTGTATTGTAGACTATGGAAGACTAATATTTTTCAGTTAGTTTTCATTACCGACTAAATCGAATCGGTTCGGTTTTTTAGCCGCCGACTAACCGGTTCAAGTTTTGTTTAGTTGTCACACCCTTAGTCTTAAGGGTGTCTCACACAACCAGAAATGGGTTCTAATAATATAAGTTGAATTTACTTCAGTGAATCTCCAATTTAAGACAAATCTTCCATTGATAGCACGACAGACTCAGCATAGGCATTATCAGAGGAATATCATATTTATTTTCTGTAAACAGCCATCGCACATGACATTTTCTATACATCTATCAAAAGATCCAAAAGATCTAATGATAACGAGTTTGAATTACAGCAATATTTAATTTGTTGGTTGTGACCACAACTAAGAGAATTACATTGGGATTGTTTTCCAATTTCTTATTTTATTAACTATGCTGTTGGAAGCAGCAACTTTGGTTTAGCGGTCATCAAGAATAGAGTACTGGTAGCATTTTTCTTTTGCTTTTGATAAGGTTCCGTAAACATTGGTTGAATGCTGCGTTGCCAATCTCCTGAATTCAGATTTGTTTCCAAGCTGTATGTAGGGTTTCATGTAAAACCGTCTGCATAATTAAGGCCTGAATCAGATGGAGAACAGTCAGTCGTACCAACCAAGGGCACACGTGACCTACTTTGCACTTAGAAATGGAGGTGTGTGGTGCTGGGTTGTTGTGTACGATTGTATATTTTCATGGTTATAACTTACCTGTTGAAACATGACCGATTATTTAGTGATGATAAATGGTTTGTTCTATGAATGGACAATAGGGGCATAATTGGCACTAGCACCTCTATTTATCAATTATTTGGAGTTATTTTTTTTTATCTTGAGGCACATCTGATCTTAGCTACAAGATAATCACTAAAAATGTTGAGATATTCTGAATGTGTTTCTATAGCTATTATAGCTACGTTTGGATCCCTTTAGTTTCACCTTGCAAACTTATTTTATTATGAATGCCTTTAACATCTTTAAAATAAGATATGTTATAGCCTACTATTATGACTAAGTAAAAATACCCAAAACGGCTAGTGCTAGATGAAACCATGTATCATTCCTACTGTTGAGATCATTCGGCGAGTCGAAAGATGAGGTTCCTAATGCTTAGGCCCTTAGGACACACTAAGTGAATTTTTACGATTCATTTGGGCGAACTCTAAGCCGACAAATTTTCGTCTACTGTTTCTGGACCTGCAACATTCGCCAATATCAAACATGTAAATTTATTGCTGTTCCCTCATTCACAAGTGTGCATGTCCACTTTGTCGAGGAGTATATTATGCATCCTAAAATTCTACAGCAGATCAAAATCATTCATTATAGCTTCACATGGCCAAAAGCGCATCGGTGCATGCATGCATGAATTAAGTTAGTTATTGTTAATGTTATTTGCCAAGAAATAGGCGTTCTGCAATGTGTCTCCACTGCGTTGCCCAAACTATAGCCATTGGTAGGCCCGGCGAACTGGGGGGGGGGGGGCTAGGGGGGGCTTTAGCCCACCCAATAATTTGGCCACAAGTACTCTTTTCTCCAGGTTATTGCGGCAACTGGACCTAGGGTGGAAGCCCGAACCCCCTAATCAAGAATTGCTTCCGCCGGCCCTGGCCATTGGTGAACATTAGCGAATATAATTTGCATTCATTATGATCATTTATTTATAGTGTGTCCCAGCCTCCCAGTCTGGGCCAGGCTGTGGCATAATTTATGTATAATTTATTAGTAATTAGTACTATTACCACTACTCTACTTACTTTTTTAGTTTATTTGACACTGTTCTATAGCGATTTAGAACGTCATTGTCTTTCTCCATTTTGACAGAACGAAGTAGAATCTAAATAGGTCTCGCACTGCACCGTATCTAAAATAAATAGAATCTGATTTGTTTCATGTCATTTTAATTTTCACAACAAATCCGCATGCCCGTTTACCAAGACACACAATTTCTATTGAATAGCCTACCACTACGTACTACCAATCATATTCACGATTTATTCACATTGCTACTGTTGTTTCTTTTTGTGGTGATATAGAATATCTGTCCATTCTATCTTACTCATAATGGCTGAGTTTAATGGTGATGTTGTGTAACCATAGATAATATGGTGTAACGAATGATTATCGGGAAAATACGTAAAAGAAAAATCCACAGCCCATCAGTTTTTTCCACTTAGCCCTTACTTTTATTTTCGTCTGGTTGATCAAGTCTATATTTGTAAAACTGTATGTGCCTTCAAGATAAAAGAGTTGATAAGAAAGATAACTGCAACTACCTGGACTGGAGATGCAAATTGCATATCGTGAACTTTTATGACTAGTTTTGTTAGTCTATACACACATTAAATTTTGTAACAATGTTTGATTGTGATGGTGGAATCCCCCCATCTGATTCTATACCTGAACTCCTCGATATTGACAAGGCAATCAAGAACCAACCATGTGAACAAGAAGTACGCATGGACGTAACAAAATCTATTTTACCAGAAATAGATGATTCTGAAGATGTTAGTAATACTAATAATAAGCAAAACATTGCATCAGACTTAGTTCTAAATTCTGAGAAAAGCCTGAAAACTAACGAAAAGCATCCTGAAGACAAAACCAGAGGTTTGTCGAATAGGGCTTTGAAAAGACACAGGAGAATGCAAAACAGTAAGGAAAGAAATCGGAAAAATAAAGTAAGAACAGTTGAAGACAGAGGATATTCGACAAATATCTTTTCACAAACAGAGTATTATTTTGAAAATGGACTAAGAAAGGTTTACCCCTATAATTTTACTTTCTCAACTCATGCTAAAGAGAGATGGTATAAGAAGACAATATTGGACGTTTTTACTAAAGAATTTGTGGCTGGAACTCCAGAATTCTACCGTCGACACATTGAGTTGGGGAAAGTTGAAGTAAATGGAAAGAGAGTGACAGAGAATTACATAATAAAGAATGGTGATGAAATTTCACACACCATCCACCGACATGAGAATCCTGTACTAGGAGGCAACATTGAAATTATCTCCGACACAGACGATCTTTTGGTGATTAATAAGCCTGCCTCCATACCATGTCATCCTTGTGGAAAATATAGATTTAACTCAATTGTATTTATCTTAGGGAAGGAACTTGGTTATTCTAATCTTAGAAATATATATCGTTTAGATCGACTTACTTCTGGCGTGCTAATTTTGGGAAAAACAGTTGCTAGAACAAAACAGTTAGAAGACCACATTGTAAAAAGGCTTGTTCAAAAAGAGTATGTTTGTCGTGTTGTGGGTAAATTTCCTGATGGTTTAATCAAAGTAGATCAGCCATTAGCTTGTATGCGACACAATTTAACCTTATGGCGAGTTCAAGAAGGTGGAAAAGAAAGCCAAACTTCTTTTGAAAGATTAAGTTATAACGGTTATACTAGTGTTGTTAGGTGTTTACCTCATACAGGGAGAACACACCAAATTCGTGTTCACCTTCAGTATCTTGGACATCCTATTGTTAATGACCCATTTTATAATAGTGAAGCATGGGGGCCAAATAGAGGAAAAGGAGGCATCATAGAAAATACTGAAAAAGAAGTGGCGGATGCAATTTTGAAAGAACATAATGTTGGACAGTGGGTGGAAGGCGAAAATCCATTATACACTAAAAAGTTAAAAGAAATGAAAGCCAAAGAGAGTACAAAACACACAGAAGAATCAATCAGTGAAAGTCAAGAAAAAAAGGGTGATGATGATACATCTGAACCTGTCACAGAATCTAGTGATGCCAATAAAAATCTGATGAGTGATGATGGTACATCTATCACGTTCACAACAGTCAAAGAATCTGATACTCTCACAACTTCTGATACCAATAAAACTCTGATAGACGAAAGTGGAGAACCTCCAAATAAAAGAGTTAAATTAACCAATCCTGAACAATTAGATTTCAGTGAAGAGAAATGGAACGTTGATCCAGATTGTGAAGAGTGTAAACTGAAGTATTTAAATCCATCTCCGGCAGATCTTATTTTATATCTACATGCTTATAAATACAAAGGTCCTGACTGGGAATATGAAGCTTCACTTCCTGATTGGGCTTCTGAAGACTGGAAGGATATTAATGATTAGGATTTTATAACTGTCTTTAATATGGGCAATATGGCACATGTTACATATTCATGAATTTCCATTTTTGTCTACATAGGAAGATTGTTGAAATATGTTGATCAATAAACATTCAAATTTTAGTCAAGTTGATTTGTTAATCCCATTTCATCTCATTACAGTTGACTTACTGTTGACAATTTGTTAACAGTCTCAATTTGAATAATAAAACTAAGAGTTGGATTCTCATTTTGACATGGCAACATCTGGATGTAATATTGTAATACTAATAGTCAAATTACATGAAATAATACTTTTTACTTCAAGTAACAAAGCAAAACATATCCCAAAAGTCAATGCATAAGTAATTAAACTGGGCTGATCCACAAAAAACAATAAGATAAACTTGTAGACTGGATTAACCAGGTACAACAAACAACTGCCATTCAATCTGGACTGCTCACATATTTCGCCGAACAGAACTGAAATCAGTTCATCTAAATTAATGTTATATTAATATGTGCTTTTCGACCCATTTAATGGTTCCAAGGAATAGAGCTATGAATAGTCATTCCTATTTCCCTAACATTACCAAAGCCCCATAAAGATCAGAGGTTAACTGTCATCTCTAGAGCTTGTTGATTAAATCTGATATTAGCTAAAGAAGAATACTGGAACAATTATGTTATAATAATATTTATTTACTATAAGTCTTTATATCTACAACAAAACAAAGTCATATACATGTAGTTGGACGGTTCATTATATCACAGTTACACAAAAAGAATAAATAATGTATGGAATGATTCTTTAAATGATCTATCAATATTAATTTAATAATGGATGTACATATAGTATATACATTTAACAACTTTTCAGTAAAATCCTTGACATTAAAACTAAGTGGCAAGCCAAAACCTATATGATTTCTTGGATATCATGAATATCAAATATTATAGACCTATCCATCAACCTCTCATGTTGTCAATTCAGCTAAATATTTTTAATTTCGTGGGGAACAAAGTTTATTTAAATTTCTCTCTGAAGAAATGCACACATGAATTATTTATGTTCTTTAGCTGTTCAGTATATTCATGTTTAAGCAAGTTTCTATGCCAATAACATTTATAAACAAGCCAACAATGAGGCTGATGTCCCCCGCCGAAATCCCAAAATAAATAGATCACACATATTAATTACATGTAACAGCACATTTAATTTTTTCAAAAGTATCAAGCAATCAAACTGATTATCAACTATACGCTAAGTTTCATCAATCTCTATCAGATAGAATCAAAGTGATCTTGTCCCAAAGCATCGACCAATGAAATTGCTTAACTCTGCTTAGCTTTAGCTCGAAATGTTTATCATTGTACTCAGTCAAGACATTCATCTAATGAACATCTACATCAAGTTTAAACATTCTACCTCAATTAAAAGCAGAGTTGATATGTTCAAAAGTCTTAATTAATCAAATTGATTATCACTCCTTAGCCTAAGCAGAAAAGTCTCATCCTCAAACTTAGTCAAGGTAATGATATAATGAATCTATACTCAGAGTTTCATCACTCTCACTTCATTAAAACTAAAGTTATCGTGCCCCAAAGCATCAACCAATCAGATTGCTTATCTCTGCTTATCTAAGCAGACAATGGTTATCATCAAACTCCTTCAAGGCATTCACCTAATGAACGCCTACACCAACTTTGAACATTCTACCTCAATTAGAAGGAGAGTTATTGTGTTCCAAACTCTCGACCAATGAAATTGCTTATCGCTCTGCTTACCCGGAGCAGAAAATGCTCAGTTAATGCTCATTATCGAACTTAGTCAAGTTATTGATGTGATAAAACTGTACAACAAGTGTCCTCGCTCTCACTTAATTAAAACTAAAGTTATCGTGTCCCAAAGCATCAACCTATCAAATTGCTTACCGTAAACAGAAAATTCTCATCTTCAAACTCCATCAAGGCATTCTTCTAATAAACCCCTACACCAAGTGTGAATATTCTAGCTCAATTAGAAGGAGAGTTATTGTGTTCCAAAGTCTCGGCCAATCAAATTGCTTATCACTCTGCTTACTCTGAGCAGAAAATGCTCATTATCAAACTTAGTCAAGGTATTGATGTAATGAAACTACATGCATACACCAAGTTTCATCATTCTCACTTATTTAGAACTAAAGTTATCATGTCCCATAGCATCAACCAATCAAATTGCTTATCTCTACCTACTCTAAGCAGAAAATGCTCATCTTTGAAGGAGAGTTATTGTGTCCCAAAAAGTGTGACAGACAGACGGACGAACCTATTTTAATAGTCCCCAGCTTTCTTCGAAAGGCGGGGGACAATAAGTCAACAGTGTGGCATTGTCGCCAGTATTAATGCCAAATTTATAGAACAGGAGGGTCTACATAGGACAAATATCAAGTTATTGTGTGTCAAATAACTTTCATTAATTACTTGCACATTTACCTTTTCACCAACGGTCAGTGATTATAACAGAAACTAAGTAATGATATTTTATAGACAGTGATTATACCAAAGCTTAGTCCATTTCCAGCCTAGTAAGTCAGAAACCCAACACACAATTTAGAACAAAGTTATAACATGGCCGATCTGATATTTACTCTGTACATTCTGCTTTGGTTTTTAAAGATTGATGTCTTCATATATTAACATAATAAATACACAACTAAAAGAAGGGCATTGTGGTAATTAATTTCATGTTAAAATAACTTTCATGTTAAATAAACCTTCAATATTTGTAGGTTTTCATTTTTTCAGGTTAAACATTAACTTTAAATATTATGTTTTGGTACAAACTGATCTATAATGATGATCTACACAAAGAAATGTTATGCAACAAAAGCTTTAAACAATTCCACTTTTTCTTGATACAGTTTGTAATATTCACTGGCTAAGAAGTAAAATGGTGTGTCCACATTTTGCATTTCTTTCTGTAATTAAAAGAAAATATATTAAAACAAACCAACACCGAAAATTTAATAGCTAATCTTATTAACCTGTGAACATTAGATATTGTCCAAAAAAAGCAAATGACGATCAGCGACTTAAAGCATAATATTTTCTGTGTAAGCATAAACCAGGCGTGAATTCCGTAAGGGTTATTTTTGGACTGTAAACACATTACTTATACATGCTTTAACAAGATAGGCGCTGTGATCATATTGTGTTGCAATACAATAATATACTTACAGCTGAACATTCATAATAATCTAACCCAGTCTTCATAGCTAATTCCTTTCCTGCTTTAGGACCGACAATTCTTCTTTGATCTAAGTCTATTTTGTTGGCTACTAATGCTCCTAATAATACAATTAAACACATTATATAGTAACTAGATGCATCATTCAATAAAGAAAAATACAAAAAGTTCCATTCAACAAGTTTCTTAAAATAATTCTTGGAAAATAAATCAATTTATAGAACAGGAGGGTCTACATAGGAAAAATATCAGACTCACACTGGGGGGTTATTCTATGTCAAATCACCCAATTGGGTAAACCATACCTCCTTTGATTATGGTGAAATTTGATTTCTGTTTTTATTGTTATTTAAAAAGTTGGTATTCCAAATTTGAGATTGTCGGAGTAACTGTTCCCGAAATAAGGCCCATTGAATTTTGACGATTTTGGTTAAAATGGGAGTGGCTGCCAGTATTCAAATACCGGTAGCTCAGTAACCAATTGGTCCAAAAATGCTGAAATGGTTTTGCTGGTAGGACATTAGGACAATTTCACAAGAATTCCTACTTAGATATTGTATTTGACATACGGCCTGATACAGGTGTTTTAAAGGGTCATTCAAAAAATTGGTTTTCTACCAATATAAAAAAAATTTGGGGTATAATTTTTATATTTGTAAAATCAAGTCAATCAAACATATCGGATGGCAAAATTCAGTGTCTTTGCCCTTTAAGATGGATTATGCATCTACAGAGCCACCATGACCATATAAGAAATAAATGGAATGACCACTGGATGTCTCCTATCCAACAAAATTATAAGGAGCTGTCCCACTTTCACAGGATATTTGTTTCTTAAAAACTATATGCCAATATTTGAAGAAATGGTGTTATATACATGTAACCAGGGGCGGATTGGGGCCCGAAACCAGAACGGGCTCCCGTGTCGAAGCGGCCCCTTTTACTGACCGCGGAGCCCGGGCGGGGGGTCCGGGGGCTCTCCCTCCTGAAAATTTTGAAAAATGAACCCCAAATATGCGACTTGGTGGCATATCTGATTATAATCTCTGTCAAATAATATATCTCATAAATCGATTAATTTAGGCCAAAACCCCGACCTGCAAGTAATTCACAACCATCAACCTGTGAAATTATCATATCGTCATGTTATTAATTAACGTACAGTGTATTATCATTGTATCGTCAAGAGTAAAGAGCCAAGAGAATTTAACTGGTTAAAAAATGGGACTAGTTGAGAAAATTTTGACCATTTGATTAACCAGTTAGGAATATTGAATAAGTAGGAATATTTTCATTGAAAAATGTCTCATTTTTGTTGCCGGGAGCGCTAGTTGATTCCTCCTGTGATGGAAGGCCATGAGACACATTGGTACAGAGTGACGAAAGTAAAATTCATGAAAGCTGCTTTTTGAATTTTGGATTTGTTGTTCCAGGTAAATTATTTTACCTTGACTCCGAACTTAAACATTTGACACACTACATATTGATTAATGAACATAGCATTAGTTCAGATAATGAATATTCGAGTATAAGACTACATAAATTTAATTACGAGAATTGCAATAGCCTCTACATTTTTGTCAGGAGCGGCGGGCGGAAATAAAAATAAAATTTGATCTTGGTCGCAAAAATATAGCTACCGCGAAAGTGTCGGGTGAATCCGATGAAATTTTCGGATGAAATTCGGAATCCCCATTGCAGGATTCCAAATTTCGGCTCACACCCAGCACACCCGGCCCAGAAAGTCTATTATACCAGTCCATTCCAGACTCGAGTGATGGCGTGGCGGCCCGTTAAAGCCACCGGACACATACAACATGATCATCATCATACCCCCCCCCCCCCCCCTATATAATGTTCAGCAGAAATTATTTTTTTAGACGAATTGGACAAAATTATTTTTTTCATTTATTGTCCGACCGGCCTTTCGGGCAAACGCCCAATCCGCCCCTGCATGTAACTCATTTAAGAAAATCCACTGTATGAGTGATTTAGCAAGTAGTATCCAGGTACTTGAGAATAGTGTGGAATTTGGGGACTTTTCACCAAACTTATGGGAATGAAAAGTTTGTATCTATATGAAAATGTACTACAGTGCTTAATTTAATACAGTAATTGGATAACACAGTCCTTAGCAGGGCCTTAAAATTCAGATCTTTTCCTGGTCAGATTTTTCTCACAACATTTTCTATAACTATATTCATAAAATATATCAAATAACCTGGGAAAGGAACATCAGGTTTCTGTGATCTAACTCGTTCTATCCATTTCTCACAACTAGAAAAAGATGTTTCATTAGTCACATCATAAACTACTATCATCATTGATGGGTGATCCCACTGAAAATAAACAACCATATTCATTTATTACACAGAATTCAAAATTGCTTTTCTTGTTTAATATTACTCGACCAATTGTAACTTTAGTAGATAGTACCCTTTCACAGGGAAAACTACTAATTATCTTTGTACTTGTTTACTTACAAATTTCATAACCATATCTGTGAATATTTCCTTTCCTGCAGAATCATACATATACAGTTCCTGAAAAGAGATTTACAAAACAATTGCTGATGTGCACTCAAAAAATTCATGTTATATAATAACAAGCCAACAGTGAGGCTGATGCTCCCCGCCCCCACCCCTCCCTCATCTATTATATTTCATCGAGTAATCAATTACTTACAGATGATAAACAGACCCATTTTAATAATCCCCTGCTTTAATTAAAAGGCGGTAGACAATTGTGTAAATACAAATTTGTACAAATTTAAATGAACTACCTCATTTCAGCAGTTGCCGAGAAAATTGCCTTTTTATACATTGTTATGCTTCATTAATTAAAAGTGCAAGGTATTTGCTAAAATATCACTTTGGTAAGCATTGAAGTTATTAGATCAGTCAGAGCATACACATCATACATAATAAATAACAATTTACAATTTACAAGATCTAATAATTCTACTTTTATTTCCACCAATCACGATTATGTTTAGACATTAAAATTGATTTTATCTTATGATAACTTACTACTGTGTCTTGCGTATCTGGAATAACAACAGGCTTTACCATAAATTCTGCGCCCATTGTCTGAAAGTAAAAACAGTTAAAGGAATATTACCAAATATTTTAACTGTGTCACCAAAATTGGCATTGCTCCTTTCACAATTTGACTATCTAATATTAAAATTTTTATCTATGATTTTAAAACATTAAGATAGGTTGCCAGGCAACGAAACATACGCCCACAGCAGCAAAATCGTCCGAGCAGTCGACAAGGGTTGTCGCATATTTATTCCTTTGTAGGTAATTGGGGGCCTTTACAAGATAGTTCCATAAAAGGTTCTACAAACTGAAACAAGGGTCTCAACTCTGGGGCCATAATCCATGAAGTTATATGGTCCGATACATGCCAATATCGAAAGGAACCAAGATCTTAGGGAGATAAACCTATATTTCAACCTATATATGAAATCGGATAAAAATTGTGATCTGTGGAGTGTCCACAAACAATTGTGGACGGACAGGGGCAACGACAATATACGTCCACATGACAATGTGGGCGTATAAAAATTGTGATCTCTATAGGGTCCATAAGATAAAAACGTGATTTTTCGTACAATCAGGGGCCATAATCCATGAAGTTACGGTCCGATATGTGCCAATATCGAAAGGAACCGAGATCTTAGGGAGATAAACCTATATTTCAAGTTTCGTTGAAATCAGATAAAAATTGTGACCTGTGGAGTGTCCACAAACAATTGTGGGCGGACGGACAGACAGGGACGACGACAATATACGTCCACATGAAAATGTGGGCATATAAAAACCCATGTAGGTTGGCCGGAACTGTACAATGGAGAAAAAAAATGTACAGTTTTCACAGGTATAAGCTGATTTTACTAAAATTGTTGTTGAAAATGATATATAGTATTTACTAATAATTAATAGTACATCTAGCTAAGCTCTACTTACCAATGTGTAGTTTTTAGGAAAGTGTGATCCGTCACTAGTAAATAATTGACAAATAGAGCTTTTCCCAACACCTGCATCACCTGAAAGTACCATAAAGAAATACAAAACAAGAATAAGCTTATCTCTTGTGAAGAGCTCCAACAACAATAGAGAAACGAAATGGGTTTATTGTCTTACTGTTTTTTTGTTCAACTGGCTAATGAAGACAGGCATATGTCATTCAATAAAATACTATACATACATTGTATCTATATAAGAGAAATTTTGCTCAGACGTTTCCACCTACTCTTCATCAAATTCCAACTGTCAATGATTCTTTCATTTGACCTATGTCCTACAACACTGGAATAACTTTCTTTATTCATTGGTATATTCAGTTGTACAAACAGATTTTTTTTAACAGAGATGATTTCAATCACGCGAGGTTTCAATAATTAGGCTACCGGTAGTTTAATTGTTTAATACACAGGACAAAAAAAAACACTTTTTTTTTAAAACCATACCTCAGACAGTACCATATTAATTTTTTTATCTTCTAAGTACATTATACACTGTTTAATCATGCCTTCCTAAAAAAGGGCTTAATTTTAATTTGCCATTCCCATTTGCATTTGGGATAAATTGGTTCACTATTTTGCTGTGCTGGCAGTGGCACTTTCTAATAAAATCCCCTTTCTAACTTATTCTAAGTATTAATTGACAACCTGCAGAAATATCTATTAAAAAACCCCCAAAGAATATAAATGCAGAATAACTCTAATAAAAATAGCACATAAAACAAAATAAGACCCAAAGAACCCAAAACAAAAATGTAACAAGTGGTCGGAGGAGAGTCAAAAGTGTCTCTGACTCTACTGACTTGACTGTTTTGACAATTACTAGGCCTATTATTAGTATTACTTATTAGATCTAGATCTAATATTGCACGTTTTTCAATGAATATGAATGAATAATCTTACCAACAATGATGCATTTTGCTCTAATAACAGCCGGCATCTGGAAACAAAATTTTATGTAACTTGTAAAAGAATAATTATTATATAAATTACTGAAAATCTAGAATTTCTGTTAAGAAACCATCAATCGACAATGAGAGAGTCAAGAGATACTCAGAAATGTTGTTGTCAGGGCTTAAGAATATCTGATCATTGATTGGATAAAATTATTTACGTCGACAGTCAGTGCTCGATATCTTTTCTGAGGAGGTGTGGTAAATGATGTTGTTGTTAAAATTGTTTTACATTATGTACCTCGAAATCGTACATCATTTCATGTTTAGTTTGTTCTAATATTTAATTCATTATGTATGCATACTAAATGGACTGTTTACTTCACGTAAGTCGACTTTATTAGGCTATTTGATTGAATCTGTCAGTTGTGTCATTGCACTTTTAGCAGACATCTCAAAATGGTGGCTTGACATTAAATTTATGTTGTTATTGATAACCATATGCAGTTACAATTGACTACAGAGGAATGTAAATTCTTTTTAAGTTTAGACACCAAGGGAGAAAGGGTTATATAATTGTATTAAACATCTATAACATAGTAACTTTGCATTTGTTAGACATAAGGCAAGATCACACTAATGTAAAAATAAGAGTCATTTATTATAGACTTCTCTAAATCAAATTGGATACTCTTCTCAATACCTTGACTTTGAGGTTGAGTTTATGAGCAGCTTCTAGTCTTTCGGATAGTACAAAAAAACCAAGGTCCTGTGTACATGTACATGATGACGCGCACCTAATAGAACCTTTGGAATTTAAAGGACAATATTGGTGTCAGTCATTATCACATATGTGATAGAACTGGTTAAACATGTTCCAAATATAATTTTAACACAGAGATCATTGCTACGATAGATACATTATGAAGCTTTCAAGAAAGGGAAGTTTCGAACGCAATAGGAAAACACAAGTATATAACTGACTGAAGTGACAAGTGATAAACAGATATATATATACATGTACAGGCGAATTTCTGATAATTTATAAAAGTAATTGAATGTCACTAGATAAGGGAAAACAAGAAGAATAGAAATAGTCCTGCACTCCCTTGTTTTTATTCAGTCTATACTTAATAAAAACATAGCAATGCACAAATGTTTTTCTATTTTTCTCTTGTCTAATGACAGTCAATTATTTTTTTGAATTGTCAGATAACCTCCCACAGTCTCATATAACAACATTTGGAAATCTGTTATCACTCGTCACTCCAGTTAGTTATAAAGAACTCATGTTTTCCTTTTGCGTTCGTCACTTCCCTGAAACACTGCTAGTGCTCTCCCATCTCCCTCATAGCACACTGCATTGTGTATTCCCTTTTTCTTTAGCTCAGTTGGTGCAGAAAAGTAGGATGTCATTTCATTTCAGTTACCCTATAACTCTGGAGCAATTTTATTTATGCTAAAAACTTCCTTAAAGCAAACTACACAGTTGAAATCATGTGTAGATTCTGTCTAAAATCGGATTGGAAGATCATCCATTGATTTGAAAGGTTTCTCTCTAATAATAACACTATTTTAGAAAATTTTGTTAATACATATGTACAAGATTATTTAATACATTCTTCAGTGTTTGGTGAGATCATCTTCACTATGAAGTCTAACTCACAAGTTGATTTATACTGAGGGAGTTATTTTAATGCATAGACCAGTGGTGAGCAAACTTTTTACTACTTGAAGGGCCAAACACAAAGTTTTGAAACAAAGCGAGGGCCAAACAAGGATTATGAAATGTCATCTTATTGAATAAAGTGATACAGAACAAATCACTTTTTCTGTGCTTTTTATTCGGCTCCATAGTTATATTTAGAGAGAAATCAAAGCATGTCAACAAATCAAACAATTACGTAAAATGAAAACAGGCCCAAGTAAGTGACGTCAAGTAGCCAACTACGTCATTAAGTGACGCTGCAAGCTATAAATCGAGCTACAAAGATTATTGATCTACAGAGAGTAACGCCTGTTTAGAGTTTGGGCCCAACAATAAGCAATTTCGTCTTTTTATTTCATTTAGAGATAAAATTACTCCTAAATTTTAGATTTAGGAAACGTCCGGCGGGCCAGATGACAAGGCTTTGCAGTCCGGATTTGGCTCGCAAGCCGTAATTTGCCCACCACTGGCATAGACGATAGATAACAAGTGCACAATTATTAATATATATTTTGAAACCAATATTTTAAATCTTTTCCAGATAATATCAATATTATAGAAGTAATACATGTATAATGAAGAAGTTGCCTGATAATTTTCCTGTATTTCAAGAATCATTGTGATATGTTATTAAATTGATGATAGAAAGTTAACTACTATGTCTCAAGTGAGCACATTCCTACCAAAAATATTCCCACACAGAGAAATGCCGTGCAAGCCAGCAAGCAGTGTTCTCACAACCTTTGAAACATCTAATAGATATGTTCAGTCAAACCTTGCTTATGATGTGTTCAGGGCAGTGGAGAATGGGTCATTGACATTGGTACGCAATGTTTTGTTATCTCGTCCAGATCTGGATTTAAATTTTCACATCAAGGATGTGACTCCACTCTCTCTGGCCTTGTATAAACGACACTTTGACATTTTTAACATGTTGATTCGACATCAAGAAAAAACACGGCGAGTTGACCTGGATGTAAGCAGTAAAGACACGCTAGGGAGAGTTGAGCCTCCAATTATAACAGCATGTAGAATGCATTTTTTAGAAGGAGTTTTTACATTGGTTGGTGCTGGAGCAGACATTAATTCAGTAGATAATTTGGGACACACAGCCTTGTGGGTAGCAGCTAGACGACAAATGCCAGATCTTGTGGATTATTTGATTATGAATGGTGCTAGTGTCAACAAAGTGAATAAATTTCAATACACCCCTTTATTGGCATCATTAATGTACCATGTTAGTTCAATTATTGTAAAAATGTTGATTGTTAATGGAAGTAATCTTGGTCCACATTCCCCTATCGAACATTGTGCTTTGTTCTGGGCAGCTAAACGTGGTAATATAGAAATTGTTCGACTAGTTATAGCTGCTGGTGTACCCCTGTCACAGATAAGAGCAGTTAAAATGGCACTTATGAACAGTGATATAGATCCAGAAATAACAACTCTATTAGACATAGATTCAAGAACCCCGCCTACTTTACAACATCAGTGTAAACGAATAATAAGAACTTACATTGCTAATAAAAGTATGGGGATTTACTTCACAAAGCATATTGATGGTCTGCCACTTCCGTCGAGTCTCAAAAACTACCTTGCTCTTGTTAGGTGACCTGTATGGTGTCATGACCTGACACTATGTGTATTATGGTAGCTACAGAATGTACATTATATAAATATGGTTATTATCATTTATTACATCAATTTTGGAAGTGATTAAAGAATGTGTCCACGATTTGTTTCTAACACTAAACCAGATGTTCACTATACATGTATGTGCAATACAGCTAACTAGTTAATCTATATGGTGGATAGATTCTTAAGTCCGGTCCAATTCAGACCTTGGTCTGCAAGAAAATATTTCAAAAATGAAATATGTTTTTAAGTTTATATTCTAAGATCTGATTTTATGAGCGTGTGAATGCGTTAGATTTCCGCAGTGTCCATAAATTTAATGATTTCTAAAGAGTGTAATATGTGTATGAAAATGGACATTGTGAAAGAAATTCAAAGAAAATTGACATGGCTTCATATTATTATTAGAACAGAACTGAATAAATTTTAATAAAGACTCAAGGCATCTTACATATTCATGTTTTGTATTTATTTGTTTTTCCAGAAAACATGATGGCATAGTGAATCAGATAAATTATGAAAGTTTTTTCTGCATGATTGATTAGATGTGCACATTGAAATAATAATTGCAGGCATCAAAGCTTCTTTCCTTCTAAATTTTCAAAGCACTGTTAAACTTTTAGAATGTTTAAATCATGTCATAAACCATTTGAAAGTCATTGCATGACACTGAATAACCCCTAATGTAATTAAAGGGGAAGATCAACAATTTTCAACCAGGTTTCCATGAATCTTAAATATATATTCATACATAATCCCCTCTGTAACACAAGCAAAAATGTTTTTGTAAGCGAGAAATTAGTTTTTATTAAAACCTGAAGTGGTGTAGTTTGTTCTATACACTCACTGGTCCCTATAGTAAACATAAAAATTAATTCTCGCTTACAAAAACTTTTTTACTTGTGTTACAGAGGGGATTATTTATCAATATACATTTAAGGTTTATGGAAACCTTGTTGAAAGTCGTTGGTCTTCCCCATTAATTATATTGTAGTAGTCATTCCTATGAGCTTGATCTTTCCCATTAATTATATTGTAGTAGTCATTCCTGTGAGCTTATCTGTGAAGCTTACACTACACTAATAAACATATGTACTATTATTTATGAATATTGAAACGTACAATTTTTTTTAACAGAGATATATCAATCTGAATTTGATAATAAATATTCTATGATAATTTTCTTAATGCCTGAGAATAACCAATTTGATTAAAACACAGATCCTATTTCGTTTCGTTTTTTTATAGTTCAAAACTTTGTTTTACTTGTCTTTACTACACTAGGATCTGGAAGAGTTGTTATATAACATTACCCGTGTTCTGGATGATGTGAGAGATTAGTCAATGAAACGGTCTGTTACAGAGAGTTTTTTGCGCGAGGTGCACAGAACTTTGGGTAAACCACTAGAAACGTCAACGCTGATGTCATAGTCATAAGGTCGAAAGCTGCTTGTATGACACCTGAAGCGACCTTCCACTAGAACTGGTGAGATCTTCATGTAGTGTAGGCCATCGGAAGTATAAAAAAACAAAACAAAATATAGATCTGTATATTAATCAGATTTAGGAATAACTGAATTATCATCTTATTGAGATTTCTCTTAGATTTGGATAGTACCGTACCAGACCTATTTCTAAAATTATCTTCTTATTCTAATTGATGCATCATTTTAAGCAATAGGAATCCCTTGCAAACTACAATGAAATCAAGTCAGCTCCAGAGAAACTTTTGATAAATATATATAATCTGTTCTCACAAGAATGAAGAAACAAGACTTTTATTATTAGTAACAGAAAAAGTGTAGGAAAAAAATAATAGGACCATAAATCGAAATTTTAATTTTAGAAAAAATTCTGTTATTGACCAAATGTGATTCTACTTATGTAAAATCGGGGCACAGATCATAGAGTTAGTGTTTTATAATTTTATTATAATTTTTATGAGAGAACATATATCTGAGAAATATTTGTGTGACAGATATATGGTGCTGGTACAGTACAGACTATGTATAATGATGATGTCCTACAGCTTTTTCTTGTGTTAGATGAGATCAGATCCTATCATAAAAAATGGAAACATAATATATTTATTTAAATAAAATGTAAAGTGTGTGAAGGGTGTGTGCATAATTCTTATTTAGTATCAGAACATTGCTTTAAAAATTTTACTTAATCGCTTTAAATTTACAAGTGCTTTGAAAAGAATTGTATACATCTTTTCAGTTAATGTTCAAATTGGGGGTGGGGACAGTTTGTCGTAGACACAATCACAGAGCATGTCCACATTTATCTGTGGGACATTATCAGTCACACATTTAAGACTGTATTGTATAAGATGGTGATATATATTTTTATTATATGAACATTATTATTTTATATTGTGTATTAATGTCAGATACATAGGCTTATATGTCAATGATTTGTATTTCCATTCCACATAAATAAGTGGAAGGGTTCACATTTTTGTGTTTGTTTTGTGTAATTTTTTGTTAAGATTACTTGTTATTGTTTTACTAATGAAAAAGTTTACTATTGTTAATACTGTTACAGACTAATTTAAGTTAATGAAATTGATTTTCTTTATATGTATAGTTGTCACTTAAGGGTACTAAACAGATCTGCTTTTAAAATAGCATGATATAACTTTACTCACATTCAGGTTTTCAGTACAAAAGACAATATAACAACTCACTTTGTGATAAACTTAATGGTATATTCTCGAGACTAGATTTAAAGTTTTCTCACTAACCCTTGTCATTACTTCTATTTGGTTTTTTTTTTAACCCAATTAATGTAGCAACATTAATCCTGATATCACAAAGTTACATTTTATTTGGTTTACTTTAATGTCCATTTAACACACCTTTAATGTCGGTGTTTTTATGGTTGGCTTTAAATGGCTAGTATAGGCTCGTCAGCTAATCAAATATTGGCTCATGAATGGAATGGTATAATTGTGATGATACAATTTACCCATGTAACGGAGAGATGATCTAATGGTGACATTAAGGAGACTTGAGAAACCTGTTTGATGTCCAATTGATGACCTAATAGAAACATATAGGATGCCTGCGAAACATGATCGATATCCAACAACAGTTTGACATTTTATACACAATTAAAGCTCCAGCATATCAGAATAAAGATTAAATATCGAATTTAAAACCAAACATAATCAAACGAAAAAGGTAGGAATATTTTCAAATTGGATTGATAGCTTAATAACTCATCAAGAGACATTGCAGACTTCCACATGCTAAGTTGGACAGTACCAGAAATTAAAAACCCGAGATCTATATTGAAATTAATGCGACTGTTGGACTTTAAAAGTTTTGCTTTATGATATAATTTAAAAAAAAAAAAATCTTTTGGCAATAACCATAACGTGTTAATTTCTGTTGCTACAGCACTAACATTTATATTATTAAACACTATTTATCTGATAATTAATCGAAAATGCAACTAAACTTAATTAAGTACTATACATCTTTCTTTAGTTTAATTTGCCAGTTAATCTTTTATTTCTTGTGGTATGATTATTTTAAAATATTTCATATTATTGTCTCCTGTTATGGTTATTTTTCATCATTTCATTGGTGTTAAGTGTGATGACAGACTGTTGTTGAATTGATTCTCTATAAGATTGCCTTTAGAATTGTGAACTTGTATGTATTATGTAAACTAACTGTGAAGGCTATGTTTTGTTTTGTTTTTTCAACAAAGTATACATGGTATTTTGATCTTGCTTAAATGTATTTATGCATTCCGACATGGAGAAAGATATGGTACAGTATGTATGTATGTATTTGTATGATATAATATACTATCTCTCATGGGTGCTTTTGTGCAGTAATTATTAAAATCAATAAAACTTTCAAATAATATTTATATTGTTTATGTCATTAATAAATAATGCCTGGATGTCCCTCAATAACTAACTTATACTTCATTCCCTCAACCGGTTGTACATGACAAGGAGTAGGGTTGCCTGTCCAACCTCGTGGGTTTTCTCTGGGTCCTCTGGTTTCCTCCCACTTCTAAAAATCCCTACGAGCATGCGAATTATTGAATGAAAATTGAACCATATGTTAGTCCCGAAATGACCTAGTTTGTGTCGAGTGGAGCTATGAATGATTTACCTCTTTTGAGATGTCATTTGTCTACAACATACAGAATGTTCATGTTGCATTAGATTTGTTTTGCACTATCCTGCCAGTGCCAGAGGATCAAGTACCAGTATGCTACTGTGTTTCTACAGATTTCGCTAATGAACCATTGTGTCTATTCCTTATGGTCATACTGATCAGAGTATATTTGTAGTTTACCATATTTTATTATATGAGTTGCCATATGTGCCTTAATATTAGGATTATTTGCCCCATTTGTCAGTATACAGTGCCCCATAATAGTTTTTGTTTTGTTTATCCCACTATCAATCGATAGTAGTGGGAGTTAAAATGTAAAAGAGATGTATTTATGGGTACAGGATTGTTTAAAAGTAGTCAAGTTTTAATTTTTCATTTCTGTGTAAGCTAAGCAACTGTCTATGGAACACAATAACTCTGCTTTTTATTTAGGTAGAATGTTCAAACTTGGTGTAGATGTCCATTACATGAATGGCTTGACTGAATTCAATGATGAACTTTTTTCTGCATAGACGAAGCTGAGTTAAGCACTTAAGAACTTGGTAACTGCTTCTCATTAAGAGGGAGTGATGAAATTCTGTGTAAAGTTTCAATACCGTCCTTAAAGTATCTAAGTCTCTAACTCAATATCATACAAAGTCTTACATGTTGAAAATACGAATTATTGGTCAATTCAAATCAACATTGATGTTGTGATCTTACCAGGAAAAAGTAGGCTTCTGATATCCAATATTTAAGACAAAATAAACATTTTACCAGTGGTACACGAATCGTGTACCGTAGTGCGTTTCAGCGTCATTTGTAACAAGTGACCAGAAAGAACGAGGCTAGACATATTCCACAACTCATGTCAAACAGTGACGCCATATCTTATCTGTAGAGCATGCGTAATAGACTGGAATAACCAGATGTTAGAAATTGCTATTCGGTTGAGACTCATGCCGTATTTCGCTGGACATAACTGATTTGAAATTAGAGTCAAAACGGAAACAGTTGAATGTAAATCAGTTTATATACAATCAGATTACATTATTATATGCGTTGCGACCCATTTGGGTCAATTTCTAAGTCTCAAATATTAGCGATTTAGCTCCTTTAACTAATATAATTTCAACAATGAGAATTTACTACTAAGGCTTATACTGCTAGATGCTTTATAAAAACCATCTGTTTATTTTGGATCGAGGCCGGTCCATCAACCTCACTGTTGGCTTGTTATTGACAAATAAAAAAGGAACACTTATGTATCATAATGAGTAATATACAAATGAATATATACATATATTTGTATTATACAAAATTCTTCATTATTAGAAATAGGAATGAAATTGACTTTTTACTGGCATAAAGTAAAGAAGATTTCTGGACATCAATTATGATCAGGAAATATTTAAATATTAAATGGTCAACATTCCAGACTAAAAGGCAGATGTAGACTTTTAAACAATTCACAATAAAAAGTTCTCTTACCAAAAAGCATATTGGTCCAAAATGTTATGGCCATCCGAAGTTCACATTACTTTTTACTCTAGTGATTTCACGCCGCCAATTTGAATTTCTTCTAATCATCTGAACAATAACTCAATTCTACACATAAAAATTTAAAGCAATGACTGCTATCTTCTATAGCAGTACACATTAAAAATTGTTGTGTCAAAGTGACATACTACTGATATAAACAGATGAGTGAGTTAAATTACATCAAATCAAAAAACAGATAGATTTGATTATCAACATTACAGTTCAAAGAACTGATACCATTGGGAATCAAGCTTTAGAAGATGCGTTCTAAACTTTATTTTAACTTCATAACATCATTTGAATCATCAAATAAGCACTTTTCAAAAAGAACAGTAAAAGATCTTCTTTCCTTGTGAACTAATTACTGTACACAATATCAATGAACTATATTTACATGGGTATTTACACAAGTGATTTGGTCATGGTGTAATTCTGAGGTACTGTTAAAAGTCAGAAACCACAGTGTTTCATTTCTGGAATGAATATACTGTAAAACAACACATTAATGTCTGCAGCCAATTAATGCATAAGATCTCAGACGTCATACATTTCTGGTCTGTAACAAAACACACACACCAAAAAAGATAAATAGTAACAATCCCCTCACAATTATTGTGTGGTGTCATCATGGATGACCCCCCGTCCCCTTTAAAGTAAACCAATAATACTATACTGAAATATTTGCAAGTAAAGTAGCAGCTATTCATGATATACTACATAGTAATCAATAATAATAATAGTAATAATAATAATTAAACAAAATATTTACCTAAATAAATACAATATACAACACTAATGATAAGTACAGTAAGTAATAATAAGCAGATGGATTGTTGAATGGTTCTAGCAGAGTTTTTTTTATGAAGACACAAAACTGAAGCAACATGATTAATCAATTCTCAGCAGTTATAAATTAGGAAACTGAATAGGTATGTTGATGATACAGGTTTAGACAAAGTCACCCGGTATGACAGTGGTTTTTGGTACATAATTTTATAAAGTGTAGAGTTTTTGTTATTCAGGAACGTCATAGTATAGCACTTTTTCATTAATTTACATAATGAATTTCAAAATGAATAAAAACAATGATTTATTTGTGTTTTTTTCGATGTGATAAAAAATCAAAAATAATGACATAATGAAACAAGATCAAATCTTCTAAACAATATGTATTACTTATAATATGTACAATTTTGTTTTTGGCCTGTATAAAATTACAGTAATTTGTTTAGATTCAATTATTGTCAAAAAAGACCAGCTACAAAAATAAACAACAATAACATATACATGTAATCTCACAAAAAACACAAATCCAGACCCTTTTCATCAAAAATCATAACATACCTTGTTTATACTCCAATGAGCAGAATTATGAGCACAGTAAATTTTATAATTCAAAATATGCTTATATGAATGCAATATTATTACATATGATTTTTTAAATTCTTTTATATGCGTCAAAACATTCTAATATGAATCCAATAATGTACAATATCATTTTATAATATGAATCCAATTATTCTCATATAAATCCAATATTTTATCATACCATTTTACATAATATACAAAATAAAAAGGCAGGAATGTTTTCTGTATAAAAATAGAATTTTCAAAATGATATACTCAATAGACACACAAATTGCACTTAGAGTCATAGTTTTTCTTTCTCTTAAAAAAAAATTACAGCAGGCTTTGTACTTTTTCATCCATTTTCATTTTCATAATATGTGTGAAAGAGCCTCTCTGTTTGACAACAGCGCATGGCATCATATGTATGCATTAAAAGATGAGGAAAACGGGATGTAAAATAATAAACAAAGTTATCAGGAACTGATCCTAATGATAATTTCACAGGATCCGGTAATTCTCTATAGTGGTGTTTCTGAAATTATTTATATAATAAAACATTATGAGCTAATTATCTCTAAAGATTACTGCACAAATAGAAGTCTATTGTGAATATCAAAGTATTTGTACTATTTTGGGAATTCACTGGCCGTTGTTTAGATTTATCTAGGAGTGGGAGTGGGTTTCTCAGAATAGTCTTAACACTGGGTGAACATTGATTCAAATAAACAACAAATCATGTAGCTGTTATTTTTTGTATCAATGTGTAGTGATAACAAACAGTAACCTAGTCTTTAGCTAGACAATAAATGTTAAATAATCTTTAATTGTTTACTTAAACAAGAGAGTGCATTGGACAAATCATATTGAAGAATGCCATAATCATGACATGTTCTTAAATTTATTGTATTTTGCCATTTTGAAATCAAATGATTTTTCTTGGATTTGATAACCCAGTTGTGGTGTAGTTTCTTATATGTTAGTGCTTGGCAGTATGTGGTTTCTGTTTCATCATTAGTCATCAATACATCACACCCTTGTCCCTTGTATACCAAAAACTAAGTCAAACTGGTTTTAATGAAAACCACAAAACTATTAAATCCCAGAAATTTCAAGTTAGCAAATGGTACAACTACTAAAAGGAAGGTTAATGTGTGTTCAGAGTTTTAAAGATATCTGAAGGGTGGACAAAGCCCATTTCAATATCTCTCCATTAACTTCATTTGATGAGGGTTAATAACTAAGAAACGTACCTTATTTCTCATAGCTCGTAATAAATCTCTCACAGACTTGCCTTTATAACTACGAAACTTTTTCAGATCTGAAAATAGTAGCATCTTAGGATGAGTAAAGTAAAAGTATTAAAAACAAGTAAATTACCGTATTAGATCAGACTGGATTGAGCTATTTATATTTAATGTTGTTTTGTATTTTACTGCCCTATATGACTCTCCTATAATTCAGTGACAGCTTATGTAAATCTCAACTAAATAGACCATGTCATAGGCTAATCCCACCCACATCAAACAGAATGAGGTTATTGCAAAACTCTTCAAGCTGCATGTGTAAATTTGAACTATAAAAGACGAAATAAGATCTGTGTTTTAATCAGATTGGTCTGAAGATAGATTATATTTTATGACAATAATAAAATTTTAACCTTCCTGTAATTCTGAAGTAATATTTTTACGCCAGTCATATTTAACTACCACATAAGCATCATTTTCTAATCTTTGTACAGCTTCACATTCTTCAGTTTCTTTCTCTATTCTATCACTTACATCCTAAATAACATATAACAAAAGCTATACTCCAAGTTATAATATGATCTCAGTAGTCATGCGTTTAGAGAGAGAGAGAGAGAAATGGGTCATTTTGGGACTAACATATGGTTTAATTTTATTTCAATAATTCGCATGCGCGTAGGGGTCTTTAGCAGTGGGAGGAAACTGGAGGACCCGGAGAAAACCCACGAGGTTGGACAGGCGACCCTACTCCTTGTCACGTACAACCGGGGCATGCGCTTAGATCATTGAACTCTCCAATAGAATGTACCAGGATCAAATCCAGTGTAAGCCTGGTTCTCACTTGTTCAGGGTATGGTCTATTTATTTGAATGGGAAGGTCTATCCATGATGTATACACTGGCATGTATATAAAAGAAACCTTGAATTTAATGAAGAGTAGTCTGAAAACAATAATGTCCAGGCAAAAACTTTCCTCCCTAAGCATTCATTGCACAACATAAAAAACCAAAAAAAAAACCTTATGTTAGTCTGAAAATGACCGAAGTATTGTAGGGATGAAACATTAAAACTTCATTCAATTCCTTCCCCTTTTCAGTAACAAATATGAGCTGAAAACAGTTTTAAAAAAATGATATGAATGTAAAATACTATAAAAGACCAAATTCCATAATTCTATAATACCTAGACTCACACACATATAATTTGTGTATTTATATCCTGTCATATTCTAGTATAGCAATAAAATCATATTGTACAAATTACATTCTATTATCAAACATATAAATTCAAAAGACCCTTTTAGTATCTTTGACACACTTCAACTAAAAATTACCAATACCTGGAAGAACATTAATTGCTTTTCTCGGTTCCAGAAGAATGGGTGTTTTAATACAGCTTTGGCACTTGGTCGTTCCTCAGGTTTATATCTGATCATAGATTCCACAACAGATCTTAAAACCACATAATCTATATAAAAAAAATACAATTTTCTAAACATATTTAAATACTTTCTTACCTAATTTGAAATGGAACAAGGACCCAAACTTATATTAAGACCACTAGACAACACTACATATTTTTACAACATCATGTTTCAGAACTAAAAGTGGGAAAATGTAGCAATGAATATAAAAGTATGTTGTGTATGCAACAAAAATACACAGAATTTTTAAGCTTTCAAGTATTCATGGTCAAGGGCAATAACTGTTCAAAAAATCTTTGATCTCCTCCTTCCTTAGGAGTTAGCACTAGCTGAACAAACCCAAAATCTTTCAAAAAAAGTTTCATAAATTCTGACCTTTCAAGTGTTTAAAGATGTATTATGTATAAGTTAAATCTGCCTAATGCAGATCTTTCATTTGGCCTTAAATGTTACATAAATCATTAATTAGACATTTATTCACATGCCAAGCCCATAACCAACTCTCTAGACCATTGAATGGTTTTGATTTTCAACGGATTTAAACATGATTGCAAGTTAATGATTTAATTAAAAAATGGCTAATCAAGATTTTGTTCATTATCATAACGGCCATAACTCCGCTCAAACTGAAGTAATTTGACAGAAATTTTCAACGTCTTCTCTTTTCATAATCTATTTTTTTAACTATTACAGCAAGAATGGTGAGCTCTTTATCTAAATCTTACATAAAGCATCTTTAAATGTGGGTGCATAAAAATTGTTACTTTATTATACAATAATAATGAAAGCAATCTTACCATCACCATGTATGTGAACAAGACTGGATTCTCCATTTAAAATATTAGATTGTCTTCTTAAAGTTTCTCCAAATGGGTGTTTACCTTGAGCCATCACATAATAAATAACACAACCTGCAGAGAATATATCTACAGCACATGTCTGAAATTATCAAATATTTCTAATCATTAATTTATTAACTTTTGGAAATAATACAATAATAGTATTGTTACACTTACATGTAAATACTATTAATAAAACAATAATATTAGTATGTAAATACTATTAATAAAACAATATTATTATTAAGTAGATACAATTAATAAAAGAATATTATTATTAATTAAAAGAATTTCCATTATACCGTCCGTTGTTCTTCATCTAACATTTCAGGTGCTATCCAACCTTCAGTACCAGCAGCACCAGATCTACGAGAGAACGACATTCTGCCAGCTGCCAACTTCTTACATAAACCAAAATCTGATATCATAGCTCTAACTTCCCCTTTACTATTAGGATATGATATTAAAACATTCTGTGGTTTAATATCTCTATGTACTGAAATCATTTAAACATGTAGAAAAGATAAATAAAATATTTCATACTGAAAGATACTTTTACCATTACGAATTTCACCATGTGGGATATCACACTTACTGAATAATTATGACACTCAATGTACTGAAATTGACATTATTATTTGTCACACATAGAAATCAAAGAATTTTGTTTCTGTTAAAGAATGTACTAGATATTCTATTATGATATAAAAAGACAAATTGACAGTAGACATGAAAGGACATTGTTAACATATTTGTTGTGTGACAATTTGTACTTGATAAAGTCTGTGACAGGTGCCTTATGTCTAGGCTTGTAAAGGGTCCATCTGTTTCTACATGCTAATGAAAGATAGATAATGATGATAGCTTCTTGGATCAGATTTAAAAAAAAAAACAACTTGAGATATCTCAGTTCAAAGGTACAATTTTTTAGTTAAAGATACATTATATAAAATTTGGATAAAGAGCTGACCGTTCTTGCTTTAATATTGCTTTAAGATATTAGCCTTTGAAGGTTTGGCAAGATGTGTGCAGATTGTAACCACGGTACTGGTTGCTGAAGCTTTGCTTTGCTTCACCATTTTTAGATTAAATCATTAAATGGCTGAACCGTTCTAATCTACTTAAAATCAGACCTATCCGATGGTCGTGTCATGTTAATAAATGTCTAATTAATAGTTTATATAACATTGAATGCATAAAGAAAGACCTACATAATGCATGCTTAAGTCATCAATAGTATCAGATCTTTCAATACTGTGTCCAGTATTTACTAAATCCATCAAATTGTTTACTTTGTGAGTTGAAAATAACTATTACTTGTGTTTCTACCCTTTTCAATTGACAAATATTAGTTCTGGTTCTACTGGTGGGGATATGAAAGCAGTATTTAATTTGGAAAGTTGATTCCAGTAGCTATCAGTATTATCTATCTATTGTTAGAAATAAGTGGACCATTTCTAATAAGCATTGACTTTTGAGTGTTCCTGGTATATTGAAGGCATCGGGGATTAACTTAAATAGTCTAATCCTTCATCTTCATCTCAGGAATTAATATAATGGGCTGAGCAGTAGATGTACTATAAAATATATATAAATATCATGGTATTTATATCATTGAAATAAATGAATTTGTACCTATGTCTAAGGAATGAAGATGAGCTAATCCAGACATAGCTTGATATAATAAATGTCTAGGATCTAAACCATCTATAGTTATTTTATTTTCAACAAATACTTGTACTGTAGCTGCACATAATTCTAATGCTATATAACGAAACTGACTATCTGCTTCCTGTAAAAAACAATATATCAATATGATTATATAAGATCCAATCATATCTCAACATATTTCAAGACTTGCAATTTTTTTTTATTTCATGAGTGGCTTTTTATGTGAGACTCTTTAGCTAAGGAAGAAAACCAGCAAGGTTAGACAGGCCCCCATTCTCTTTGTAGCTAGTGTACTATCTCATGATGGAGATAACATTAGAGATTCATAAAATATTATTATTGACTGTTTCTCGGTGTGTTCGGTGTTCTATCTGAGGATTATTTTCAACTAAGATTTAAATTCAACTAACAACTTGTCAGTGAAACATTAAACTATGATCCAGTTACTATTCTAATATCTACAGGTACACCTGGAATTCATGCGAGCGTCAAAGGCACGCGCTAGATGCACAATCCATTCTGAGATCGTATCATCTTCCTTTGATTGCCACATGGCCTATTTCCTCAAGGCAACTTACTGAACCTGTTATGAATAATCTGCAAGCTTGTTTTGTTTTTTTACCGTTTTATCAAAATTACCATTACCTGTGCTAATTACTTCGATGAACCACATGGCCGATTCTCACTGGTATGACTGTTATTGTAGCAGACAAGCAAGTTGATTTACTTCTTAATTAACAAGTAATAATTAACCCTTCGTAATTTAGCCGAAAGCAGATTGATTTATGATACCATAGTGGCTGGTTTATTGTTTTAAGAATCGACTAAAACCAACAAAAATCAACTAATTAAGATTCCTGGTCAGAGTCCACTCAACCATCCAAAATTCCAAATATACAGATATATTCCGAGATCAAAAGAAAAAAACTGGAACCAAAATAACATAGGTAACGGTGAATGTCACCAAAACAGCCGCTGAACAAAATATAACAAATATTACCTATACATATATAAGTTTATTTTTCATTTTCTTAATAATAAAATTTGTCACATTTTTTTATACAATTAACTTACCATACAGAAATAACGAATAACATTAGCATGTTGATCAGATTCACGTAATAACTCCACTTCTCTATCAGCAAAACTAAAACATTCTGGTAATAATCTCTTTACAGCTACATTTCTTCTATCAAACTTACCTCTATAAAATAATACATAAAATCTTTAATACTCTAGAACAAGATGGTACAAAACCAGTGGCTGCTAGGCAGGATACACCCACATTTTGCAGGAGATGGATAGAGAACAAGCTAAAAACAAACACGATTTTTTGTACAATCAGGGGCAATAATCCAGAAAGTTATGGTCTGAAATGTGCAAATATCAAAAGGGACTGAGATCTTTGGGATATAAAGATACGTTTTAAGTTTCATCAAAATCGGCTAAAAATTGTGACCTCTAGAGGGTCCACAACCTACGTATTACATACTTTTACATACTTTGCGTACAAACAGTGGTCATTTTGTTGGGCAGTTTCATTTCAATTTTCCAGAAATTCGAATTCAACCTTCATTATGGTGGAATGGTGATATATTTAAACGGTTTTTAAAATCGGAAAAAAATTTGTGACCTCTACGGATCTGCAAGCTAAAAATGAAATTTTTCGAACAATCAGAGACCATAATCAAGGAAGTTACGTTCGGATCTGCGCGATTATCAAATGGAACCATGATCTTAGTGTGTAACGGTGACACGTTTTTTTTTAAATCGGATAAAAATTTTGTACAATCAAGGGCCATAATTCAGGAAGTTACGATCTGATATGAGCAAATATCGAAAGCAACCAAGATCTTTGGGTAATAAACATGCATTTCAAGTTTCATCAAATTGTGACGTCTAGAGGGTCCACAACCTTGATATACCAGATGTTTACACTATTCGCGTACGGCAGTTGTCTGGCAGTTTTGGTCCGATTTTCACGAAATTCGAATTCAACCGTCATTAAGGTGTAACGGTGATTTATTCAAATATTTTTTTAAATCGGCTAAAATTGTGACCTCCATAGGGTGCACAAGCTAAAAAACGTGATATACCAGATGTTTACAATATTTTTCAAACAGTTTTTCAAATCAGATAATAATTGTCATCTGTAGAGAGACCACAAGCTAAAAACGCGATTTTTCGTACAATCAGGGGCCATAATTCAGGAAGTTAAGATACGATACGCGCGAATATCGAAAGGAACCAAGATCTTTGGGTTATAAACTTACATTTCAAATTTCAACAAAATCAAATAAAATTGTGACCTCTATTGGGTCCACAAGCTAAAAACGCGATTTTTCGTACAATCAGGGGCCATAATCCATGAAGTTACGGTCCGATAATGCTAATATCGAGATCTTAGGGAGATAAACCTATATTTCAAGTTTTGTTGAAATCGGATAAAAATTGTGACTTGTAGAGTGTCCACAAACAATTGTGGACAGACGTCCGGACGGACAAGGGCGACGACTATATACGTCCACACGAAAATGTGGGCATATTAAAATGGGATTTAACATATAGTAAGCTCAACATGGTGATTTCGTTTTTAACATTATGTAAAATCTCATTATTTGGCAAACGACACCATATATTATTATCATTGAATGGAACTCAAGGTTGCAGGAGAGACAGACCCCAAATTTTATAGCAAAAAAAATTAGACATCTAAGCCTTTTTAATAGCCTAAATACTGATTAAGCGATGTCATTGTTTTTTAAATCTTCATGGGTTAATAAAATAATAATTTTCAAATTGACGTGATATGACTAAAATTAAATTTGTGATTGTTCATATTTGATTGCATACAGAGATCTATCCAACTATCACTGAGATGTTGACGTTTGGACATTAATTATTTAGTTGTATAGATTTTTAATGTTTTTCAAACAAATAACACTTGCCATGGTTGTTTTCTTGTTGAGAGTGATAATGCCCCATTGGGTTCAATACAACAAAAAGTTTAGAAATGTGAAAGTTTGTTTAGCACAGATTGTTTTTAATGCCTTGGTTTAAATATCAATAACCGATCAAGTATTTAAAGTGGAAAAAAAAAATGAGTTAGTCTTCAAACTTACTTGTATACAAAGGTCCCTTCACAGCCATGTCCAATAATTTGCTTTGGATCAAAATATATTTTTCCTATCTGGATATGTCCTTTCAATTCATCTAAAATAATAAATTCATTATTGTAATGGTTTTTATCACCCAATAATACATTCTACAGTAGATATCGCTTGTGTGATATATTTCATAATCTTCTGCGATATCTACTTAGAAGATATCGCTTTACATCGACTACTGTTGTTATTCAGTTGACCTTGATGGAAACACTGGGTCAATATAAAGGACTTTTCAATGGTTGAATTACTGTCAAAAAATGATGTATCACTACGCCGCAATGTTCAGTAAAAGTGAAATCTACAGCAAAGAATTATATTTATCTATTTGTGCATGTAAGAAGGGATTGGGTGATAAATAAAATCTCCTACTCGTCTTTTTTTATATCAAAAAATATCAACACTCGTTGATAAAGTAAAAAAAAAACTCGGCAGAGCCTCGTTTTTTGTTACTTTATCAACTTGTGTTGATATTTTTTGATATCAAAAAAGACTGGTAGGAGATTCTCTATTTATACAGGGAGGATACCATATATATTTTATGCTTTTTAACACATCAAAGGCCAATTCCAGTTTATATAGCATAAAAACACAGGTTTATGACATATAACCTCGATAAATAACAAATAAAACTTGCTTGCATCAAATATCAATTTCTATTACAAACACGCACCAGTGTTTATTATGATTTTAAATTCAATTGATTTGTATTCACTGAGTGTAACAAATGTTGGCAAAGGGTCATGATTTAGATACTACATAGTTAGATTAGTGATAATCAAAACATCCAATGTTATGATTTAGTAATGTATTCATTTCCATGCATACTAGAAAGATTTGCAATGACAAGGCACCCAATGTTCATAATGCATTCACTACCAAACATACTAGTTTAGATTTACGATAATTGAAACATTAAAGTTCAGAATTATTGAGGGGATTGAAAAATTATGTGACCAATATCATATCCAGTTCCATAAACCTGATATGTATTCAGATGAATCAAAGGTTGATGTATTTTCTATAGAAACTATTTTTTTTTCATACCAATCTAAAACTTATCAGCACAATCAAACATGGATAATGGCTTTTATTGCATCTGAAATCTGAATACATTAGCAGCTATCTCAATAAATAAATCAATACATTGAATAACAAATTTATATCATATTATTTTCAATTAAAATCCTACACAAATTATATTGCTATTTGATATAAAATCAATACTTTTATGATATTCCATGCATTATTGAAGTTACAATATAGGTAACAAAGCTCCGATATACATATATCTACTATATATATGTAGAGTCATGACTAGACAGACATATTTGTAATTTATCACAAATTTTAACTAACCATCGATTTCTATTGTTGCAGTTGTCAATGGACTCTTCTGTTCTGCTTGCTGCCGTCTGTTCTCTTCTATTTGTTTTTGAAGCATTAATTTAATTGACTCCTCAGTTTTCTACAATAAGAATATCAATTTTTATCTAAATACATAATAATACTTTAGAGTTATTACAACCCCTTGAGATTTTGCGACCCCTCCTCAAATGCAAAACCGTGTGGTTTCAATGTTTTTTTCAACACTATAATCATAATCTCTAACCAGTGTCAAACATCTACTGTGGTTCAACTGTATAATTTTCCACACAGCCCAAAATTTATCAGCGTCAGAGAATATCACACCCCCCCCACCCCAACAAAGATATAAATATTGGATCCTGTTCCTCATGCAAAATCAGCAATCGTTACGGCCCTTCTGAAATGGACAGGAATTAATGGAATTCAACACAGTTGTAAATTTATTTATGTCACATCACTGTTGAACAGTTGAAGTAACAGAAATGGGACTGTAGCAGTTGCAATAATAATTTGATTTGGCAAATTAAATCTATAAAAGATAAAAGATACGTACTCTAGGAAAATAATACACAATGGCTACAATAGTTCCTAATGATAAAAATACTGATGTGAGAAATTTATAATCTTTTGTTATATAAGCTGCTATGCCTTCTCCTTCTGCTGAGGTATTATTTACTTGTGGTGGTGTATGAGTTCTTTTATGGTCTGGTATGATTTTTTCTGCGTGACTGGTTCTGTCAGTAATCTGGAAAGCTGGTGATATTCTAACAATAGATGCTTCTGGAACTTCATGATATCCTATAAATAAGTTAATGTATTTTAATATGGTGGTGAACTATGTTTATGACAATAGCAATATTGCGATTTTTGAACCTGGTCCATCAAATGTGACAACAACACAGAAGTAACCACAAAGTTGTTCACATTTGACATTTTGGATGTTTTTGATCAATTTCTACAAATAATGACAGATTGTGTTTATAAGACACTAAACCTTAGTCCATATTTAGTGGAGTGTCTTAGAACTTGACCAAAATTCATTAGAAACATTATCAATTTAAACGACACAAGAATTTTATTTTTTGACCTTTCCAAAGTATTATAAAGGAAAAGTATTATAATAAAAGTTTACAACAAACCTAACATAAGTATACCACGACCTCTTCTGATTGTTGAAGCTTTTATTTTCTGCTCATGTGTAGATTTATCTTCAGATTTAATAGGCTCTACTATAGAGGCATCTGGTCCCTCTAACAGCAATGGACCAAAATTTCTTGGCTATAAAAATAAAAGGTTTCAATGTCAAAGAATGGAAGATACACAAGCTATCCTGGGACTTGTTTATCTTTGTTACAAAGCTATAGGTTTTTCTACAAGAGTACAAGCTTTGTAAATAGATAGGCCTCTCTAATATATGAACCCAAAAAACAAAATCATTTTGCTCTAGTAAACTAAAAGATAGGTTGCTAGGCAATGAGACATACACAAGTCGCCCTAGGAATCTACAAAGTATGTCACATTTTGTTTCTTTTGTAGGCATTGAGGGCATTTAAAAAAACACTAAATAGAGTGTCCACAAGATTTTTCAAATTAGTCTAGGTCCTTAACTCGGAAGGTTAATATCATAAATCATTGAAAATCTATAGACTTCTCCAGATAACTTTAGCCTATAAATAGGATGCCCCATGCAACCAACATTTCCCCTACTGAAAGTTGAACTTGACACGGCAAAAGTGCACACTTCAGTGGCCTGACTCGAAGTTATTTCTGGCTGGCCACGCGCTGTGATAACACTCAGCACAAGAGTCTATGACTGAGTCTATAAATAGCCATCAAACATGAAATTCTCTACACATCTATCAACTATTACAGGCGTAAAAAATCTATTGTTGACGATTCTGAATAGCAGTAATATTTAGCTTTTTGGTTATTATAGAAATTACGTTCGTTTTATTTTCTAAATTGCTTTATCATTAGCTATATTGTTAGGAGTGGCATCTTTTGGTTTAGTACAAATAATATCTCTGAAACACTTGGGTTAGGCAAGAACATGATACTAGCAGTAGTTTCATTTTACTTTTACAAGGTTCTGTTATGTTTTGCAAAAAAGTAGTATTGATTATCCCGGCTTGTTAAACAGACAGAGAATGGTAGGTAGACTGGTTAAGCAAGATTAATTTCAAAACAAGGGCACGTAACCTATTTTTTACTCAAAAGTGCCCAGATGTTATGGCCGACACTCTTAACCATTTTTCAGTCAATTATTTATTGATAGTTAAATGGTCATAGCTTATTAAGTATAACATGACCGTTTATTTAGTGACTATAAATGTGCAAAACTAATTTAAGGCTTGGTATATATATAAATATTGTGGTGTAATTGTTGAGATATTTATCTATGGTGGGGCACCCTACTATATAAAGTTTCCACAAGATTTTCAAATTGATCAAGTGCAATAACTCTGACAAAACTTATCGTTCAGAAGCAACAATTGTGTTAACAAAAAGTTGATATTGTTTTGAATTGAATATTTTACCTTGAGTGCTATCAAGCAGTGATTGAAATTTGAGTAAAACATAAAAATAATTTATGACCTTGGATCTAGATTTAATGGTTTGAATGGTTTTTAAGTGTGAGAATGATACCTATGATCGTATAATAGTGAATTGACATCATAACATTGTTATTTCATTGCATGCAGACGATATTTAAGACTTACTGAAATAGTGACTGTTTTTTCATCAACCATTGATGCCAAAGCATAAGAACCATACTCATATTCTCCAACATATAAAGTAGGACTACAAAACAAATATACTTAATTTTAAGAAAAAACAAAACACATTTCCCTATCAATTATAATACAATATTTTCTTTCTAAATTACATTTGCTATTTAAAAGGAATCACTTTTCTGAGGTAACGTTATCATTTCAATAGCAAAATAAAACATACTTACTAAAAATAATGTTGTTTTCCTTGATTCAAGAAACGTGTTCGCCAAGCTGTCGATGACACTTGTCCAGAAAGATGTTCCAATGTTTCAGGAGCAAAACTAAGGAAAGGGATTTTTTGTAGGCCATCTTGATGCAGTTTATACATTGCCACAACTGGGGAATCAAATTTATGATGCCATAAAACATCTCCTGAAACAGATATAATTTGAAAAGCTTCAGCAAATGTTATTTTCTAGATCCTCCATAGAGACATAAATATCATTTCACAAGATTTTGAAAGAAATGAACTTTAGAGATAAAATCTTACCTGTTTCGCTGTCAAGTGTCACAGTCATCCCATTAGAACTGGCTGTAAAATGTTGTAAATCTACAGAAGAAGAAAATAGATTGTAATATATTAAAAAAAACATTGGGAATCTTAAACATTGAATGTTTAAAGGAAAAACGGCAAAATTGGTTAATTCTGTGTGGAAGGCTCTTTCAGATCCCTTTAATCAAGTTTCAAGCAACCATCTGAACTTACACACCTCTAGGTTTATATCTCCTATAGCAAGTATTTATGTTTTAAGGGGTCTATTCCCTTTGCCAACCTTCTGTAAAGTCTTTAGGGATTAATATTGGGATAATATTAATCGTCGATAACCACATACTTTGAACTTGACTTGTACAAGTTAGCAGCAACTGATAAATTTACAAGTGCCCTAAATACATGGCAACAATCTTTATAATTTGTGTTAATGTGTAAGAACCTGGAAAGTGGTTGCTGTCTACTAATTCTGTGTTAGATTTTAAAAGAAATACCAACTTTCAGTTATAAGGTGGAGTCGGAGACGAGTTTCTTGCCTAACAAATAACCTTATTAAAGATAAAGTAAGCAAGAATTACATAGAGAAAGATCTACCTGTTCATGCAACAATAGTTCAAAATTTCATAATTCTTGATTGTCAAAAGGCTTTAAAACTTAATATGAATATTTTACACAATAGTTTATAATAACTCACTGTATTCTGTAGGATCTGGAGCAACATGGGAACTATAATCCATAAATGTTGCATTCCATCTTTTTATTCCTGTTTTACTGTCATACATCATGATGGAATATTCTTAAGTATAAACAAAATTAAAATTACTGGCTAAAGCAGATCCATGGCAAGAATTTCTAAAATGCTTTACATTATAGATAAGACTAGCTTTTTTTTTCTCATTATATCAGTTTTGAATAACATCTACAGAAAATCTAAAAGTATATACAATTTAAACAATGGGAATGTTCTAAGTCTTTAACTGATTGAAAACACAAATTATTTGTCAATTTAAATCAACATTGATGTTGTTATCTTACCAGGCAAAAAAATATTTTATCATTGGTACGCGAATCATGTACCACAATGCCTTTCAGCGCCATTTGTAACAAGGGCCTCTAAGAACAAGGCTCGATATATTCTACATGTCATGTCAAACGGTGACACCATACTCTTATCTGGAGAGCATGTGCAATAAATACTATCGGTGTAGACTAGAATAACTAGATGTTTGATATTGCCATTTGATTGAGATTTCTTGCGTATTTCGCCGAACATAACTGATTAGAAATTACAGTAAAAACAGAAACAATTGAATGTATGTCAGTTTATATACATTCATATTACATTATTATATGCGGCGCGACACATTTGTGTCAATTTCTAGGTTGAATTGCTGTCAAAAAATGATGTATCACTACGCCGTAATGTAATCAGGTTCAGTAAAAGTGAAATCTACAGTAAAGAATAATATTTATTTATTTGTGCATGTAAGAAAGGATTTGGTGATAAATAAAATCTTCTACTCGTCTTTTTTGATATCAAAAAAATATCAACACTTGTCGATAAAGTAAAAAAACAAATCGGTAGACCCTCATTTTTGTTACTTCATCGACTTGCGGTGATATATTTTGATATCAAAAAAGACTCATAGGAGATTCTCTATATATCTCTGAAAATAAATGATATAATATATCATAATTTCAATTATCTAGATACCAAATCAATAAAAAAAATACAATTTTAAATAGCTCTAGTTTACTGACAATGCTTTATTAAGGATAATGGTACATTACAGAAAAAAGTATTTTTATTGTCCATTTAAATATTCATTCTAGAATCAAATAAATGATCTTAGTTATTACATGGACATTAGAATGTTATTAGAATATTAGTTCCACTAGACTGGTGTATTTATATTAAATAAGATTCATTCTATCAACATCACTCTGTCAATTATTTACAGGTAAACAGCTTTATTAAATTACACCCAACAGTGAGCAACCAGGTGTTTATAATCTATTGGGGTATAAATCGTAATTTTGAAAGAGAGCAATGGGCTAATAAAAAGTAATAAAATCACTGAATAAAACACCAGTAATCGTAATGTTTTACACCATTGTGTTTTTAATGCCCAGATTTGATTTTGTGATAACCAGTGAGATTTATCTGTAAATCATCAAATTTTACTCTTTACTCTAAAGAGAATGTACTACAGCACATTTTATTTTTTTTTGGCCTAACAAAGTATCCCATTTATCATAATAAGTTAATTTCATCTAGTTTTATATAATCAATTATCCTTTACTAGATCACTTTTCACATAATTAGCTATTCTTATCAAGTTTTATATTATAATTAGTTGTTTTTATCCCTTTTTAGTATGCTAAATAGTTGTTTCATGTACATCAATTATTATTTCTCACATATAAATAGTTGTTTTATCTTGTTTTATAAATTAATTGCCCTTTAGTGTATATCATGTAGATTCATTGCTGTTTACTAATTCCGTATTGTCTCTACTTGAAATATCAATCATCACTGCTACTAAGGACACTAAGGTCCATATACATGTATTTATTTTCATATCGACAACTACTCAGTGAATATTATTCACCAATCTTGATGTCCGATTGGACATATTCCTGGTCAGGCATTTGGAAAATAGCATAGGGCATGTCCGGCAATATATACGGCCGAAATAGCATCCATGCTCGGTGGCCATACAAATCCATTAAGTTAATTAGGTCCTTTGAACTTGTTATCACCCTATCAAGTCACCAGCATTTGTTTTTATCTGTATTTGCCTCACATTTTACTGTATTTGTTTGAGATGCTTTCCATAAGTATAGTTTATTGCTCTATGGAGTTAGTAAAAACCTATAAAAGATTACATTTTACAAGTACAAATCATTTACTTGTACTAAAATATATTTTATGGTCCTAACTTCAATTCGAAATGTTAAGAAGTTAGTCTAAACAGCATTCCAAACTTATAATATGTAACTTCCAATATATAAAAAAACATAGTATATTTTATTAGGTCAAGTATGAGAAAGGAAAATAAATTGCTAATGTCACAGATGTTTCTAGACATAATTTAAGCTCCACATATAATAGAACTGTATGATTTACTACAATCTATTATATGCACACATGCCCTGTTTCACAGTCATCAAAAGCAATAAAGCAAAGGGACAACAGGACTAGTATCACACAATATTATTATTTTAGTGTTTGCCAATTTGATTGAAGTAAGCTAAGACCATGGTCAAATGTCCATTTAAATATAAATAGTTCTCGGTTTGATTCTAGACAGGATGAAATCAATGTAACAAAGAATTGTAGCATGAATGAATATTTGCCATTAAGGTCTTGATAACTAAATAGTCACACAAATCTTGTGTTTAAAATTTCAGAACTTAAAAAATTTGGATTTTCTTGTAAAAAATAGAGTGAGAACTTTTTTGTTATTAAAGTAATGATTCGCCATTGGCACTTGTCACATATCAATTTCTCATGGATAATCCACACTAATGTTATGTACTCCGGTTGATTACTTAACATTTACTTAAAGTAGCTAAGTCTCTAACTCAATATCATCCAAAGTCTTTAACTGATTGAAAACACAAATTATTTGTATATTTAAATCAGCATTGATGTTGTGATCTTACTAGGAAAAGATGGGCTTCTGATATCCAATATCTAAGATAAAATAAACATTTTACCATTGGTACACGAATCGTGTACCATAATGCGTTTCAGCGCCATTTGTAATAAGGGACTCGAAGAACAGGGCCAGACATATTCCACAAGTCATGTCAAACGGTGACGACATATTCTTTTCTGGAGAGCATGCGCAATAATACTATCGGTGCAGACTCGAATAACCAGACGCTAGAGATTGCCATTCGATTGAGACTTCTGGTGTATTTCGCCAAACATAACAGATTAGAAATTACAGTAAAAACAGAAAGGATTGAATGTAAATCAGTTTATATACATTTATATCACATTATTATATGCGTTGCGATCCATTTGTGTCAATTTCTAGGTCCTAAATATTAGCGAGTTAGCTCCTTTAAAGAAAAGAAAATCAGAATATCAATGCTAGATAATGTCCCAGCTTGGATTCCATCAGATTTAAAACAGGCCTATCATTGAATTTTTGTAGACAACAAAAGGGCAGTGGGCTTATTGCATAGCGGGTAGCATAGATTGATGAAATTTCAATTCCACATATCTTTTAAAATACTAAACGGAATTGCACCATTATTAAACTGATATTCCTATTAGAGATTCGCCTTTCACAAAATTGTAGTTTGCAAGTGATTCCTAAAGCTTAAAATAATCAAATAATAATATACAAGATGTATTCGACATTGTCACTTTTTGTAGTAAATTTCCCCTCAAAGCTATATTTTATGACTCATTTCAAATCAAAACCTGTTCAGATTACTGTTGATAAACATGGGTAATAAAAAGGACTTTAAACTGCCTCAGGAATAATGCATATTATAAGAATTTCTTAATTAGTATATAACATCACCCTCATATGAGATTGCAAATGAACAAAACTGATATAAATTGCACATTGCAATAATTTTCTCTAAAAGCTCATGGAGTTAAAGGGCATATGGCTATATCTTTGTAGTCTTAAAATAGATGTAAATGGGTCTAAAAGCACATATCAATGTAATATGAATGTATGTGATTTATATTCAATTTGTATAGTTCTTATTGTAATTTCTAATCAATTATGTTCGGTGAAATACATGAACAGTCCAAATCAAACAGCAGTCGTTTAAGCATGCTTAGTCCATTCTACATTTTACTATTATTAATTTGTCGTTTGTGAATCAGCCAATACTAATTTTTTCTACATTATCTTGTAGGATATGTTTTTCTTTGCTCATTACAAATGACACTGAAACTTTAGAATACATGACAAGTATTGTGATTTTAAAATGTTTATGTCTTAAATATTTGATATTAGGATCCCATATATTCACGGCAAGATAACAACATTAATTAGTATTAAATGAAATGGACCCTTATTGAATTTTAGCTCCTTTAAACTAACACATGCCAGTCATCATTTTCATGCTTTTTATCTATTATGCCTTATTTATTCTTTACATCTAAGGTTAATCTTCCCACAACAATAAATTTTCAAAATAGTTGGGGTTAAGTTTAGTATTGTATACTTTTAACAAGTAAAACAATCTAATCTATTCTATTTTTTTAAAATTTTAATAGCTGTTGAAGGGTACAAACCAGGGATCTTAATCCATTTTAAAACGAACCGTTCATAATTGGGTCAAAAGAGGTCCCAGTAGGACATAGGGTACATGTAACTATAAGCTCCCAATCCCCTTAATATAACAAGACTTCAACAAAAATAATTCTTGGTAATTTGTTATGTAGAATGTCGTATTCAGAATAGGCTAATATATGTGATTACCACAAAAAATAATATTTCTGAATAAATTACTGTCTTCTTAAATTAGACAGTTAATGCGAAACGCTGGTAATAAGATAGACTATAGTTCATTAGGCGATCCAAATTAAGATTTTTCTACTACAGTCAGTATCAGAAAATGCCATAGCCAAAATAAGCTGCTCATATTTAACACGAATTGTGTTTTTTGTCTATCACGTAACTTGCACAAAGTTTTTATTCATTCGTAGATGATAGACAAACGGCACTATGATCAAGTGACAACTGTAATTTACATTGCTTCATAAATAAAATTCCATTCGACTATGCCACAGTCTTCAATAATAAGGACAATATTTTGAAAATTAAGCTTCTGTCAGACTGTGTATAAAATAAAAAATTATAATGGTAATTTAATTTAAATCTAAAAATTCCAAGGCTTGCAGATAAAAGCTCTTTAACACATTACAGCCTTCAAATTCTTACCTGTTCTTCCAATGTAAAGTAAATGTTCACTTGAAGAAGGACAAACTTTTTGGGAACCTTCCATAGACAATCGCTGCATCTTAGTTCCTGTCAATAAATCAATTGCTATCCAAACATCTCTCTTGTGACCTGTAACATAGTATAAAATATACGTAGACTGAGCCTTGTCAGATCTCCCTAACATTAAATCCCACCGAGCAAGTTTTAAAAAATGCAAGTAAGTTCGGAAAATTCCATTGAGAATTCTTTCTAATGCCCAAACGAACAACCTAAAAAAGGTTAAAAATATCTTATCAAAGACTCTTGCTTCAAGATAGTTTCCAAAATTGACAATCAAAACTATCTTACTTTCAAAATGCCAACATACATGAAGCACTCCCTACAAATCGAAAGACAGATCAATTAATATTATCGTTCTTTCTAATGATCTGAATTGGAAATAAATATTAACATTAAGTGAAGCAGCCAAACACTTAAGATGGAGACCCCTCAATTCAAAACATGACACTAAATTTTACGTAGACATCAATACCAATATAATTCAAGATTATGAAATGAATAGAACCAATTCAAGCTTTAACCAACTATAGTTGATAATTATCAGAACTAATTAATTTGAATATGACTATTTTTCAACTTATGTTTTTTATGAAATTAATAAAATGAACACTTACATGAAAATTATATCAAACAGAACAAGATTTCTGCTTTCAAAATCTTTTGAAAAATATTACAAAAGATTTAATATCCAATGTTTTGAGAAAACCACTGATTTTCTTTCCATTAAAGGGACAATAACACTCTTGCTGGCTTGAAAGCTCCAAAAAATAAATAATATCTCTATCTAAGTACTAGATGTTTAAGTGTCCTACCTGTTGTGTAAATTATCCATTACATCCTATTTTACTTGTCCAGAGGGTTCGAAAATATTTTTAAATCGAAGTTTCATTTGAAAAGGTTTACGTTAGACGTTTCAAACCATTATGTTGAATTTTTCAAAATTTTTAAATAAGGTGTGTTAAGATGAAATTTGTATCATTAATTAATTGAAATATTCTAAAATAGTACAATTTGTTGACCAGAATAAAGATTGGGACATATTATTCAGTTACAACAAGAGTGGTATTGAGCCTTTAAAGCTATCCTATGACACAATTGTGACCTAACAAACAATCAAAATATTTGAGAAAACAAGCCAACAATGAGGCTGATGTCCCCCATTGAAATCCCAAAATAAATAGATGACACATATTAATTTATCGCACTTTATTTTTTTTCAAAAGTATCAAGCAATCAAACTTATTATCAACTATACACTAAGTTTCATCACTCTCTATCAGATAGAATCAAAGTTATCTTGTACTAAAGCATCGACCAATGAAATTGCTTAGCTCTGCTTAGCTTTAGCTCGAAATGTTAATCAATGAACTTGGTCAAGACATTCACCTAATGAACATCTAGTTTAAACATTCTACCTCAGTTAAAGGCAGAGCTGTTATGTTCCAAAATCTTGACCAATCAAATTTTCACCATCTATACTCAGAGTTTCATCACTCTCACTTAATTATAACGAAAGTTATCGTGCCCCAAAACAATAAAGCAATCAGATTGCTTATCTCTGCTTAAAGTAAGCAGACAATGTTTATCATCAAACTAGATCAGGGCATTCACCTAATGAACGATTCCACACCAACTTTGAACATTCTACCTCAATTAGAAAGAGAGCAATTGTGTCCCAAAGTCTCAACCAATTAAATTGCTTATCGCTCTGCTTACCCTGAGCAGATAATGCTCATTATCGAACTTAGTCAAGGTATTGATGTGATAAAACTATACACCAAGTGTCCTCACTCTCACTTAATTAGAACTAAAGTTATCGTGTCCCAAAGTGCCAAAGCATCAACCAATCAAATTGCTTATCCCTGCTTAACCTAAGCAGAAATTCTCATCTTCAAACTCCATCAAGGCATTCACCTAATAAACACCTACGCCAAGTATGAACATTCTAGCTCAATTAGAATGAGAGTTATTGTGTTCCAAAGTCTCGATCAATCAAATTGCTTATCTCTATGCTTACGCTGTGTAGAAAATGTTCATTATCAAACCTAGTCAAGGTATTGACGTAATAAAATCATACACCAAATTTCATCACTCTCACTTAATTAGAACTAAAGTTATCGTGTCCCATCAACCACTCAAATTGCTTATCTGTGCTAACCCTACGCAAAAAATGCTCATCTGCGAACTCCATCAAGGCATTGACCTAATAAACACCTACGCCAAGTGTGAACATTCTAGCTCAATAGAATGAGAGTTATTGTGTTCCAAAGTCTCGACCAATCCAATTGCTTATCACTCTGCTTACCCTGAGCAGAAAATGTTCATTATCAAACCCAGTCAAGGTATTGATGTAATAAAACTATACACCAAATTTCATCACTCTCACTTAATTAGAACTAAAGTTATCTTGTCCCATCAACCAATCAAATTGCTTATCTCTGCTTACCCTACGCAAAAAATGCTTATCTTCGAACACCATCAAGGCATTGGCCTAATAAACACCTTCACCAAGTTTTAACATTCTACCTCAATTCGAAGGAGAGTTATTGTGAGGCAAAAAGTGTGACAGACAGACAGATGGACGGACGGATGGATGGAGTCCCCTGCTTTCTTCGACACAATGATGGATATGAAACACAGGTAACTGAATGAATGAATGAAATGGGGTTTAACGTCCTACTGTTCTGCTCCTATACTGGGCTAATGAAGACGGGCATACGCCATACAGTGTGCTATGAGGGAAATTTTGACCGGGCAGCGGCACTATCGCCTACTCTTATATCGAATTCCAACTGCCAAGGGATCTTTTACGTGCATTCCAATATATACACGGGACCTTGGTTTTTCGTATCATCCGAAGGACTAGACAGCTGTCCTTGTCAGGCCCTCCGTCCTGCATCACTGACAAGGGGAAACCATGTCGGAAAATCGGGATGAACTTTCTTGGCCAATGCAGGGATCGAACACCCGACCCCCAGGCTAGCGAGCCAGCGCCTTACCCACCTAGCCACCGTGGCTCCAACACAGGTAACAACAACATACGTTAACACAGGTAACAACAACATACGTCCACATTAAAAATATCATTAAATTTAATAATGTCATATTAAATTTTTTTCTTGTAAATTTTTTTTACTGTACAAAATACTATATAAAATCAATAGTTTTCTTTTATCAGAGAAAATATATACAAAAAACTAAAACATAGCAATATGCAAATCTACGCTTGACTTCTTTAACCTATTCAAATGAATATTTAAAAGTACTTTTATCACAAATATTTTGGTCCAAAAATTATTTAAAGTGGTCAGTCATAACTTAAGTTACAGTCATTTAATAATATTGAAACATCAAGATTATGTATTGATTTCAATTCATTTAACACAACCATCTTCATTAGTAAGTGCAGAAGGACTGCACCACACAAAAACCAATTCCACAAGACGAACATACTGATATGGCAAGCAATGAACAACAATTATAATTCTATATCAAATCAAGTAAATGTATATGTCTAGTAAATTAGTAATAATAATTCAGCTATCCTCTTCCGAATCATTCATCAAGGTTTTTATACCTAGGCATAATTAGCCAATAAATACTTAAAACAGCACATATTTATGACTTCTGTGTTGTATGTGTACATGCATATGTTCTCCCTCTACATAGTAAATACCCTTCAATTCAATCATAACATACCTGTATATAATATACCCTCTGTACTTTTACATGGTGAAGCTGTTACTAATTCTGGTATAGTAAATGGCATTTTCTTAATACCTTCAAAATCAACACTGATGGCATACAAACTTCCATCTTTTGGGTCAGGTAAAAAATTAGGTCTGAAATAAAAAATCAAATAATGTTCTTATTAAATTAATGCACATCAGTTAAAAGCATGTATATTAATAGTCAATCTTACTATAATTTATAAACACATAATATGAAACACCATACTTTAAAGTACAAACTTACCCTGTGTTGAAGTCTAATGGTACTTTCAATACTGGATCTATCAAAATTAAAACATAAATATATTTGATTAATTACACGCATAATTAATCTGACACAAAATACTTCTCACTCAGAATTGAATGGGAAAATCAATCACATATGATTATTTAAGAGAGAGAAAGAGAAATAGGGTTTAACATCCACTAAACACAAACTAGGTATTTCGGGATAAATATGGTTCAATTTTATTTTAATACCGTACTTCGCTTGCGCGTAGGGGTCTTTAGTACTAGTAGGGGAAATCGGAGGACCTGTGAAAACCCAAGAGGTTGGACAGGCAATCCTACTCCTTGTCATGTACAAGCTGGGAATTGAAACGGGATGTAGTCATAACAGCCCAATGCCATCCACTAAACACAAACTAGGTATTTCGGGATAAATATGGTTCAATTTTATTTTAATACCGTACTTCGCTTGCGCGTAGGGGTCTTTAGTACTAGTAGGGGAAATCGGAGGACCTGTGAAAACCCAAGAGGTTGGACAGGCAATCCTACTCCTTGTCATGTACAAGCTGGGAATTGAAACGGGATGTAGTCACAACGGCCAAAAACAGGTTTGGTCAAAACGGCCCTACTTTAGTCATAACGGCCAAACAGTTTGGTTAAAACGGCCAAAAAATCAGGTCATAACGGCCAAAAAAATGGGTCATAACGGCCAAACATTTTTAATTTAATGAAAAACAATATATCTGAGCAAATATTGTTGTTGTTTTTAAAAAGATCTAACGTCCAATACATTATTTTCACTTAATTGGTTGAAAATTGGTAAAAACATACAATACAAACGTCCGTGTATATCAAAAGTCTCCTTAAAATTGGTTAACACACAAAATAAAAGGTTCTTGTATATTAAAAAGTCAATTTAAAGCACATATATACAATGTGGTGCTACTGTTATACAAACCATGTGTCGTGAGCCAAGCCAACCAGCAAATTACATGCTGTAATTCAAAGGGAAGAGGTGAGTACTAATTAATCAACTGATTGGATAATCCCTAATTTGGTACTTCACACCCTCTGATCTGATTAGGTAATATGAGATAAACATTAACCATTTATTTTTTATCAAATCAAGGTAAAAGACATAGCCATCGCCAATCCAGTTAGACAAGCCAGTGTAATTTTTGAAGAAGTAGCGAATAAAATTTTAGAAGATCAGCCAATTTACTTATGCCACTCCAATCTGCTCTGATGTTTGAGGGGAAACTTCTCAGGTATTTGATAAAAAGTAGAACAGAAAGACAAGATGAAATTTTCAATTCGTGGAACGAGTACAAAGAAGGTAGTATCAGTGTGTCGACGCTGCTAGGGATATGTACCAGAGTTCATGGTCCAGTAGTGTTAAGGAGATATGTTATATTTATATGTAATGTTTTTTATGTAATGTTTTTTTTTTAATGTATTAAATTAATGTTTATGTAATGTATGTATTTATATTATCTATTACGAAATATTTTTGTTAATAAATATCATTCCCTACATGTAAAAAATGTTTTGGGTTTTTTGGGCCGTTATGACCAAATTTTTTGGCCGTTTTGACCAAGTTTTTTGGCCGTTTCGACTAAATTTCTGGCCGTTATGACCAAATTTTTGGGCTGTTATGTCTATAACCCATTGAAACCATGCCACTTGACTCAGTGACAAACCTTCTGAACCAATGCACACATGTTAACCATTTGGCCACCCAAACCCCCCTTATTTTATAGTAAGTTTATTAGGCTTAGTCTTTTAATATGGGTCAAGAATTTGAATGTTGGAACATTTTGTCACATAAGACATATGGACACACAATAAAAATTATTTGACAATTTAGTGCACCCTTTAAAATTCTTACCTTCTTTCAGGTGCCATAAATTTTTTCCACTATTTTTACTCACAGCGTAAAACGATCCCCTCAAAGTTGAAACAAAGATCATAGGATCTTGTGGTGTCAATTCATTCACCTGCATGGTAATATCAGATATAATCAAATTACAAAAAAAAAATATTTACTTGTTTGCTTGACTTACATTCTAAAGTAGCCTACAGAAAACAAAACTGATGAAGTGATGTAACTTTTATTTATATTAAACTTATACAGTACATTTTATCACTAGGTCTACTGTACTATTACTAAAGGTCAGAAATACTAGGTCGGAACACTAAAAGATATATATTCTTTTCAGTTAAATCTTATTATTTTTTTTAATTACACCAAGAAATTCAACTCTCCATTCTTAAACTCGGACTAAATATTGCCAGTTATGATTTAGGCCTACTCGTAATTAAAAGACCACGGACTGACCTGATTACTGTCACTAAATGGTAGTTGTACTAACCACCCAAGCAAAATCATCCACAGAAGTCTTCGGCAATACATGACAATATACATTATTGTCAACAAAATGCAAACATGATTTCGTTAATAAATATATAAGCCAAGAGAAACTTGATAAACACGCACTGCTTAACATTTCTTGTTCTCAGGAGCCATGTTTGTTATGATTTTAAGCCCACTCCGGGAAAAATGTTTATACCCAATTTGATTGGTTGAATATTTATGGACCTAATAAGCCATATATTTATTTTCTAAATTTTTCTTCTATATATGAATAAAATCCTACGTCGAAATCAGTTTTCCTGTGTTGAATATCTCATTTGCATTTATATTTCATAGATATTAGATAACATACGTAAAGTGCCCTTCGCAGTCTCTTTTATTTTCCTCATGTCATGTAAACAGGAAGAGAATGGGTGTTTGCGAAGTCAATTTTTATTTGCATTTTCGGACTAAATTTATGTGACTTTTTATTACATTTTGATAGAAATAGAAGGTGATAATTTTATACATAGGCCTAGACAATTTTGCCATTGTTGTTATAATGCAATATCATTCAATATGTTCTTTCAGGATGCTTTCATGCATGCTTATAAATGGGGGGTTGGATGGCTGAATGGTTAGCGTGCGCGTTGTATCATAAAGTCTGTCATTGAGTCGACAGGCGTGGTTTCGAATCCCCGGTTGTACGTGGCAAGGAGTAGGGTCGCCTGTCCAACCTCGTGGGTTTTCTCCGGGTCCTCCGGTTTCCTCCCACTGCTAAAGGCCCCTACGCGCAAGCGAATTATGTAAATAAAATTAAACCATACGTTAGTCCCGAAATGACATAGTTTGTGTCGAGTGGACGTTAAACCCCATTTCTCTCTCTCTCTTTCTCTATGCTTATAAATTTACCAGATTGTCAATTTTACAGATTAATATTGTTTTTTGGGTTTTTTTTTATAAATTATATGTAGATCTAACTAAGCTTTCTTTGGACTTTTGATATCCCAATCTGATTAAAACACAGATCCTATTTCGTTTCGTTTTTTATAGTTCAAAATTTTGTTTTACTTGTCTTTACTACACTAGGATCTGGAAGAGTTGTTATATATTATAACAGGCATTCTACTTTAGTTGATGTGAGGAATTAACCAATGAAACTGTGGGTAAACCCCTAGAAACTCAATGCTGATTGATTAATCAATGTCTGACATCATAGGGCCAAAAGCCGCTCGTATGACCCCTGATGCGACCTCCCAGTACAATTGGTCAGATCTTATAGTGTAGGCCATCGAAAGTATAAAAAAAAAACGAAACCAAATATAGATCTGTATTTTAATCAGATTGTAGATTATATCCATAACAATTAGGGATTTTGGCTTGCTGCTGGTGCCTCTTAGGGCAAAGACAACTGGCAGGGTTTCAATTCCCCGGTTGTACGTGACAAGGAGTAGGGTTGCCTGTCCAACTTCGTGGGTTTTCTCCGGGTCCTCCGGTTTCCTCCCACTGCTAAAGACCCCTGCGGCAAGCGAATTTCTCTCTCTCTCTCTCTCTACGGCAAAGACATGTAAAGTGTGATTTTAGTATAAAACTATATTAACAGTTAACTATATGATAATAATATTAAAGGGGTAGACCAACGTGTGCTATGATAGTATGAGGGAAATTTTGCCTGCCCTTATATTGAATTCCAACTCACTGCCAAGGGATCTTTTACCTGCACGCCAATGTGTACATGGGACCTTATTTTTTTGTACCATCCAAACGACTAGACAGCTGTCCTTGTCAGTCCCTCCATCTTGTACCACTGACGAGGGGAAACCACACCAGAAACTCTAGATGAACTTTCTCAGCCAATACCGGGAGCGGACCCACAATCTCCACGGATAGCAAGCCAGCATCTTATGCCCCATTGACACTTTCACGCAATTGTGGTACGCTTTGGTACGCTAAAGTTCGTACCAAGACGGAAACTATGCGTACCATCGCGGGAAACAGTCGTAAACTATGTGTACCATTGCGTGCCATGCGTGACAGTGCCGACCCAAAACCTTGGATTTGTCCAAGCTCATGCCACGCACTCCAGGGCGTACCATTTTCGTAAACTATGCGCAAACTATGCGTACCCGGTGCGTAAAAGTGTCAATGGAAATTATGTCACGCACTGTCACGCATTGAGGGGTACTCAATGTCACGCATTGGTGCACAAGGTTCATCACTGGTACGACAAGATCAGCAATGGTGCTCATGGGTTGATGTAGGTATCTGCCAGTGGTCAGGAATTCTTCCCGCCACTTGACGTGTGTCACTCATTGGTGCTCACAGTTTACTCATTGATCCTCACAGTGTACTCACTGGTGCTCATAATTTCATCACTGGTGCTCATAGTTCACTTTCATATACTCATTGGCAGGTTTGCTTCACTCACAGACGCCGCACCAATCAGAGGCCTCCACGTTTTCACAACGTTTTGTATAAATAACCAGGTTCATGTGATTTCCATCTCATTTCATAATGTCACCTAAAGGAACAAGGAAGAGGGGACGAGTGTCCAAACCCATGAATGAGTCGACAAGCAGGACAAGATTAAAACCAGCCAATGAGCCTGTGCCCACTACCAAGCCTCAGCCCGGACCCACTAACAAGTCTCAGCCTCTAGACCCAGTACCAAGCCTCAGCCTGGACCCAGTACTGAGTCTGACATTGAGTCACAACAAGAGGCATCAAGTATGGCCTCAGTTTTAGTTGATCAGGAAGAGAACACACAGGCTTTGAAAAAAAAAAGAATCTGTGTGTCAAAGAAGGATATCCTGATTATACATGGACTCTGGAAGCCAATCTTCAGCTGGCTTGTAGACCTTGACGATAGCTTTACATACTTCTGGTAGAAACTTGCATATAGTGCTAAGTTCAACTCTGAAATTGTATTGGAGACTTGCATAGGAATCGCCACTGGCTACGAAGCGGAGTGTGATTGCTAACTTCAGGCCAACTTCAAGAGGTTCTCTCATAAATGTTTTATTCTTCTTCAGGTGTGGGGTCAACTTTTCAATCATCTCTTGAAACAGTTGGGGGGTGATACATTGGAAGTTCCGGTAACCTCTGTGATCTTCCTTGTGTAGTTCCGACAATAACTGGTCATAATGGCCAAAATGTTGTCTCCTTGTCAACCATTGCCTCACCCAGAGTCTCCTGACTTTTCTTTTCTTGCTGCAGGCAGACATTCTGTCGGTGTCAGGTTTTGATTGTAGAACAATATTTCGTTCACTTTCATCTTCTTCCAAAAGTAGTAGACCAACAGTTGCTGTAAGATGTACGTTTTGCAAAGTAAGGTTCCTTTCTTCAAGGTCTCTGTGGAATTCATCATTTTGAAGAGTTGACGACGAAATGGACCATATCCCAATACCTTTCCTTTATATATACTATTTCTATGAAGCGTGCCAGTGCGTGCCACAAAATGACTCACAAAATGGTCACGCATGCTTAAAACTGAGTACACTAGCGTAACCAATACCTGACAGTGCAGGAACTGGCGTACCATAGTGCAAGTGCGCGGTCACCTGAGCAAACTGTGAGCAAACTATCCGCAGATATTGCGTACTGTAACGGGACAATGATGGACGATGCGGGACACATGAGAGACAACTAACATGGTATGAATGCGCACCAGTGCGGACAGATTTTGCATACTATGAGCAAAGTTTGGTCAGCAACGGCACGAACTATTTGATTGACAGGTGAAATATACATGATATCCATCCGCATTGGTACGCATTAATGAGATTACCATTGTGGATTCAAAATGCGTGAAAGTGTCAATGGGGCATTACGCACTTAGCCACTGTGGCTCTGAGTTATAAAATATAATTTGGAAGATTGCACATATAGCCTACATTTTACAGGATAAATCATTGATTGACCTTTTTGTCATGTGATAAGTTTATATCAGTGAATGTTGTTTCTTCTACGTAACAGATGTGCTGACTGACTTTAGTTTATCATTGTGTATTAGTCATAAAAAATCAATAAACAAACAGTTAATAATTACAAATTATTTTTATCTGAATTTCAGATAGATTAATCTGCTAGCTATAAATATAAACAAGTAAATCCTATAAACATTATCATATGTAATGACATCCGAAATTTTGTAAGTGATATTTTATTTGGTATGAATTTATAAAGAAAACTGGTGATTTTTTATCAATAATGAATGCTACATTTACTTTGCTGAACAAATAGGAAATAAATTTGATGAAATGTTAACTGGTAGCACCTTATGGTTTATCAGTTGTGAAGCATACCATATAATGGTAGGAATGTCAAGTTAAGCAGAATGTAAACTTACACATATCTGAAAATTTCTTGTACGTAGGTCTATGGATTGGAATCGCAAGTTGTGGAATATTTATGTTTTGGTCATTACAAAAAGTATTGCTAACTTTTGGGGGTATTTTGGTGATTTTATTTTGTGGCTGCAATATTTGGTTTACGTAAATTATTAATTGATTATAATAACTGTAATTTATTTTCCAGTTGAACAGTAAAGATGGGCTCTCGAAGGGATGGCAGTAAATCGGGCAAACCTGCCTCACCAAAGCAGGCATCTGGTAGTAAGTTCTCATCATCGTTGTCAAGTGGTTTTAGTTTTAAAGCATTAGAAGAAGTGGAAGAAGACAGCAATGAAGACTTGACTCTTTTTACTGGTAAATTTGACAAAGTTGTGGCTCAGGCCCATAAGCAAAAGAGTGCCAGCAGTGAAGCTTCTAGTTCTAGTGCTGTTTCCACTCCCACGTCAGAAGGCCCACTATCGAAACTTCAATCTTCCAAATCCTTGGACGAAGACAGGTCATCTCCCTCTAAAAAAAATAAAACCTCGGTGTTCGAATATAAAGGAAGTATCACTGGTTTGATAAAAGACAAAATTACAGACACAAAAGACAAAATAACAGAGTCTATCAGTAAAAGATTAGAAGAGTTTTCAAATGATTCAAGTCCGACATCAGAAACTGGTAAAAGTTTGGCAGAAGTCACCAATCACCCTTTAATTCCTGATAAGGTAGATAAATTTGATGAAGATGAAGCAGAAGAGGATGACATTGTTAAAGTACACTCTGCTCCTGCTTCATTATCTGATTTAGCATTGACTAATGAAGATGACGGTATTGAAGTTATTGAAAGTTATTTTGGTGATGAACCGATGGAGGATTTTACTGGAGATTCAGGGATCTCATTTCGTGGCACGGCCGTACGTAATAAATCTAAAAATTTGAAAAAATTAGTTAAGAAGTCGTCTGCTACTGTTTCAATGTCTGACTTAGTAACCACACCGGATATGGATATGAATACAGAAAGTGATCTTATGAAACCAAAGCATTCTAAAGAAGAATCAGGGGTTGCTAATTCAGATGGAAATATAAAAAGTGGTTCTCATAAAAGACTAACCCGACAAAAGAGTTCAGATTTTGGTGTGCCATGGCAAAAAATTGCCACCTTTGCCGTTCTTTTGTTTGCATTCCTAATAATTCCATTGCCATCATATATATCCGGATTTATAATAGGTATTATGTTAGCTTCAGCAGGCTGGGCTATATATATTTGGATAATAGAACCACCGATTCCCAAGCCAGTAATAGAAATACCACCTCTGGATAAGTTACCAAAGATGGAAATTCCTCAAATGAAGGAACCTTCGAAAGAAAAGGGAATTTATAAGGTAATATTTTAATTTTTACTCCTACAATATCAGTCGAAACATTCAATTTAAATAAAAACTTATAGATCAAAACTAAAATTCTCCACAATGAGATGAGATATATTGCAGATTCTTAATATTTTATTTATTACCAGTATCTAGTAAGGCAAGCCTGGACATAAGGCACCGGTCATAGACTTTGTCAGGCACAAATTTTCACACAATCATTTTATTACACTATGATATAAACACTGAGTAATAATTTGTGCCTGACAAATTCTATAACAGGTGCCTTGTTCCAGGCTTGTATATATTGTATGTTGTGTGATAATTTGTACAGATGTCCAGACTTGTAGTAAGGTGGTCCATGCTAAAATTAAAATCAATGCAATACATACTAGGGCCTACATGTCACGCAGTGTGACTAGAAATATGACCATTTATAATCTTCCAAATATTTAGCTGATGATTTTTTTTCTGTTAGTTTTTAGTTACCACTGCAATACTGTCAGATTTCAAATAGTAGGTAGTATAGCATGGACAGTGACCAATAGTTACCCTAATGACATCACATCTACTACTGTCTGATTCATCGTAAATTTTAAACGGATTTCTTCGATTATGAACAAACTACTTAACTTTGGTTATTATAAACTTACCTGTGTGTTTGTAATGAACTCCCGTTCGATAAAATCCATTGCACAACTAATTATCACAACGATGAGAACAATTTCTCTCTTGAAAAATTTGAAAATTTACTTGTAATTTCGACAGAGTCGATGTCAACAATGTCTTCGTGACGTATTGGTCGAATCCAATATTCCTGTTGCGGGGGTTGGTTAACATTGAAAGATAGTTTGACAGCGCGATCATTTTGATCGTATATGGGTTTGGGCGACGAAAAATATCAATTGAAGGCAATTACATAGGAGATTTATATGGAAACCACTGATCGCCAGTCTATCAAATTTTCTTCACAATTAAAATATCACTGATTGCACGGATACTCGTAAAAATAAAGTCATGAATAAACTATAAATATCCTATCTTCTTTATGTTATAAATAATTTAACAAGGATCATGAAGCTTACCTCCGAATTCTCTGAGTGTATTTTTAATTTTATACGCATTCTTTCGATCGAATAATAACCGCTTCAGTAACATCTTTAAGCGTGTTGCGGCAGCCCTCAGCGTGTCTATTGCCGTATTGGGTGCCCGGGTGGGTATATAATGCTACTAAGCCCGTATGACCCCGTAAGAAGCGTAACATTAATTCTCGATTCGACAGTTTTGACCGAAGTGTGATAAAGCCCGTAAAACGAATGTATAGTTGTGTTTGTGCGGCATGCGTGTTCAAAAGTAAATAATCCCATCCGAGTCGCTAATCAAATAATTAGAACAAAATATTTCAAAAAGTAAAGCTATAAAATTTGCAGAGATTTTACTAGAATGTAAAAGACGGTAACTAAATACAGGAATGCGGGTAGTTATGTGTGCGAACGCTCAAACTCATTGCCAATTGTCGTAGGTATCCAGACCACTCGGACCAAAGACTACTCGGACTAAGACCAGTCGGACCAAAACAAGACCAGTCGGACCAATTAAATTATATTATAAGGCTAGACAATATGCTATTTATTTATTATTAAATCACAATACAAAGAAGCAAATAATTCTTATACGGAATTCTTATATTTAGAGTTGTTTGGTTCAATTTTGTGTACGTAAATAAATCAACGATTAGTTTTAAAATTAATTAATAATGGTGCCAAAAAAAAATATCAATCTAATTTTTCTTTACTCTTGCAATGAGACTCGGTATGTCCAGACTTTTGACAGTTTCTAAATATACGGGTATACTGTTCTTGTCTGATAGCCTAATTTTACTTTTTCCACATTCGCGGTATCCCCAGTGGTTTCATTCCGTTCTACCCCACTAACCCCTGGGTTACTATATATGGGGGGGGGGGGGTGGAGACACGTTTTCAAGTTATCCGCCCTTGATGCGTTAATATAAACAGCACATAATAATACGAAGACCGGACGTTTATATGCCCCTTTTTAAACGTGACTACAAGTGTGGTTCTCGATATTTTGCGATTTGGAATACAATTATCAATTTATTCAAACAACACGTTATTATTAGTTCGAGTAGTCATATTAAAACACACACAATTATCAATTTATTCAAATAACACTTTATTATTGATTCGAGTAGTCATATTAAAATAAACACAATTATCAATTTATTAAAATAACACTTTATTATTGGTTGGAGTAATTATATTAAAACAAACGCAATAATCAATTTATTAAAACAACATTTTATTATTGGTCCGAGTCGTCTTTCTGTTGTGTCCGAATAGTCTTTTTGTATGGTCCGAGTAGTCTATTTGTTTGGGCTGAGTGGTCTATCACTTGGTCCGACTGGTCTTGAACCGAGTGATCTTTGGTCCGAGTGGTCATGGATTCTTGTCGTAATTGTACTTGAATTTCCTATGCTGTCACCCCTAATACGAAATGATATCTTCCGCAGAGTGACGTAACCATCTTCCATATTGGTATTTTTCTCTGGGAAAAGTTTGTGATATTTCAATTTTTCAAGAGAGAACTTGTTTTCATCGTTGTGATAATTAGTTGTGCAATGGATTTTATCGAACGGGAGTTCATTACAAACACACAGGTAAGTTTATAATAACCAACGTTAAGTAGTTTGTTCATAATCGAAGAAATCCGTTTAAATTTTACGATGAATCAGACAGTAGTACATAGATTGTTAATTTCCTAATTAAAAGCGAAATAATTTGTACTTAGGTTCACCATTTTGGAAACTTGTTTAATACTAATAATGGCACATAATGAATAAAATATAAACAATCTGCAAGAGCTGCAGCTGAACTTCCTCTTTAATATTTAGATTGATGTACACATTTTACACATTAAGATTAATAATAAAGATACATGTAATGTACATGTACTATGGAGATCTTTTCTAAGCTTATGTGTATATTATCAGCTTTTGTTTTATCGATTACATTATCTACAACAAATTATATGCTCTTTTGATCCCATATCAGTATCCAAATCATTGTGCAATTCTTGATTGCATTTTATAGTATAATTATATTATATATGTTTTATCTATACTATAGATAATAATCTATTATATTTTTATTATTTTCAGGGATGGATGAATGAATTAATGGAATATAATCCTGATGATTACCATATCAACCAAACTCATTCAATCTATGTTAAGTTAGAGGGAACTCATTTACGACTACAGAGACCAAAAGTCAATATGCCAAAACGTGCCATGTGGGACGAATCTTTTCCTGCGCCCCAGTTTATACACCAGCGTCATCTAGAAATTAAAGACAGTCGTATATTTTTAATGCCACAAGGGCTAGTTGCGAAAAGGCTGTGGAGTAAAAAATATCCTATCTGTATAGCATTAGCACAAGATAGAAAATCTGGAAAATCTAAAACCACTGACTCCCTGAAAAGAGTCACACCTGATGATGATGGGTTTGAAATGATCACTGATGAAAAATGTTTGAATAATATCTTATATTTATTTGCCAGAACTGGCCAAGAGAAGGAACAGTGGTATCGCAGATTTAAATCTGCTGCAAGTGGACAGCCACTGGGAAATCACATATTAGATATTTATAAAGCATTATCGTTTACAAAAATAAATCGTAAGAGTTCTGATAGCTCATTAAAACACAAGCGTCAAGGTTCATCAGATTCTATTTCATCTATTTCTTCTCTGCCAGAACAACCCCCTAGTCCAATCCAAACTACAGATACAACTACCGCAAATGCATTTGATCTTCAAGCATTTGCTCAATATATGGGACGTTTGATGCCATCTCGCATAGACATTAAGAAAGATGCAAATAACAAAGAGTCAGCACCTTCCAGCTCATCGCCTCGTAGACCCCAACACTTTCAATATGATCCCACAGATATTAGGCAATTAAGTGGTTCCTTAATATGTGACCCCCAGTTGATATGGCTAAATTCATTGATAGGTCGAATTTTCTGGGATTTTTTACGTGATGTGTGGTGGGCTGAAAAAGTGAGAGAAAAACTGCAAAAGAAACTTAGCAAAATACATGTAAGTTTTAGATACATGTACAATTAATATCTTTTTTCTTAGTTAGGGTATACAGATTTGTCAAGGTGGTACAAAGAGCCAATTCCACCTGCACATAGAAGAACCATTGACTGTTGGAATTCAAAGAAGAAACACTGATGTCTGTGAAAATCTTTCACCCTCACATTGCAAACCTGAATGGCCTCTGTTAATTTGTCATGAATCTCCATTCCATTGATTTTATTGAGCTCACAGAGTAAGATGCTGGCTCACTAAGCAGGAGATCTTGGGTTCATTCCCAGGTGTTGGCTGAGAAAGTTCCTCAGGATTTTCCGTGTACTTATTGGCATGCAAGTAATATGTGAAAATGTCATCATTTTATATGGATTTTTTTTACAGTTATAGATCTGATAACTTGTATATCATCTGGATTATTTACAGGTGCCATATTTTATAGAAGAACTGAAAGTTACTCATATAGATCTAGGAGATGAAATACCTGTTATAAGAAGAGCTGGCATGCCTTATATAGATGAACAAGGTTTCTGGGTAGATCTAGATGTTGTCTATAATGGAGGATTTCAGATGACTATAGAAACTAAAGTTAACTTAATGAAGTTACGTAAACCATCTTCAACATCTTCTAAAGAGGCAGATTTAAGGTGATTATAAATTGTAACACTAACAGATTTATGTTTGAAGAGTCGTTCAACTCATTGAATTAGCAGATACCAAAACTGATCATCATTTCGTTATGTTAGAGTGTCTTATATGTTTACTTTAAACTTGGAAGCAGTAATGGGTTAATTACAGCTCTTATGAGTAAACATACATCAAGTTCACATTAATATACCCACAGAGCAAAATATCTTGCTTAGCTATCAAACTTATCTTAACCAGCTGTGAACATATGTTTTATTATTTATAATAAATGTTACAATATTTAGGTAGTTGAATTTAAAAGTACGTCAAATATTATGATTAATTATAATGAGTATTGATGTTTAATTTTACAGTGTACACACATCACCTGTAACTGATCCAGATGAAGAAGATAGTGCTGAATCATCTACTGATGATGATGAGGACAGTCAGGTGCCACCAGGCAGTGATGGGTGAGATACTAAAATATAGACTTAAATTAAAACATTCTTATACCGCGCTTTCATTTAATTCTAACAAGTGTTCTTGGAAATATGGATGACGGTCTTTCAACTTCATTCTTAGTTTGAATAAATAGTCTTAAGAGATGTATTGTAAAAGGCGAATTCATCATTTAAAGATTCATTATGCAAGAGCTAAATCTGCCTATTGCAGGTCTTTTTTTGGCACCAAATGTTCTATAAACTATTATTTAGATATTTCTTCACATAACAAGCCTTAATCAACTCTCTAGGTCATCAGACAGGGCTATAAATTCGTAATTTTTTGCGAGAATTTAAAAGGATTCTCATATATGCAATCTGCGGGAATCCTCCGAATCTAAATTAATAATACTGTCTAAAAAACAAAATTGTGTTTATTGTGTTCTTTTATAGTGCTTTCGGCACATCTTGCACACAGCGTGAATTACGCGTTTATTTTCAGAATCAAACGTAAACTCATAGTTTTCATTTAGTTCCTTACTCCATTTCGTAACAGTTTCTTTAGATACAGTTTTAATTTTGCTTCCAGAAGCCATGTCAATGTCCGAAAAATTCTATTGATAACTGCACAAAGTTTTATAATAAAGGAATATAATTTATGTCCGCACAAACAAAAGTGAAAAAAAACAAACAAGTGGCTGACCTTGATAGTGACAATAGAATTGGAATGACCCAATCTAACCGCATTATATTTATGTGGAATTAGCAGAATCAAATCGCTAAAGCAGTTTCTTTTAAATTTTATTTAAGAGGGATTAAAATAAATAATTAGGAAACAAATTTTTTTATTGTAACTGAAATTCAATGCATAAATACAATGTAAATGGTGTTGCACCTTTATAATACATATTTCTTTCGGTGCTCTACTTTTACAAGATGCCATGTCGTGATTGGGGAATTTTCCACACAATTCATTACATAACACAAACACAAAAGCAAAAGACCAGGCAGAAACCTATCAAAATTATAAGTTAGAAGCAAACAGTAAAACAAAAACACAACAAATATTTTATTTTATTATACATGTAGTATTCTATAAAGTAAGTCATATAAATTTGATTCAAAACTCCCTGACTGACATTCAATAGTCGGACTCGACAATTCTCCGCGATTTTTTTTTTTAAAGACCACGTAAGATCAAAAATCTAAATTGCATGTATGTATAGCCCATGGTTACTATATCAACTTTACGGCAAGTTCACACCAATCTGATTAAAATTAAGTCCGCTGTTAACGTTTAAGTATCCGACACGCCAAAACGCTTTTCGATTTTTCAATTAGTACCTTAATCCGGTTGATTGGCTGGTGACGTCACAGGCACTACACATAGGATATACATTATCTATACAATATCTCACTGTATGTACAATATCGCACTATCAATACACACGGCAACTGGACAAGCGTCTATTGACGGTCCAATTACCACGTGACTGGCCTAATCATAATCACCGAATTATCGTCTTTCATTGGTATTGATTAGACATTTGTGATTGGAATATTTTAGAGTGAATTTAAAATGCCGTATCATGCCGTAGATCAATTTAAGCTGCCTTTGTTTAAATAGGCCACGTGTCAAATGAAGATGACTCAAGAAATTAGCGCATTTACCGGTAATTTGGATAACCCCTTAATACTTGATATCCCAAACTTAAGTACAGAAATACAAATGGTGCCAGTCATTTGTCGATATATTCATTATTAGCTATATATAAATGAAATGAAATGAAATGGGGTTTAACGTCCTACTAGCTATATATAATGATAATAACCATTCCTATACATAAAGAACAACTACAGTGAATATGGAATTTTCCGATGACTATACATAACATGTGCAATAGATCGCACTCATTTCTCTGCCAATCAACGCTTGGTATCTTATTATCATGTACCGTTCCATGTACTACGGGTGTAGTAAATAAGGTTAAACTTCGTCGCAAAAATTGCACGGGATCATTCGTGGAGTTCATGGTGCCGTTTGGTGAGTGATTAAACTGTCAATGCTGTTGTTGTTACAAATTTAACGTCCAATACATAATGCATGATATTATGGACAGGTTGACTTATTTACTTAAATAAAATATAGAAGTTAGGTAAAAACACTAAATAATAAAAAGTTCTTGTATATCTAAACGTTACTTTAAAACAGATTTAAAATAATTAAAACTTCTTGTATATCTAAAAATCACTTTAAAACATGGTTTTAAAAATGGTTTTAAAATCGTTGTCGTGGGAAGAAAGGGTGGGTCATCTTCTCACTTTGTCATAATGAAAGTTAAAGATGCAATTGTAAAATACATTTATTATAAAGAAGATAACCGATGTTAGACATTATAACCTAATCGTATCAAAAACATTAATCCATCCATCAATTAAATGTTGTTTAAACGCCAATCAACAAATAATACGAGGCTACTTGATTACAAAAACACCGGTGAGCAATAATTATTGGGTATATAGTAATTTTAAAAAAACTTATTAGTAAAACTTAATTATTTTATACAATTAATGTGTGTGTGTATGATTCTACCATTAGTTCGTTCGTGAGGTATTACGCACACGTTCCACTTAGTGTGATGTCTTTGATCTGGCTGGCGTAAAAAAAGATAATTACCTAATCAACATTCCTAATCCCACTAACACTCACTGCTAACACCAACTTGAAATTAATTTATGACCCATGCCTGTATAACTTTTATAGTCGGATTGATTAATAATGACAGATATTAACGACACTACACTTTATGTTGAAAAGCGAAGTGCTCGTAGTAAAAACCACATAGCTGGACCCGTATATTATTTACATGTTAAAAGTGTTCGTCCAATAAGTTCCATATTGTAAAAAATTAATTAAGAGTTCAGGACTTCAAAGTTTAAAAGTTGTAGGCACTCTAAATTGGATCTTAAATTAAAATGAATTACAAAACAAATTATTCCGTAGTCAGTTGTTTTATTTAATTAGGGGGATTAAGGAATACTTCAGGCGTTAAAGAATACACACGCCGGCTGTATATAGGTAATTAAGGAATAAACATTCCGAATATGCATTCGGTCACTATGACGTCACTGGCGTCTGAGGGGATTAAGATTGTTTTCGATAATTGGCAAAGCCGTTTTTACGGAAGGTCTATTTTTACGACTTTGAGTGAAGATAACTGAATTAATTTCAACCAGATTGGCGTGAACTTGCCATAAAGTGGATATAGTAACCATTGGCTACACATGTCTCAAAGTTTCCGGGACCATCTTATGTGCACTTTAACAAAAATTCTACACAAATCCTTGTAGATTCGCAGCGTAAACTCTTGCGAGAATGCTTGTGCGAATTAGATTCGGAGATTTGCCTCAATGTCTATCCCTGTCGGATAGCAATGATTTAAATAGATTTGAACACCTGCAAGATTTTAAAATTTATCAATAAAATGGATAATCGAGACTAAGTATCGATGCTATCATAGAACACAATCTGCGTTAGATCTTGTCAAAACTTCAAACACTGATAATGTAATTTGAATGAAATTTTAAATATCTTCATCTATTTTTGAACTATTATAGCAAGAACAGGCATTTCTTATCTAAATCTTACATAATACATCTTTAACATGGCCAAAGTTTCACTGTAGTAAAATATTCTCCAATATTTCTAACATGATTTGCAACTGCAATAATGTTGGTGCTTCCATTTTGTAAATATGATATTTGGAATGGCATACCACTACCGATTTGCCGTTCCTTATGATTTGAAATTGAATAATACATGTTGTTTTAATTTGTTTCAGTTCTTCGGGAGGTGCCAGTAGAAAATTCCTGAAATATATAGATAAAATAGCACAATCCCGTTACTTTCAACAAGCTTATGATAATAAATATTTTAAAAAAGCCATGGAAGGTGTATCTAAAACACCATTAGAATTAACAGTAGAAGTAAATGCCTTAGTAGGTTGTTTAGCTCTCAATATACTACCACCACCTACAGACAGATTATGGTAAGAAAGGAAGAAAATGGTGTCCCTTGACCCCATTTGACAAATACTTGTCCAGCTCTGTTAATAATAAGGATAATAATAATATGTCTATTTATATGCTTCAAAGTCAGTTAAGCGTACTAATAGCGCATTGTTGATCTCAAGTGTATGTAACTATACAAGTTTTGTTATTTGTATATTGATCCCAGATGATCTAGACATGGTGTATGGTGTATGCCTGTCTTCACTAGCCCAGTCCGAACTCCATTTCATTCAAATTTACACAAACTAAATCAGCTATTTAAAGTAAGGATGTAACGAGTCAAAAAAAATTGAACCGGTTAACCGATGGGCAAAAAACCGACCGTGACCGGTCAACCAATTCACATTTTAGTTGCGGAGTTATTAATCGCCGGACCGTACGCAGGATTAAAGTTTACTTTTTCACACTGTTTAACTTCGTTTTGAATATAAGAAGAGTTTATTTATTGCAGCTTATTTTGTTTTTCATTCAAATTTCTCGGAAGGAAACATTGCGTCGTCTAACAGTCAAAAAGGTCATGGTCTCACGTGGTCGTCACTCGCCCAGTAGCACATGCCGTTGTGTGACAGATCGGAAAATTGATACAATATTATTAGTGTTCGACCCGTTATAAATATAGGAATATTCTATGGCCCCACCTACCTCCATCTCAATGTGCAATGTTATAATGTAATCCATTAATAAAATATTTAATTCGACGTCTTTATTCGCGCGTACGGCATTACTTTCATTTCCATACGCATTTAATAGTCAACCTGTAGTCAAGATTACCCAGCCCGAAGATACAACGCAATAAGTCGCTCTTTTCTGGAGAGTCTTAGATCACGGTCAAAACATTATTATAACTTACATAATTTATATTTATAAATATTGCCGTATTAAAAGCTAATACTATAAAATTTGTATGTTTACCACACGTGACTGAACATGTGACCCCATCGAGCCAATGAAATGACGAAAAGATTATACCATTTGGCCACATGCCAGAGGGACGAAAGATACTTTGTTTACGGCATAATTTTTCTACTACGTTTTCGAGCAGCGAACACGACCGTTTTATTACCGGGAAATTTTTGTATCAACGTGTAATATGAACAAGAGAGCCTGGGCTAATGCTAGTTTACTACTAGGTCGATATACACTGACATTGTTATATAGAACGAATAACGGTCACAGGAATATCGAACCGGTCTGGTTGCAGAACCGAACCGTAACCGGTCAACCGAGTAACCGTTTACATCCTTAATTTAAAGTATATTGTATAAAAATGATCATTGCTCAATGTGAATACAATCATGTATACTGTGTATGAAGAATCTAACATTCAGCATATTTTTATATTTAAGCAGTAAAAAGTGATTAATGGAGTACAGTGTATAGCTTTTGATATTTTATATATTTGGGTTCTGTTTTTCAATTTTGAAGGTATGGTTTTAGAACTAATCCAACTCTATCCTTGTCAGCTAAACCTAAAGTGGGAGAAAGAGAAGTAACTATTACACATATTACAGAATGGATTGAGAAAAAACTTAGCACAGAATTTCAGGTGGGTTTTAGTGTTGTGCTCAGTGATTGAACATATCTGTTCACTTATTTCAGTAACAAACACATGCTTGTTTCAATTCTCCAGCTATAGGCAAATATTTCCTTTAACCCAAGTCAATCCAAAGCCTGTTTTTAGAAATGCAATTAATATTACTAGAAAATTATATGTTCATAGATATAAAGTAAACTAATATTAATTACAAAATGTAATCCTACAACTTTACCAAAAATTTCATAGTTCATTAGCCTCAAATAATTGTTCATGTCATTTTGGGTAAGGTGTACCATAAGGATAAGACTATAAGTTTGGAAAACCATGCAGTCTGTCTGTTATAGTTCTAAACATTCAGCCGGTTTACCAGTGAAAATGTATTTTAGTTTTTAATGAGTAAATATAGTTGAAATGTTAAATTTTGATCTTTTGATTATCTTTATTTATTTTACAGCGTGTTTTTGTGATGCCTAATATGGATGATCTTATTATACCAATTCTGCTAGCTGATTTTCCAGATGAGGCAGTACCAACAGTATCCTCTACAACTGGTTCCAGTGTTTGACACTTGTTGTCATGAGTATTACTACCAACGATATTTAACCATTATGTACTATATTTGATGTGCAAGTCCCTCCCCAGCAGTCTTAATATAATACAAACCCATAATTTACCCCAAACTAACTGTGGATCATTATGACTGAATATCAACTTGTGAAGTAGGGTTAATCACTTTGGGGATCTTTTTGACAATGATATTAATTTCATTAGACAAGAGTGTCACAATTTATGGGTAAAAACATTTAAAATAAAAAGTGTAATACCTCTTTCAGCCATAGTGATGAGCAGATAGTAGTGATAATTTATTGACTATGATTATACACAGATGCTTCCCAGTGCTAGACTCTTTTTATTTATATAGCGGTGTATCATAACCACATTATCTTTTTCTATTGTGATTCATATTCATTTCTATTCTGATTCATTCACCCTATTGCTCTCATTATTTCATCTTTCTACAACATATTCATGCTTTAGTGTAAACTGTCTATATTCTTATCATGACATCCTGGCTTAAAACATTTGTTTTCAATTACAGTGAAACCCACATGACAGAAATCAGTAAATATAGGATACATTTTTAAGGTCTTAATATTTTTTCAGACCTTATTCAGGTAATTTTGGAACTCTGGTTATTGTTAAGATATTCTTTTGTTACAAGCTTCAACCGAAAATGATAGAACAATGACCCTTCCCAATTTGGTATCAATCTATAGATATTTGTCCTTCCTCAATCCGTCTTCATATCTGTTTAAAAAAAATTAACATTTCCAGTATCTGCTGTGTTATAGATATTCATGACTGTTTTTGTCTGAAAGTCAAGGCTGACTTGATGGATAGGCTCTTGTCTTATAGTTATGTACACAACCGGTTTGGTGCAGAAAAGTATAACATTACACCTCATTCTTTCATTTCTCCATTGCTGTGGGCATGTTTTATTGCCTGGCAACCTATCTTTCTCTACATATAACAAGGTACTTATTTTAAATAAAATTTACCGTAGTATAACCAAAATATCTACGCTTTTAAACTGTAATTGTAAAGTTATTTATACAATAATCAAAGCCAGATCATTACAATCAAAATATACATACATGTATACTTTATATATAATAATTACAATGACTCAATGGCTACTTGCTTTTGTATTTTGTATTTCTTTGTCAATTGACCATTTTATAAAATGTCATGACATAGTAATTTAAGTGGGGTCAGTTTAACTACATTATTGTCAATTTTATCGACAAGAAAACATAAAAATTAAACAGAAATGTAATTCTATAATAATAGAGGTAGAAAGTGGCCTTTAAATAACATTGACCATTGACGTGACCCATGATCATTTTCACTGAAGAGTTTGAAATTGTGAAATGGTCAATTTTTAATAATGTTAATATTATTACACAGTAAAGTAATGTATGAAACTGTAAGACATGAATGTTATGAGGTTTTTATTTTCCATTAAAATTATTTCTTGTGTTATTATTTAATTCTTCATGGTCAATTCAAGTAAATTATTGGAATAAAGATGCACCAGTACATTATGTTAGTCCCAAAATTACTTTCTTTCTTAACAGCCATTGCCCTTCATTTAGAAATCCTTTTGTGGCTTTATACATTGGTATCAACAGCCTTTACATTTTTCTCGATCACTCTGCTTTCACAGTGAAAAGATAACATCTCAACTTATTCTGCTGCCATGTTTGTAGGTTTGCTTTCCCATTCTTTAGTAGTATCCACTCTTTTTGAAGTAAAGATGTAATTCATAACATTTTAGATTGTTAGATCTGATTGCATGCCTTGGTGATTTAAAATAATTGCTTTTGAACTGTTAAAGCAATATTGTTATTCATAATATTATAACAGATGTCATTAAAATGTGTAATTAATTGGTATAAAATGTTTGGAAAGGCTTGATCTCTACCAGCTTAATATGTCTAATTTCATAATATCTAATGAATTGGGAGACGTTAAAGGTTATTGTTAAATGTTTTGTTAAAAGTTAATTTGATTTGTTGTTATTTGCTGTAGATATTAATTTTATATACTTTTAAGATGGTTGTAAGTTTTTGATATTTATATATTATTAGGGTAAAACGTTAATTTTATTGTGATCTATTTTATACTTTCATTTAACAGATTGCACAATTAGTAAACTTGTTACTTACTGTGTTCTGTAAATTCAGCACACAAATATTCTTGGTTTACTAGTGCTGTGCCATTAAAGAGTTAATTACTGTATGCCATAAATTTTGATGTAATTTATTGTCCTCCACCTTTCGAAGAAAGCAGGGGACTATTAAAATGGGTTCCTTCGTCTGTCTGTCTCTCCGTCCCTCTGTCTGTCCTTCTAATTGAGCTAGAATGTTCAAACTTGGTGTAGGTGTTTATTAGGTCAAGGTCTTGATGGAGTTTGAAGATGAGCATTTTCTGCTTTGGGTAAGCAGAGATAAGCAATTTGATTGGTTGATGCTTTGGGACAAATTAACTTTAGTTCTAATTAAGTGAGAGTGATGAAACTTGGTGTATAGTTTTATTACATCAATACCTTGACTAAGTTGATAATGACCATTTTCTGCTCAGGGTAAGCACAGCATTAAGCAATTTAATTGGTCAAGACTTTTGAACGTAACAACTCTGCTTTTAATTGAGGTAGAATGTTTAAACTTGATGTAGATGTTCATTAGGTGAATGTCTTGACTTTGAGTTCAATGATTAACATTTCGAGCTAAAGCCAAGCTGAGCTAAACAATTTCATTGGTGGATGCTTTGGTACAAGATAACTTTGATTCTATCTGATATAGAGTGATGAAACTTGGTGGATTCTATCTGATAGAGAGTGATGAAACTTAGTGTATAGTTGATAATCAGTTTGATTGCTTCTTGATACTTTTGAAAAAAATAAATGTGCGATTAATATGTGTCATCTATTTATTTTGGGATTTCGGCGGGGGACATCAGCCTCACTGTTGGCTTGTTATATACAATACAGGCCTATTCAAGATACTGTTAAGATTGTTTAAAATTTGAGCAAATTATATGAACATTTGCAGATCAACTGAAAAATTCTATAGAATTTGACAAGTCTTCATCCTCACAAATGGCAGATACTCAGTATAAAAATGTATCCTATGAAAAAGCTACAACATTGTAATGTCTTTCCATTCTTTTCGAGGGTAAATACTTCATACAGTATACCACTTGACAGTTTATGTTTTACTTAAGAATCAGTCGCTTGTTGACAAGCCTCAAGATGTGAAGTTCAAAATTGTGTCAATGTTTTTCATTTGAAATGTTAAATGAACTCAAATATGTATTTTATGCATGGGTTACATAATTTGAGTTATTCCTCAGTATTTTATATATAAAATATTGCTGTTAGATAAAGAACTTATGTATTTTATTAATAGAAATTATTATATATTGTTGTTTTTCTGCAATCTGATTGAAATACAGATCTAAATTTTATACTTTTGATTTAATGGGAAAACTTTGACTGAATGTCGTAAACTATCTATATTTAACTTTTGTTTTGTTCTCTACTGCTCCGTAGATGTTTTCCATAATTCAGTCCACACCTTACCTAAAGCTTGACTAAACAGACCATTTCATTGGCTAATCTGTTGTGTCAAAAGGATCCTACTGCCATGAAGACATATAAAACTATATTTGAACTAAAATGAAATAGCTTCTGTGTTTTGATCAAATTGCTTTTTCTGTAGAGAAACCAAGTGTAGTAAAGTACACTGTAGCCTATTTATTTAAAGATGCATTATGTAAGAGCTAAATCTGCCTATTGCAAGTTCTATTTTTATTAAAATGAGACCGTTTGTCGATCCGTCCATCCGTCACACTTTTTGGGACACAATAGAATGTTCAAACTTGGTGTAGGGGTTTATTAGGTCAATGCCTTGATGGAGTTCGAAGATGAGCATTTTCTGCTTAGGGTAAGCAGAGATAAGCAATTTGATTGGTTGATGCTTTGGGACACGATAACTTTAGTTCTAATTAAGTGAGAGTAATGAAACTTGGTGTATAGTTTCATTACATCAATACCTTGACTAAGTTCGATAATGAGCATTTTCTGCTCAGGTTAAGCAGAGCGATTAGCAATTTGATTGGCTGAGACTTTGGAACACATAACTCACCTTCTAATTGAGCTAGAATGTTTAAACTTGGTGTAGGTGTGTATTAGGTCAGTGCCTCGATGGAGTTCGACGATGAGCATTTTCTGCTTAGGGTAAGCAGAGATAAGCAATTTGATTGGTTGATGCTTTGGGACAAGATAACTTAGTTCTATTTAAGTGAGAGTGATGAAACCTGGTGTATAGTTTTATTACATCAATACCGTGACTAAATTCGACAATGAGCATTCTCTACTCAGGGTAAGCAGAGCGATAAGCAATTTCATTGGCCAAGACTTTGGAACACAATAACTCTCTTTCTAATTGAGCTAGAATGTTCAAACTTGGTGTAGTTGTTTATTGGGTCAATGTCTTGATGGAGTTCAAAGATGAGCATTTTCTGCTTTGGGTAAGCAGAGATAAGCCATTACATCAATACCTTGACTAAGTTTGATAATGAGCATTTTCTGCTCAGGGTAAGCAGAGTGATGATAAGCAATTTGATTGGTCGATACTTTGGAACACAATAACTCTCATTCTAATTAAGTTAGAATGTTCTTTTGTTGTAGGTGTCCATTAGGTGAATGTCTTGATGGAGTTTGAAGATGAGAATTTTCTGCTTAGGGTAAGCAGAGATAAGCAGTTTGATGCTTTGGGACACCATAACTTTAGTTTTAATTAAGTGAGAGTGAGGACACTTGGTATATAGCTTTATTATATCAATACCTTGACTAAGTTTGATAATGAACATTTTTTGCTGAGGGTAAGCAGAGTGATAAGCAATTTGATTGGTCAAGACTTTGGAACACAATAACTCTCCTTCTAATTGAGGTAGAATGTTCAAACTTGGCGTAGGTGTCTATTAGGTGAATGTTTAAACTTGATGTAGATGTTCATTAGGTGAATGTCTTAACTGAGTTCAATGATTAACAATTCCAGCTGAAGCTAAGCAGAGCTAATCGATTTCATTTGTCGATGGTTTGGGACAAGATAATCTTGATTCTATCTGATAGAGAGTGATGAAACTTAGTGAAAAAAATAAATGTGCGATTAATTAGTATGTGTCATCTATTTGTTTTGCCATTTCGGCGGGGTATAAACTTAAAGTAAATCAGATATTAATTTAGCCTCTAGAGCTTCTACAAGATTTTTCAAAGAGGTCAAGTGCCATAACTCTGAGGATTCATCGTCTCGTAACACTAAATGATGTGTATAAAATTAAATTTGAACTGATTTCAACTTTAGCCTCTAGAGTGTCTGCAAGGGCCATAACTAGGGCGGTAATAATTGGAAATTTTTGAAAATGACTAGGATCCTTTCGTCTAATGATCTTTAATAGTGTGTATAAATTTAAAGTCAATCAGATATTAACTTTAGCCTCTAGAGCATCCACAAGATTTTTCAACATAATCAAGGGCCATAACTCCGGCAGTAATTATCAGAAATCACTGAAAATCAATAGGCTTATTTGTCTCATGATCTTAAACACTGTGTATTAATTAAATTCAAGTGGATATTAACTTTAGCCTCTAAAAGTTAGTTTGTTGGTTCGGCGCCCACAATTGTTTGTGGACACCTGACAGGCGACGACAATATACGAACTAATTTCCATATGGGCATATAGAAATGGATAATCAAGACTGTTTAATTATTGTGATTATAGCAAGAACGGCCAGCTCTTGATCAAAATCTTACATAGTGCATCGGTTCTTTAAGAATATTTTAGTAGAGTTGTTCATGTAGCGTGTTTATATTGTTGTCATATGTCTGTTCATCACAAATACTCCAGTTGTGTTTCGATCGTTGTGAAATTGTTATATATTCATTCAAATTAAAATGGTGAGGTCAAGAATCAGGAAGCATTTTGGTTTTCATCCTTATTTGAGACAATATATGGATTTCGTAACCTTGTGTATACTTTCATTACATCAATACCTTGAAAGTTTGATAATGAACATTTTCTGCTTAGGTCAAGCTGAGTGTTAAACAATTTGATTGCTTGATGCTTTATGAAAAGATAAATGTGCAAGTAATTAATTGTCTATTTATTTTTGGTCTCACTGTTGGCTTGTTAGAATAGCTATAACGAAAGGGTTAATATTTATAATTATTATTTTAGAGTTATTGCAATTGCTTTACAAAAATAAACCAGTGATTATGTAAAATTGCCATGCTGGTTAGGGTTGATTAGTTGTCTGTTTGATAACCTAATTTATTATCCATTAAGTATGAGCTTTTTTTTCCCTTCGATTTAAACAAGGGTTGCTAAACTAATATCTAGTCTGTGTATCAGTATTTACTAGTTTGTTCAATAAATATCAAATACTTATAGTATACCATGGTTGGCTTAGTTTAATTATTACATATTATGTTGATTATAATAGAAAGATTGTTATCTATTCATTAAGTATTATTAAGAATATATTTAAATGGATAGTTTGTGTGATTTCAAATAACCTTGCTCTGGAACATTTTTTCTGTTTTGTATCTTCAATGTCTTCCATATATATCAGGCAAATTGTTGCAATTGTTTTATTAGGAGATAATTAACTATTAGTTGTTAATAAATGCCAGTGTTCTTGCTAACAGATTTTACTAGTGTCTGATATGGTTCCTTCAATGAGAGTTCATGTAAGTTTGAAATAGGCAATATACATGTTACAGAATATAGAAGTAAACTACTCTGTGACTTCATGATTTTATTCAAAAGTTTGACAGTATGTTTAAATTTTGGTCTTTGTTATAAGCCCACATTGAAATGTGATTATATATTGTCGTTGCCCCTGTCCGTCCATACATCGGTCCTGTGTGGACGCTCAAGAGGCTAAAGTTAATATCCAATAACTTTAAATTTATACACAGTGTTTAAGGTCATAAGAAGAAGAAGCTTATTGATTTTCAACGATTTCCGATAATTACTGCCAGAGTTATGGCCTTTGATCACTCTAAAAAATCTTGTGAATTCTCTGGAGACGAAAGTTAATATCCGATTGACTTCAAATTTATACACAATGTTTGAGGTAATAAGACAAAGAAGCCTATTGATTTTCAATTATTTCCAATAATTACTGCCAAAGTATAGGCCTGTGATCACTTTGAAATATCTTGTGGACACTGTAGAGGCTAAAGTTAATATCCGATGATTTTAATTTATATAATTAAGGTCATGAGACGAAGAAGCTTATCAGTTTTCAATGATTTTCGATGATTATGGCAATTGATATTAAATGTTTTGTACGCTAAATGTTAGAATGTGGTAGAACTAGATTTTAGCGTGTTTTCACTTCCAACAAAAGAAAAAAATATGAGACAACCCTTGTTGACTCCCCAGATGACTACCCAGATGACTTAGCTGCTGTGGACGTATGTTTCATTGCCTGGCAACCTATCGTTTTGCAATATTAAAGGCAATCTAATATTTAAGATATGTCTGTTGTATGCCTTGTGAAGGCTATCCATTGACTACTTAAATCTGTTTTTATTGTTATGTATCAAAAGTAAGTAGAATTAGAAGTGTGTATTATTTGCAATATATAGAAATTGTCTATATTATATTATTGAATCGTTAAAAATTATCTAGGAGCACTGAACATTCAGTCAGTTTGTGTATCAAATATTGCAGTCACACAAATGTACCATTTTGATGATCTTTTTCTGGTAGCTAAGCAATTTGATTTGTGTATGCATTTCATTTTATTTCAATCATGTGATGAAACTTGGTGTATAGTTTCATTTCATCAATACCTTGACTATTGATTAGGGGTGCACTAGATTATGAATACAGACATGTAGTTGATAGCTTGACTGTCTGGTCATACCATCCAGATAAATTATCTTTTGGAAAATTAATGCTTAATGTCGGATCAGAAGAATCTCAAGTTTAGGTCTTTTAACCAATAAATAAGTTTTTCCTTTTATATAACTTAATCATCCAGCTTTTAATACAAAATATTTTACAAAGTTGTTAGGGTTTTTTTTTTTAAGTGATATGTTAAATTATTATTGTAAAGAAAACACAAGACAGCCCTACAGATATATTGTTAGTTCTTTGGGATGCACTGTCAAAGTAAATGTGTTTATGATTTGTTACTAGCTATAATTTAAAGTGTGTTCAGTTCAGAATTACATGATATACAATTTTTGTAATAACTTACCAAATTTTTCTTATATTGTGGTAAAATACATTATATGCAACCTAGCCATAACCATTTTTATACGTCCACATTCATAATGTGAACGTATTATGCCGTCGCCCCTGTCTGTGTGTGTGTGTGTGTGTATGTATGTATGTGTGTGTGTGTGTGTGTGTGTGTGTGTGTGTGTGTCTGTGGTTCGCCTACAGGGCGCAATTCTTCATGGATTTTCTTCAAACTTGGTATACTTATTCCTTATACCCCAAGGAAGATCCCTATTGTTTTTGGTGCATGCCCGACCCCCCGGGGCAGAGCCACGCCCATTTCTAGTATTTGTTTGTTTGTCGTCTACAGGCCACATTTCTTAACTAATAATCTTGAAACTTTGCATACACATTCTTTGTACCCTAAGGAACATCCCTATCGTTTGGGGTGCATGCCCAACCCCCAGGGGCAGAGCCACGCCCATTTTCTTTTCGTGTGTCTTTGTGTCGCCTACAGGGCGCAATTCTTACTGGATTTTCTTCAAACTTGGTATACTTATTCCTTATACCCCAAGGAAGATCCCTATTGTTTTTGGTGCATGCCCGACCCCCAGGGGCAGAGCCACGCCCATTTCTAGTATTTGTTTGTTTGTCGTCTACAGGCCACATTTCTTAACTTATAATCTTGCATACACATTCTTTGTACCCTAAGGAACATCCCTATCGTTTGGGGTACATGCCCAACCCCCAGGGGCAGAGCCACGGGCAGAGCCACGCCCATTTTCTTTTCGTGTGTCTTTGTGTCGCCTACAGGGCGCAATTCTTACTGGATTTTCTTCAAACTTGGTATACTTATTCCTTATACCCCAAGGAAGATCCCTATTGTTTTTGGTGCATGCCCGACCCCCAGGGGCAGAGCCACGCCCATTTCTTGTATTTGTTTGTTTGTCGTCTACAGGCCGCATTTCTTAACGCATCATATTGAAACTTTGCATACTTTTTCTTTGTACCCTAAGGAACACCCCTATCGTTTGGGGTGCATGCCCAACCCCCAGGGGCAGAGCCACGCCCATTTTCTCTTTGTGTGTCTGTGTGTCGCCTACAGGCCACAATTCTTAATCGACCGTCTTGAAAAAATTTCATATGAATTCCTTATACCCTAAGGATGATCCCTATTGTTCTTGGTGCATGTCCGACCCCCAGTGGCAGAGCCACGCCCATTTCTTATATTCATTGTTTGTTATCTACAGACCGCATTTCGTAACGTATCACCTTGAAACTTTGCATGCTTACTCCTTCTATCCTAAGGAACATCCCTATTGTTTGTGGTGAATGCCCAGCCCCCAGGGACAGAGCCACACCCATTTTCTTTTTGTGTGTCTGTATGTCACCTACAGCCTGCAATGCTTAATCGATCATCTTGAAAACTTTTTTATACTTATACATTATACCCCAAGGCTGACCTCTATTTTTTTGGTGATTGCCCAACCCCCAGGGGCAGAGCCACACCCATTTTTTCTTTGTGTCTCTGTGAGTTGCCTACAGGCCACGATTCCTAATGGATTGTCTTTGAACTTGGGATATGTTTTCCTTATAGCCTAAGGACGACAACTGCATGTCACGACCCCCAGGGGCAGTCATGCCCAATTTTTATGTATATCGTTTACAGGCCCGAATTCTGGATGGATCAACTTGGTATTTGGCATATGTATTCCTTATAGCCTAAGGGCATCAACTATTGATTTTGGTGAATGCCCCAACGCCCAGGGGCAGAGCAACGCCCAATTTTTGCCTTTAACGCCCAAAGGCCACAATTCTGAATGGATTATTTTGGAACTTGGTGTACTTATTCCTTATACCCTAAGGACGGCAACTAGTGATGTTGCCATTTCAATAACAGGATGGTACCTGTTTATATTGTTTCCATATCCAACCCCCATGGGCAGAGCCACGCCCAGTTTTTGTATTTATCGTCTACAGGCTGCAATTCTGAATCATCTTGGAACTTTGCATATTTATTCCTTATACCATAAAGACAGCAACAATTTATTTTGATACTTGCCCGGACCTCTTGGGGCAGTGTCACACCCACTTTACTGTTAGTATTTTGTCTGTAAATTTGGCAAAACAAACCCGACGCCTAGCCTTCTTTGCCTCTGATCATATTACAGCCATTTCATATTTCATTTTCTTCATTTTAAAAAGTACCATATCAATCAAAGCTGGAATGTGGACGTATATTGCAGCGTTAGCGATGCTCTTGTTCAAATTGTGTTCATATTATTGATAAATCAAATCATGCTTGTTTCTATGCTTCCTCATATTTTACATGTAATTAACCACTAGTCTCTGAATCTTCCCCTAAATCACTGGTAAAATTCATTGGAAAAAGTCTGTGCTTAATAATTGTTTCACAATAAGCCTATAATATTTGTAAACTGAATTTTGTTTTATTTACCACATGATTTGTAGCTGTGTGAAATGACTGATGCATTGTAATGCTGTGTATTGAAATAAAATCATATAATAATCATCTTAACGATATATTTCCACCACGTCAAGATGTCGGAAATCATGAAGACTCAGTGGGTAAATTGCTGGCTTGCTAACCTGGAGGTTGGAGGTTCTGTCCAGGTGTCAGCCAAGAAAGTTACTTAGAATTTTCCAGCGTGGTTATTCCCCTCCCACCTTGTTAGTGGTACAGAACTGTGGGTCTGGCAAGAGAAGAATGGGGTTTAACGTCTACTCGACACAAACAATGTCATTTTGGGACTAGTGTGGTTCAATTTTTTTTAATAGGGGTCTTTAGTAGTGGGAGGACCTGGAGAAATACCACAAGGTTATACAATTGACCCTACTTCTTGTCACGTACAAGCGAGGAATCAAAACCATGCCACTAGACAGATATTATGATGCAACGCCCACGCGTTAACCTTTTGGCCACCCACCCCGTCTGGCAAGGAACAGCATCTAATCGCTTGGTTGGGATGATAAACCGAGGTATCGTGTTCACATTGTATTGTATTGGCATGCATGTAAAAAAACCTTGGAATTAGCATTGCTGTTCGGGCAAAATTGTCCTCAATCTTCATTCACCCTGAAGGAGCAGAAAAGACATTTCATTCCATGTGAAGCTGTCACACACTCCATGCAACGTCGCAGCAGTGCAGTGCTGCTTGTAGCAGCCGTGGCACTCAGGCCCACTTGAATTGATGCAAAGATGCATTTTTGGTGTTTAGGGGTCAACCTTCACATATCGTAGCAGTTGTACTGTCTGAACTCTGAACAGTATGTGTGAATTCTGTTGTTTTAATGTAAGAAACGCATTAATCAGAAACTATGTGCAAAGTTTTGTGTTTCTGACATAGGCGTCCGAGCCAAGGGGGCACAATCTGACTTTTCGGGCATACGGCTAAAATGAAAAAAAAATATTTCATCTAGTTTGCAATATAAAGTGCCCGATATCTAAGTTATTTTACTTTTCTTTTAATTGAATATCACGAATTTGTACTGAATTCACTATGTATTAAAACATTTATGTGACATTTTTCGGGCATTGATTATTATTTCTATATGCAATTGATTGGATGGTTGGAATTCAGGTCAGCATTGAGTGGGTTTCGGTTACATAACCATGCATTGCACAATTTTGGAGTTGCTTAACTCATGGGCTAGAATAGAAGAAAAACGCATTTCCGGCGATTAAATTTTCTCCGGGACACCTTGATTGACGCTTGTTTGGGATTCAGGTCAGCCACTTAAGGTAAGCTATAATAGACTACATTGAAGTTGTGAAGTATTCACGGGCTGAAATAGCAGGAAAACGCGTTCGTGGCTAGTTAAATTTTCTCCCGACCTTCCCGTCTCCATGGACTGTAAACGATTGACTGGTTGATTGGAATTCGATCCAGCCATCTTAATTAGGCTATATCAGACCACTTTGAAGTTGCTCTATTCGCAGGCTGGAATTTTCCAAAATTTTCTTGGCGGGGTCCCTACACTCTTCCGTTCTCGCAGAAGACTGGCGCGGCCGTCTGTAACCCGAAAAGATTTCGGACATTTCGGGTTCTGCCCCCCTCTAACTGTCATCGAGCCCGTAGCCTATGTTCCTGGATCAAAGATATTTCTCATAAACAGTGATTTAAAGTTCAGTAATTTTTTTGAAATTCTGACACCCAAGTTGTGGATCGCACTGCACACGAAGGGTAGATTTCCCAACCTAAACTTTCATACGAACATATATATAGAGAGAGGGGGAGCGAGAGCGTGTATTAGATCTTACATATTTTCTAGTCCCCATCCATTGAAAAGTCTAGGCTTTCCCTGCACAAACGCATGCAATAAAGACAAAAGGAATGGTGTTAACCATTTTGTAAAAACAGTAACTTAATCATTTTCAGATTAGGGGTTAAGTTTATTTGCTATGATCTATGCCCTGGAGGACAAATGTTTCTGTCTTGCATGTATGTTTTCTGTACCATGCCAGGATATAAAGTCTGGAACAATAAAGTACAGGGCATCGGCCAAAGAAAAAAAATATTTTCCTGTAGATTATAAGGGACACAGTCAGGTGGAAGTTGCACTCAATAAGCTGTGAGCAATGCTTTATTACACTCTATGTTATCATGCATTTATTTTGGGCCATGTTCAACAATTCACAAATCAAAGCTCATCAATACATATAAATGAAGGAAGAAATGAAAGGCCCAATTTTAAATTTTCTCAAACTTGTCAGGTGGAAAATAACGGGAGCTATGACTGCCTTCTATTTAAGGGCTTCAAACTACCTTGTGAAATGTCCTGAACAATTAGACAAATTACCCAGCCAGTTACACAGATGACACCAAATTCTTTTGAGTGCCAAGTCTGCACCTATTTTCAGAATTACTGTAAATCAAGAAATGATGTACTCAACTATCAGTACTTCACATTATTACTGTAGAGAATAGAAATGCCTAATGAAATTAATGTGTTTGACCGTAGGTCACATTTAATATATTAATTTCTTGCTCGCATGAATTTCTTGGTTTACAGAAGATATTAATTAATGCACAAATCATCCTTCAGTTTCTGAGAATCAACAATTGTCATTACATCATCACATACTGAAATTTCACAGATCATGCACTGCCATCCAACTCCCTGTAAAAGCCAGAAGAAACAAACCAAGCCACATCTAATGAATAAGGACTTTATTCAGAATACAATTCAAAGCAAGCTACGAGCACAATATACATGTCATGTCAAAAAAAATCTATCACTGTACTGATAAAAGGCTGCCCAATCCTAGAATAAATGGTGCTTTGGCAAATTGTGATGGCTTTATATCTCATCTTGGTCACATTTAAAATGCAGTAAGTACGGAGTCTGGACAACACAGAGGCATAGTAATATATATCTATGTATATAATAATATATATAAATCTATACTGTCTGTAATAGCAGCACTTTGGAACACTTTGTGCCCTGCCTGGAGAAAAAAAAAATCACAGTATGCTTTATCCTGCACTATACTGCATCTTGTGAAAGATATTATTAAAGTCTCATGGCCATCATGAGGTGAGAGCGCCATTATTAACTTCACAGCCCAGATATTTGGAACAACAAATGATTAAAAATCTACGACACATTTTGGTAAATTGACACAGATCACAACAGGCTAGAACAGGTTAGCAATAATTTCCAAGTCTGGGCGGGAATAAATACTATTACAGACAATACAGCAGTTTTAAAGTATTTTAAAATCGGCAAACTCCACAGTTCATCTTGGGATGATTCATTAGTATGCTCAATTTTCATTATTTTTTTTTTTGTATTTTTTTTTCATATATTATTTTCTGGAAGAATTATTTAACAGCACTAGTAGAATGCACTTCTATTCCTGATTCACACATTGGACAACAGACACACAAATGAGAAATTTCATTATCACAGGTTTGTCCTACCACTCAACAGATTCCAATTTCAAACATGAGAAAAATATTACACCACGATTCATTGTCTTATATTGACGAAAAAACAAAAAAGAAAAAACAATTTTTTGCACACTTTTGCTGCAATACAAATATTGATTATTTGGAAATCAGTCATGAATAGACTATACAATTTGTAATAATATATAATATATATATATATATAATTCTATGTGTCTTTTTTTCATATTTTTTCACATTTTATATTTTGAGGTTTAATTGTATCAAAGGCTCAGATACCTTTTCCAAATGGACATTCTGCACCATGAAACTGGCCAACCCACCTGACAAGACAAATTTGGAATCTGAAAGACTTAATACTTCATTGTCGAAGTATACAAAAATAAAAATATGTGCTTTACTTCTTTGAAGCATTGAGCACCAAGTTTGCATGCACTTTGGTTGGTAGACCAGGCTTCTGAGTGCCGATATAATCCACGGAACACATTTATATTAAGCACACTACTTAATCCCACCAAAGGTGACTAACAATCATAGTTTTACCAGTCTTAGGAACAGGGGCAAATCCCTTTGATTTTTTTTTTTTATTTGATTTTTTAATTAAGTTAAGATCTAACAATATTTCATGATAAAGCTTTCTAAACAGTATGCTTAAAACTTATCCCAATTTCTTTTGGCACATAACAAAAAAACATAACGTTCAAGATTATAAAGAACCTAATTTTTTAAAAAATAATTTATAAATACTGTTTAATTTTTTTTTAAGGTTCTTTACAATCTTATCACCATATTGGAAAAAAAAAATTGATGATGCCCCTATTCCCGTGGTGGTAGGTAATACTATATCTGTCAGTATTAGTAATACATATAAAGAGATCATAACAAGGGTACTATGCTGATTACATAGATTGCCCTCCAAGAATATTGTTGACAAGGGGATTTGAGTTGTGATCATCCGATGCGCCTCCCCAAAGACTTGAGCCCCACATGCTACCACTTCCTGAGCTGGGTAGGTAAGGAGTTGGGGCTAAGGACCAGGGTGAAGCAGGGGCAGCAGCATTATTAAGCTGTGATATTTGCTGCTGCTGTTGCTGTTGTTGGTTTTGTGACCACTGCTGACTAGGTACATTCATGGCACTGTGTTTGGCAAATCGGCTTGCATCTTCTTCTGTGATAAATTCAGCAAAGATTGTAGTACCGCCGAGAACACACTGGTTTAAGGCTCTTTGGGCCTTGGCAGCTTCCTCTTTAGACGAGTAGCAGACAAGAGCTGATCCAAGTTGTTGAAGTGGAACGAAACAACTGAGGGGGCCATGTTGTTGGCACAAGGTTTTCAATGTAGAAGAATCAATCTGAAATACATCAAGAGGTTCATAAGATATTTAGAACAAATTATAAAACTATGTTGAAATTTAATGGACTTTGTGAATTTGTCCTCATTGGAGATAAACATAGAGCCATCATATATGAACTATATAAATGTTTAACCACTAACTCACCTGATGTGAAATGTTCTTTAGGATAAGCCATTGCATTTTGGGGGATTTATCCCAGTTCCCAACTGAAAAAGAAAAGGGTATATCATGTATAAATAAGTACAGATTTCATGACATGATTTCCTTTAAATACATTTTCCGTCAATGATTTCTTGTGACTGTTATACATTATCCTTTAATTCTACAATCATCATAATTATATTCTTTTACTTACCTGGTGTAAAGGCTGAGTTGTCTGTGCGACCAGCCCACGAGTTTTGACGTTGCCAGTTATTGGATCTATTGCCATGTAGGGGGAATCCTGGAGGCTGTCTCCCACTACCCATGGCATTTTGCATGGAACCGCTGCTCCATTCCGGCATTCCAGATTCTGGATTCCAATTTTTGGATGAGTTTGGCCCTTTTCCCCAATCAGCAGCAGAAGTACTTGGAGTTTTTAGGGAAAGATTGTCCAAGTAATCATCTTTCACAACATTTACACTGAATGAACGGGAAAAACTCCCTGGAGTGATATGTGGATCATCTTCAACACTTTTATTATTAAATCCCTGCCATGGTTTGCCTGGCACAAATTCAGGAATCACATCAGTCAGGTTTACACTTGAGGCTGTAGTTAGTGCTAGAGATTCTTTAGTAAGGTCGGAACTGTCTTTCCCGTCTGTGGTTCCCTCAATACTGGCGCTCGGCCAATTTTGCGAGGCAGTGGTTGCTATTGTCGACCAAGTGGTATCACCTGATATATTCAACATACTCAGATCCTCAAATCTGCCCAAATTAGGTGAGGACTGCGATTGATGCATTGGTTTGCTTCCAACCGCTTTATTAAGATTGTCAATGTCGTTTTCTTTGTCACCATTTCCACTCTTCCACTGGGTGAGTCGAGACTGAGGCTGTGGAGTTACTGTTGAAGCATTCATAGATAGGTTATTTAATTCTGTTTGTAGAGGTAAAAGTGGGTCCATATCAGGATTTGGTTGCTGCGTATTTTTAAGTCCGGGTGGTTGGGCTTGAGAGATCTGTTTCTGTATGTTTAAGATCTGTTGTCTGATATTGTTGATCATTTGCTGCAGTTGTTGTCTATCATGGGGTTGTAATGTCACCTTGTTCTTGTGGAACATTGTCTGGCGGTTCACCAGTTGTTGTAAAGCATTTTGATACTGTAACAGTTGCTGTAAGAGCAACAGAATATTGTGGGGTAGTTGTTGATTGAGTAGTTGTGGACTAATAAGACCTGACTGTACAGCCATGCGCAGCTGTTGTAATATCTGTTGTTGTGCCATTTGTTGATGCACGACATTCTGACCAGGGTTTTGCCCAGGTACTTGACTACGTGTCAGGGGGCCCTGGGTGGGACTCAAAGACTGGGCTTGTTGTTGCTGCTGAAGTTTCTGCGGCATAAATTTTGGTTGTAATGCAGGATTAATACTGGAGTTCATTGGATTTGGACTAGATGAAGGCAGACTAGCGCCAATTTTGGACCGGTCGTACATGGACATATATGGCTGATTTGGTACTTGAGCATTTTGAAATGGAGGAGTATTTTGTATGGGAAAGTTAGGCACATGCGGATTGCTATCCAAGTGAGTATCTGATATGTCGTTGAGGCCACCGTCTGGTAGCATTCCTGTTTTAGCTTTTACACCATTTGCCTGGAAAACATCCATATCAGTATCTTTCTTGGCACCGTTATTACTTAATTCAGCTGCAAAAAAATAATAAAAAATTATATTTTCACGTTCAAACAAGAGAATGTATACTTACATATGATAAAGAGCATAGAACTAAATTCACATTCACTGGTATTTACATAATTTTTAAAACAATAGACTACTTACCAACGGCTCCTTCAAAGTTCATATTGTTGTTAATTAGAGCTGTTTGGGCATCGTCCTTCTGTAAGATAAAATAAAAGAACATTGTTGAAATCTTTTTTAGAGCTCAATTAAGTCTTCCATTCAGTCCATTAGAAACTGGTTTTGTGTTAAAATGTAGAGTTAACAACAAATGTGATGATTACCTTATATCCCATAGCAATAAGTTGCTCAAGAAGTCTGACACGCATTTGATTAGGTGGATGGTAACCACTTGATGGGGGGAATTTATTAGGAGGCATCTGAAATACAATATTTACAGTAATCATACAGGATCAGGAATCATATTAAAATCTCAATACTGTTACGTTAATCTTAATTTATTACTTTTCTTACTTTATATATCTTAAAATAATCGAAATATATTCAACATTTTATATTTTAAAAAAATATCTATAAATAAAACTTTGGTAAACATGTTCCGTTTAAATTATTGATCAATTAGTATATACACTAAACTGTTAAAAAATATATATGACTATTAGTTTCTAATTGGCACTCTATTTTTTTTAAAAGAATTTTATTAATTTAGACAGTTAATCATTAGTAAAAACTAGAATTTAGAAAATATATTTAGTTAGAATTATTATTTCAGAATACAAAGAATTAAAACAAAAAGAAAATAAATTTTGTTCAGTCAATGAACATGTGCTAAGGAGATACCCCGAAGATAGTTTCATAGAAAAAACATTCAGTGTGTTACGATAACATCGCATAGCAGTTGGATTATTTCTCAACGTGTCTTTATGTAATACTAATTAAGAAATACTTTGTGCAACATAAGGTAAAATTCAAAGCCAACAATTATTGAAACATATAAAACATTACAAGTAATACAACTGGCTTTCCTATACATAGCAATATTAAAATCATTTTTTTTTTTTTAAATTTCAGCTACACACTACCTATTCCACATTTAAACAAGCATGAAGACTGAAGTTATTTGATTAAAGTAAAAACATCTAGGCAATGCTCCTACAAATTATATAAAAAAACCTATAGCTTAAGCCTCTGATCCAAAGAAAATGCATTAAACTGAATGGCAAATATGTAAAAATACCAACAGTGCAAAGGGAGAAAAAAAAAATACCAGTGCCAGCTTAATTGATTTTTTTTTTTAATACCTTCACCATTTGCTGTTTGTTTTTCCAGCCTGACGCGCTGCTCCACGAACTATTTTCTTGTGAAATATCATTCCAATAGCCCACGTCCATTGACCCCCAGCCACCTCGCTCATCTGTCCAGTCTTGCTGCAAGCATACGTCAGTCAATTCACTCACTCACGCTTGTGTCATACGGCCAAATAGGGCATTACATTAGGAAATTTCATCTATGGATGCACAGTGCTTGTTCAACATTCAAACATAAGCATTAGAATTATGGATTACAGATTAATATTAGGATATTATAACCGACATAACATGCTACTATCCACTAGTTAATCATTGCGTCTTTTTTATAAATCATCCCATGACACATAACAAAATTATTTATATACTTTGTTATGAAGGTTACATTAGTAGTAAATCAAATATATATTTACATTAGTAAGACAATAATACTATTTGGTCTACTAAATGTGTATGTATTTTTTCAATGATATTTACAGGTACAAGCACTGTGCATCATAGAATCTAATCCAGAATAAAAATCAAAATATGAAAAGAAATTTAACTGATATTTCCAAAGAAGAATCAGGAATTAAAAAGATGGGGGAAAAAAATCAAACTGAAAACGGTCTAGGAAATTTATGACTGTAAATCTTGATAAAAATGGAAAATTACTTTTCCTTAACTAAGTGCAATTGAGAATTACTAGGATGGATGCGATATCTGTATAGATTACGATATAATTTAATGCCAAAAATAACTAAATACAGCCTTAAAGGACCAAGACCCAAAGAAAATGGGATTAATCCAAAATAAGACTAGACAAATGAGTAGTGAGGAAAGCAGCAACCAAACCCGCAACAATGCATTACACATCGCAAAGCACAGGCGGCGTGCAAAAATAGCAAACCTTTCTATTCGCTGAATTCCAATTATTTTCTCCTTCATTCCAACTAGATTTGTTTTTGGCACCAACAGTGGGATTCCACTGACTACCTGTGTCTCCCCATCCACTAGCCCTGGCCTGAAGTGGAATTTCATATCAGAGTTAGATTCCTCATTTTATAATTAGACTAATCATTAGGAATTAGCTTCAACTTTAAAGAGTTTCAGTACAATAGTATTTCAAATAAAAGTATTGTAAAACTTACTTGTTGCTGAGCATTTCCTGCCCAAATACTGGTTCCATCATCTACTCTATCTCCACCATTGGACGGGTTACCCCAACCGACTGTTGGTCTATTGCCACTACCATTACCACCTCCTACACCACCACCTGCAGGACCAGATTTCATCCATTCTTCATTTTTCTGCAACATACCATTACCTGGGGTAATGGGGGTGGAGGGAGTACTAGGGGTACTACTCCATGACTTCGGTTTAGTCATTTCACCATGCCACTGACCAGTACCCTCTTGTTGTCGAGGATCTTCCCAAGAAGAAGTATCTTTCCACTGACCCGTATCCGTCTTGCCTCCCCACATGGCATTATTAGAATTATCTGGAACGTTCCAGTTCCCAATAGATCCGTCTGAACTACCCCCACCCATGTGATTATTATCAGGACCTGGACCAGGTCCATTCCATTGATTTGATTCTTTCTCTTTGTTCCATTGTGGCCCACTTGTTGCTCCATTCCAGCCACTTGGGTTTCTATTTTGGTTATCACGGGATGCTTCCCATATAGCTGTGCCATTATTATTATCCCAAACATTAGCTGCTCCACCATCATCCACTCTTGTAGCTTGAGATGACTTTGAAAGTTCCAAATCCCAAGATGAATTTTGACAGACTGGTTTACGCCCCCAACCTTCATGACAATCAATTGCACGAGAGATTTCAGACGGGGGTTCATGAGACATCTGTTGTTCAGATGGAATTTTGTCATTACCTGAATTACCAGAAGGTGGGAGGCCTTTACAAGCGGCCTGAGCCCAGGAAAGATGCTCTGGATTATTGCCTGATCCCTGACTTTTAGCTGCACCACTAGGATTATCTCCCCATTGTGACTTAGTATTTCCACTATCCCACTGAGATCCAGAGGTGGGTGGTTTAATGTTTCCAGGGTTTTGATCCCAACCAGAGGCACCAAAACTACTGGATTTACCCCAAACACTTGATTCTGATTCAACATTAGGCTCATTATTATTGCCACGTTTGTCCTTACCGGCACTTGCACCATTGTTCGTCACAGCAACAGTATTATTCCATCCAGATTCAGACGCTTTAGGAAATCCGCTTAGATCTCCCATGGAATTACTTGGCCATGGATTCGAGCCATTTAGACTTGAGCTTACATTAGGTCCACTTTGTTGAGCACCACTAATGCTTGGCAACATACCATGCACATTGTTGCCGTTTGAGGTTGATTGCATGGAATTTTGTGGTCTATGAGCACCCAGTCCTTGGGTACCACCTGACCCCCATCCTAATGAGGATATAGGAGGGTTTAAGTTTTTACTATTTGATATATTATCACTACCAGGCGAACTGGTACCAGTTTGCATATTATGTCCTTGGTTGTTCACAGAAAGACTTGGATGCGGATTAGATGAACTCCAACCTAAGGAGTTCTGGTTGGCAGCGGAGGGACTAGGGGAGTTTCCAGACCCCCAAGGATTTGATTCGATTCCACCAAAGGTGGATGATGTTGCACCCCATGGACTGGAAGCACTTTGACTCTGCATGGCACTTGACACTTTTGTGATGTCGATATTTTGCCCTTGGTTACTTGAGCTGGATATCACAGAACCAGATTTAGCTGAACCACTATCATCACCTGCGTCAGAGACAGATTCACCCGGTCTTATTGAAGGCCACGCTTCTTTATCCGTAGAATCAACAATAACACTGTTTATATTTTGATTCCAATTTTGGTCAGATCGCTGGGGGTTTTGCCAGGTACCAATATCCTGGCTGTTTTCTGAAGATAGACCTGGAAAGATACAAATATTTCATTTGTACTATGTCAATACTAAACAAATTCATTTTTTGTTTTTCAACCTGGGAGTTGGAATATAAGGTATAGTATTGAACATAAAATGCAGTACACTGTGCTCTTTTGATAAGTCACTTTCTTAACCTATTTAATCCTAGAGCCAATTAAAAGATTAGCTACCCATCCCTACTAAGCTCATTAAATCAGCAGGGCCCATCTCCTTAAGCCAATTATTAGTGGATTATTGTTAATCCTAATACCCTCTACAAAATTGCAAATAACTAAAAAAAATATTTTTGATACAAAGAAATACTCTGTTACAAAAATGTACAGATTGTGGTGTTCTTTCATTAACTATGAGAAAAAAATTCACTTGTACAAAGTGGCAATTATATTACTATAAATAATATTGAAAAGTCAGTTCCACTAAAATCATGACTTTCCTCTGTCATAATGGTAAAATAACGTGAACAAGTATTCCATAAGAATTTAAAAAAAAAAAAAAAAAGGATGCAAATATAGTCCCTCACGTTGGCAGGAGTGTTCAACGTAAATATAACTTTTAAAAAGAAATATCGCCCCAAATGACCGTCACTTCATTGCTATCAGCATTTGACATTTCTGCCTTTGATGGTGGGAATTGTCGTCTTCTTTGCTTCATTGCGTCGAAAATAAAAATATATAGTTGAAATCTTCGACAATGTAGCTTGTATCAAATCCTAAAAGTTTTGATTCAATTTAGCTTTTCAAAGTCTAGAATTATTATCCGTCTGTAAGTTTTGTGGTATCGTCGGTCTGGAAGCGTGTCCAAGATGGCAGTCGACATGCGTGATTTCGGCTGGAGTATACGTATTCTTCGCATCATAACGTCAAAAAAAAAAAAAAAAAAATAGTTTATTCCTTCGACATTATCATATTCCACAATATGCCTGGAATATCATAAAATTATCAGCCGCAAGTGACAACATGAAAATATTGGAATAATGCCAAAGTCATTGACACAGTATGAATTTTCACCTCTGACCTATTATGTAAATACCTATTACGTAGATCCTTTGTTGAAACGTATGTTTTTTATACGATAATTAGCGAATGTAACATTCCTTTTCACCAGGTGTATTATTTTTATTACTCGATCACCATTAATTTAAGAAATAAAAATAATAGAAATCAGTTGATTGATCTGGCGCTTTCCTATTTCGCAGTGTTTACCAGCACAAACAAATTTAGCTTAGTAGGCTTGGCTTGTACTGCATACGTTCAGGAAAGGCACTGATTGTTGCATGTTTCCAATACTCGTTTGATACTACAATTGATTTGTATCTTATCCTGTGAGTGTGACTGAACAGAAATACTATCAAACTGGTATTTTCTAGTGTAGAATTTCTGATAAATTCACATTTCACAAGAACTTTACGACATAAATTGTTAGAAATAATTCGGAGCAGGACAAATGCATAGCAACATGTACAATCTATTTACCGGTTTCTGTCCAGCCACTACCCGTAACCTTTGGTCCCTGACTCCATCCTCCGTCTTCTCCCCAGCTGTTATGATTATCACCTACTCCACCTGCTGCCCAATGAGTGCCTACTCTTGTTCCAGCTAAAAATATACCATCAACCCGTTTATACAAGCTTTATACACAGCTACAGCATACATGCCATTTATAAGATACAAGCATTACATAGTTATATATTTCAACTTCTCCACCACTAAATATTGACTCAAATATACATGCCAGCCAATGAGTCAATGGGCAAATAGGTAAATAGGTACTTAAAATTATTCTAACATATTGTTGAATGTCAAATTGTTGACTGCATGAAATTTAAAGCAAAACTTGCAACAGATTTACAGCCATTTCAATCAGTTTTATGATCTGATGAGAGCTAATACTTTGTCATGCTCTCCTGTGTACCTTTTCTATAGCCTTAATCCCATTACACATTATAGTTGACCATTTCGGGTACCATAATATATATTGTGAATATTTAAATACTTACCCTGTTGCATTATATCTACAACTTTTAAAAGCTAAAATACGCTCGTCTAAATAAATTCGTTGCTTAAGCAAGTAGCTAACAGCTATTCCTGCTATCAGCGATTGATCACCAGTTAAATATTTGTTCAATCTGAAATTAAAACATTTATAGTTCATCAACAACCTTTATTTTATTATTTTCAATTTGTAACAAGAAATTCACTAAAGCTAAATTTGATCAGTATCGATTTTGAAATCCTTTTTAGATTCAGTAGGCGCAAAGTTAAACAAACCCTTTTCTGGAATCAAATTAAAAATATTTGAAACATATAAATATAATATAACACTCACCAGCTTAATATTAATAATGCTAAACCTCCCGTTTTTTGGAAGGAATTAACAACTCCCATTTCCTGAGAGCTAGGCACTTAAATAATATCTTTATCAGCCGTAAAATGCTTTAACATAAACTGCCCTGTCTTTGGAATGCAATCTGTAAATAAAAGACAGTTATAGATGAATATAGTTAGGGCAGAGAGCGAAACATATAAGTAAGAGACTATCTAATCACATTTAGACAAATGGCAATTTAATAAGAGTTATTTCCCTTTCTATCTAAACTCTGCAATCTATACTGAGAAACTGTTGTTCACCAATTACAATTAATCAGACTTAAATTTACTCAACTAGGGGGCAACAACAGGCACATGTATTGGTTGATCAAGAAAAATTAAATAAGACAAAAACAGGATTGGAATCTGGATAAACTACTAGAAACAAGAAACAAGGAAACAGTGAGGCTCAATCCAAAAATAAATGGACGACACTCACTAATTACTTGTACTTTTATCTTTTTATGAAGCATCAAGAAATCCATACTCCTCGCAGTGTTTCGTTTGATTAGAGCTAATCCACTTAACACTGTTGTAATGGAAGCAAATTTCTGTTCCAAATTATGACTGGTCAATAGTCTGATTAACAACCAATAGCTAACTGCGTAACAATATCATTACGCTTTAAACAGAGTTCCAAATTGGACCAAATATGTTTACATAACGTTACGTCATGACTCACGATTTTATTACGCCCAATTAACCCTTGCATAGCAGAATATTACAGATAAACTGATTGCGTTACAAATGAGGCTATCAAAACGGATACAATGTAAACAATACTGCTTGCAGACTAACCATACTTTCACCATTTTTAATACCTTAAATCACTGTCCAATGTTTTAGGGAAGATCCCAGATTAAACGAAGGGCTGTCATGCTGTTGTACTTGGGTTAGATTTGATTGAACGGGAAGAATAGACACACTCCCTCAAAATCTCAAGAATCAGAAACCAATCCAGCAACGGTCAGAGAGGGATTTCTCAGGCCACTGCTTCACGAATATTCAAGAAATCAAAGGATTTATACATGTAGCTCTGCTAATTGTATGCAGAAAATGCTCATTATCAAACTTGGTCAAGCTACTGATGTAATGAAACTATACGCTAAGTTCGGTCAGTCACAAGTTAGTGTGTTCAAAAACATTGACAAATCAAATAGTTTATCTCTGCTTAGGCTAAGCAGAAAATGCTCATCATCGTATTCTGTCAACAGTCAATACATTCATCTAAAGAGCACCTGCACAAGTTTGAACATTCTATCTCAATTAGAAGCAAAGGTATTGTGACAACCAAGCGGACATCCTTATTTCAATAGTTCACTTTCTCTGAAAGGTGGGGTACAACAATAATAAGAATCATAATATTTCTTACCTCACATATACACACAACCAACAATTAGATATATTTGCATTGTACATCTAAGATACTATCTGTAAAATATAAATTCACAAACAAACATAATTCATTTTTCAACTTTATCAAGATGCTTGCTTGAACTTGAAGCTACAGTTGTGTAGACTTTAGATATTTAAAATATATGATTAGTTAGAAACATATTAATCTAAAATGTTATATAAAATAAACGGTCAAAATAATATAGTCCCATAAAAGTAATATACAATTAACACAAGCCAACAGTGAGGCTGATGTCCCCCGCCGAAATCCCCAAATAAATAGATGACACATATTAATTAATCGCACATCTATTTTTTTCCAAAGTATCAAGCAATCAAACTGATTATCAACTATACACTAAGTTTCATCACTCTCTATCAGATAGAATCAAAGTTATCTTGTCCCAAAGCAGGAAATTGCTTATCTCTGCTTAGCTTTAGCTCGATATGTTAATCATTGAACTCAGTCAAGACGAACATCTACATCAAGTTTAAACATTCTACCTCAATTAGAAGAAGAGTTGTTGAACTCAGTCAAGACGAACATCTACATCAAGTTTAAACATTCCACCTCAATTAGAAGAAGAGTTTGACCAATCAAAATGCTTATCACTCCTTAGCTTAAACAGAAAATGCTCATTATCGAACTTAGTCAAGTTATTGATGTGATAAAACTATACACCAAGTTTCATCACTCTCACTTAATTGGAACTAAAGTTATCGTGTCCCAAAGCATCAACCAATCAAATTGCTTATCTTTGCTTATCCTAAGCAGAAAATGCTCATCTTCACACTCCATCAAGGCATTGACCTAATAAACACCTACACCAAGTTTGAACATTCTAGCTCAATTAGAAGGAGGGTTATTGTGTTCCAAAGTCTCGGCCAATCAAATTGCTTATCGCTCTGCTTACCCTGAGCAGAAAATGCTCATTATCGAACTTAGTCAAGGTATTGATGTAATGAAACTATACACCAAGTTTCATCTCTCTCACTTTATTAGAACTAAAGTTATCATGCCCTAAAGCATCAACCAATCAAATTGCTTATCTTTGCTTACCCTAAGCAGAAAATGCTTATCTTCACACTCCATCAAGGCATTGACCTAATAAACACCTACACCAAGTTTGAACATTCTAGCTGAATTAGAAGGAGAGTTATTGTGTCCCAAAAAGTGTGACGGACAGACAGACGGACGGACAGACGAACCCATTTTAATAGTCCCCTGCTTTCTTCGAAAGGCGGGTGACAATAAATACGAAGTATCAAGACATTTATAATGGAGACAGGAGAATTAATTAAATGTGTAAAGTAGAAATGTACTGAGCATTATCCAAATCAGTATCTTTACAGAAAATAATCTGTCTTATGATTATATTTTACATTGTAAAGATAGGTTGCCAGGCAACAACATACAATCCACAGCAGCTAATTTATCTGAGCAGACCATAAAGATTGCTGTGTTGTGAATCTTTATTAAATTTCGGAGGGATCAGATGATTATGTTTTTATTAAGAGCATTCACAAGATTCTACAATGTGAAGAAGGGCCGTAAGTTTGGAATTATCAGAAATATGGACTGATGGGACCGGGGCAATATATTATGTCGGCGAATAACAGAAAGGTGATATTTAGTTAGATACTTACAAGGAAATACTTTGAAAGAATATGGCATGGACCCACGAGATCTACAAAATCAAGATAAACACATAGTTAAAGAAGCATTATGGGAGATTAGATAACGAGGTGACTGTTCTCGCAATAATAGTTCAAAAATAGATAATGTAAATAGAATATGTTGAAAATTTCAGTCAAAATGCTACAATCTGAATGGAGATATTAGTTTTTGAATTTTAAGCCTAGCCTCAATCATCATTACTAAAGTCGGTATGATAAAAAGTCTCGATTATCCATTTTTGGATTTAATCATCAATGAGCACTACACAGCAGATCAGATTCAAATCCAGTAAAAATCCAACACATAAGATGATATCGACAGTTGGTTATGGTTTGGATAAGATAATTAATGTCTAATTAATAGTTTATATAACATTTCAGGCCTAAAGAAAGACCAGCAATAGGCAGATTTAGCTCTTGCATTATGTATGTTTAATTATCCTCTAATTAAAATTGGTAGTATTCGTTAATCAAAGTCAATCAAAACTAATTAAGTGTTTCAGACCTTCAGTCGAAACGTTTTTTTTAAAGTGTTTTTATTTATTATTTTTTTTGGGGGGGGGGGGAATTTAGTCAGAATTTGCAGCCAAAACTGTGCATTGTGCAAACATTCTGCCAAAGTAGATAGGGGTTGGCCTCCGTAGATCTATTTATTAAATATAAATTGGGTTATTTTTGATAAACAGGATGTGTTTTTCGGATGGGACCAAAAATAATCTCAGATTGCCCATATCTTGTTATTTCTCAACGGATCTTCTTCAGGTTTTCATTCTTGGATTCTTTGGGCAAATCCCATATGGGCTCTGACTGACGTTTTTTTTAAATTTGGAAGTTCTCTCGATTAGATTTAGCTTTAAAGATTTGTTAAAGTTTTCTTCCACCATTTTTTCGAGATTTGAGAAATCAAAGTGAAACTTGGTAGGAATGAAGGACACACCGATGCCTTCAAAATGGCATACTCAAAAATTTAGTGATGGATTCCGGAAACTTCCGGCGGAAATTATCGAGGCCTTCCAATTCTTCCCAAACATGAATAGTTCTCTCCATTTTAAAAATCGACCAAAAATGACATAATGACGGTGTTAGCCCCAGGTATCTTTAATTGTCAGAGACCTTGTTGGATAATGTTTTCAGCCATTTGGCCGCCATATTGGACTTCCCAAAATATCTTCAAGACGATATTCAGTCAACAGTTTGATTCAGATTTTCGAAAACATTTTTGCTTTGCTTGTTGGATAATGTTTTCAACCGTTTGGCCGCCATATTGGACTTCCCAAAAAATCTTCAAGATGATATTTAGTCAACAGTTTGATTCAGATTTTCTAAAACATTTTTGCTTTGCTTTGAACCTACTCTAAATGGCAACAATTCTTAGGGAGCCGATTTTTGAATTTCGATTTCCCTTTGAATTTTGTTCGACTTTTCAACATCCACCTGGCGACCTAACCTTTTAATGACCCTTGACCTCTGTATGATGACCCTCATGTCTACTAACAAAGTTTGGTCTTAAAGTATAACTTCCGGTTTTATTAAAAGTTCAAAATGACAGTTTTTTCCACTTTAATAGGCATTGCATCTTACTATACTCAATATTGCATAGTGTAACTTAATTGTTGGCGTGACAAGGCTTGACCTGACGTACCGAAACATGTCAGTACTCAGTACTCCTTCGGAGTTCTAGTTGAAATTGGATCTATTATTTGCCTCTTATTCTGATGAGATGTTTTCCTATATTAATTCAAGCAAATTGACATATATATACAAACAGATGGAGGAAAATTCACTGTTTGTAAAGATTGAAAGTTTCTAGAAATCTGAAAATGCTCATAAAATGGTCCAATAATGGTCATTTCAACTGAATTAAATAGTTGAATAGTAAAATCAGCATTGGATATGAGGACAAACAGCCCATGGTATTAACAATAAAAGCATATCAAGGTTATCCTGTTGCACCATTTGAATGGAATTCTATGTCACATGAACTGTTAACACATTACTTATGAGATTAACATTGTAAGTGTGCAATGCCAGGGAGAGAAATTTGCCCAAGTATGCAATGCCAGGGAGAGAATTCAGTCGAAGTGTGCAATGAACAAGAAAGACTTTTGCCCAGACAACAGCACTTCCATCCACTCTTCCATAAATTCAATCGATTTATGATCACATCTATAAATTCAATCCATTTATGATCACATCTCAAGAACTATCTAGAAGTGGCCACCCCTGACAGTGAAAACTAAGAACCTGGCTTGAAAAATCTTGACACTTCCTCTTGAGCCACTTCAACATAAAAATCGGGGAAATTCTAGAGCTAATGTAATAATCAAAAATCACATACCTTTGCACAACAAAATATGACAAGCAGATCAAATGAATCTGAAAATAAATCAAAATGAACAAAAATTCAATACAAGAGATATCCATTCAAATTTAAAACATAATTGAGGAGAGATGTTCAGGCTAATCTATTGCTAGATCTTGAAATGGCCTTATGATCAAACTGCTTAAAACTTAACAGGACAACAAATAGGCCCTCAACAAGTTACATTACCATAGCAAGTCAAATTAATGATTTCAATTCAAGACATAGAGACAATCTGATTTAAACACAGATCCTATTTCGTTTCGTTTTATTACCAGCATTATATTACCAGCATTCTGGTTGAAGCGAGGGATTAGCCAATGAAACAGTCTGTTACGGTGAGTTTTTGGCATGCGATGCGTGGAATTGTGGGTAAGCCACTAGAAACATCAAAGCTGATTGATTAATCAATGTCTGACGTCATAGGGTCAAAAGCTGCTTGTGGAACCCCCGACACAACCTTCCAGTACAACCGTTCAGATCTTCATGTAATGTACTGTAGGCCATCGTAAGTATTAAAAAAAAAAACGAAATATAGATCTGTATTTTAATCAGATTGTAATCTAGACCTACCATAAATACTTTTTTAATTGTCGATATCGGTAGATGGAATTTTCGGACACATGTTTCAGAATATTGTTTTAAAGATAGAAATAATATCTTGTTTTAATCTATAAGTACCACAATTTCTATTAGTTATACAAATATCAATGTCGAATGAGATTACATTACACAGTTTAGTCAACCACAATATGCTCAATATTTTTCCTGGGCACGTGCTGAATCTACTTACCTCATTTAATTAATGACTTGATTTTAGTATCTGCAATAAAATATTAATAGTTAATAATGATCAATTGTCAGTAAAATTATAATTGAACACTTGTTCAACTAACAGTTCATATTTTCTTATAATACTCAGTCAATAATTTTAAGATTTGAAATCACAAGCCATTCGGGCCAGTAATTACAATTTTTTACAAGCCCAAACCCATTTCACTGGCCCAAATATTTAAAAGGAGTAATACAAATTTTGTTTTAAATTCTCTATTCTCTTGAAAACAAATATAACAAATTTTCATGTTTGTTTAAAATGGCGTATATTTATCTTCTTTTTTTTTTCAAGTGATTTACAAAAAAAACACATACAATTGGAATAAAACTGTTGAGGGTTTCAAAATTTTCCACAAGCCTGGTCGTACTTGTGGTTTTTAAATTTTTACTGGCCAGACCAAAAATCTACTAGGCACAGAAATTCTGCCCAGTGCTAATTTCGCACACTGATACATCAAGTCAACTTATGAAAAATAGTAAATACAGTCATTAAAAAATCATGTGTTAAATTTTGTAGAACAGTTTACTTTGCAATGCGAGGGACAAGCCTGGAAATAACTTTCAAATGTATGTCTTGACACCATGTTAGGCTGGATGAACATTCTGCCCAACATTCTAAAGGCAGGGTGCTATTTTATCTCAGGAATCAAACACGAACATGATGTTTAATGAATGAATAATTGGGTGATGCTTCCTACGGATTTAAAATAGATACCACCCATTGAGAACTTAACTATTTTTTTTTATGATTAATAAATAAAGTAAGAGCGATTTATTAACTGTTCATTACAATATAAATCACTAATTTCATCGGCACATATCATACATGATATAGCCAAGCTTCCCGTCTTTTACAATGTTGTACTAATCACGCAACAATTTCCCGTCTTTTCTATAGGGTTGAAAATACGATCTTCTTTTGGGAACTTATTTGTTTGTTGTATTATTAATTGATAAAGTATTATTTAGATTATCAGTCAATAAATGTTGAAAACAATACAAATCTTGACCAATCTCCTAATTTATTTTTTTTTGACATCGCAAATCTTAAAATATAAATCCTGTTTATAAACTGTAATGGCTACACAATCTATGTAAATGTTACTGTGAAAACATGCAGAGATTAGGAAGTTTCACCTGACAAGTTCTAGAATTTGGTCGTATTTTGTCTATGTCCGACTAATCATTTCCAGGCGTGGTGAAAGAGGAGAAAATGTTGCCCAGATAACTCCTTCACATCTAAACTGCATGCCAGTGTGTACAGATGCAGACTGATATTTTGCAATCCCATTTGAATGACTTTACAACTCTACAAATGTCATCCCATGGCAAGTAAGAACAGGGCTTAAAAATCCTAATTGTTCTTCTTACCCCAGCACAGCTTTGATCCCAGTAACTCTAGTAAAGAGTTATTACCTAAACTGCTGGACTTTTTGTGTCGGTGAGCTAAGTCTGCATTCATCAAATATATGTGTTATTAAATCCTTTACAACAGCTGACAGCTCAAGATCTGTTTAACTAAGATTTCAACTTACAATTTTGGACATAATAAATAGAAGCAAGTTCCATAAATAAAAATGTAAGAAACATGCTATGAAACTTACTTGAGATTTGATATGAAAGGCAGTGCTTCAACTCAGATTTGGCAATGGAATTTAAACCCTGAAAAGACAAAAACATTTCAGACAACTTAAAATATTGGGACATAACAGCATAAATAAACTGTTAAATTATTGGTTTGATTATTATAAATTTATTTTAAGTCGTCGTACAAGTTAACTGAGCTGTTTGGAGCAATTAAAGTACCGATATGTGAAAGATTAAACTCATTGCGCAACACCACTCCCCCACCCCCACCGATGAAAAGAAAAACATTGATAAAGCTAACAGTAAGGCCGATATCCAAACCCTAATCCCAAAATAAAAATCTGCTAATTAAATACTTGCACATTTATCTGTTTGACCGTATCAAACTTAGTTACAGTTCTGATGTAATAAAACTATACACAAAATTTCACCAATCTCACTCAATTCAAATTATATAGTGTTCTAAAGCATCGACAAATCGATTTACTTTTCTCTTAAAGTAGCTTAACTCAATATCTTCGGAGGATAAAAAAAAAAAAAAATTTTAATCAGAAAGTTTCAAGAATGGTATGGTATCATATCATCAATTATCAGTCAGTTGGCACAATAGAGACACATTAATCCATGATCTTTGTGAAATATGGTACCGGTAACGAAGATGATGGCTTTTAAACACTTCCTTAAAGTAATTGCTAATACAACAGCATGATATTGATTTAATCATCAATACAGACATATTTTTAAACAGTATCACAATTTTTTTGTAAAAATTACAAAAACATGAATTTTCACAAGGCTTTTCCTTTCAGCATTCTGAAAGTCTACTGCAATCTCTGTTGAAATCATATCTTCAGCACATAATGTTTGAAACACAAAGCACAAAGAGAAAATAAAAATATTAAAAGTAATAAAAGAGATAAAAGTCAAGCTACTCACCTTAATAGGATAATATGTTGATTATACTGCAAGGCAAGATGAAAGATCTTTGGATTATTAGCTGAAAGATGATACAAGTTAGACAAAATTAGAACAATTTGGTAATTAATATACCAATATCATTTGTTTTATTGTTCAAACACAGCTGATTGACGAACATAACAAAATGGTACGAGTACTAGTTCAGTATAAAATACTAGAGGGTAATTGGATAAATGTATACTATAAGCTCAAGCTGTGATAGTATTTCATATAAAAGTTGCACTAACATAGGTGACAAAGTCTGATTTTCAAATTAAAATTCCTACAATAAGATTATCGAAAGTTTGAAGCATCGACATCCGAGTTAGGAGTGAACCAAAATTAAAATTTAGAAAAATGCTTGCAGATAATAGTGTTGTTGGATAAGCAGGGGTGCCTAATATTGAAGAAAGCTCATTCTTTAGCAACCTGAAAGTGAAACATCAAAATATTTCACAAATTTGTTTCAGACCTACCGCTACATTTCATGCTACATTTCATGCTACATTTCATTTACGATACAAATTTTACTTTCTTCATCAATCAATGATTCCAATTAGGCTATAGGTACTACTATGTGATGCATATGAGTAAGATCGAGGAGACAGTTGAATGATACTAAAAGTACGAGGCTTCCAAGGACTGAAGGAACTACATTGTCATTGATTGTTGTTATTAATATGCCCAAAGATAGCCTAATGTATGTTGAGATTAATGTATTCCTCATAATTCCTCAAAAAAGTATTTGATTCAGCTGGCCTTCCACACAGGTATAACCCGACACTGACATAATTTGATTAAATATAATTTTATATCGAACTTCTGCTTCTCCAAAAACACCGACTACGCCCAATAAGTCTGCTGTATAGGAAAGCCTCCATCTTGAATATTCAATTAGAATCTACCTTCTTTAGCAATGGCCGACAAACAAAAATGGCGACCAGTCTATCTGCAAGCGTCACTTTGAACGACCTAATTATGTCCTTTCATTATAAACAACGAATAAAAAAAAATATCACCACAAAAAGACTGACAGAGTGGTGGTATTTTTGTGCTTAATGTACACATCTTACATGTGTTTATTATTAGAAAGACACCAAATAAATATTTATGTACGCATCATTACATTGTTACGCACTCCACTCCGATAGCCTGAGTTGTGGACAGGTCTAAAAAAGAAGGTCCCCTAGTGGATTGTTCTTGCTTAATGAAGCATTTAATCTGATAAACCCCCGTGGTCTTATATATATAAATCAATTAAGATTAATTAAAAACATGTTTATTAACAAAACAATAATTCAGACAGAAGATTTAGTAGTAAAAAAAGTGAAAACGTACCTTTTTTACACGGAATTCAAACGGTCGAGTTTCCTACCCTGGAAAGATTGCACTTGTATCACAGAAACTGCTTTGAGGAATAAGCACACAATAATATTCAAAATAATGTATCTACATAGCACCGGTGCCGAGACATTGTTATTGCCCGAATACACTAAATTTCGCAATACAGCTGAACTAACGGGCCTTTTTAGAGGCCAAGTTAGGCAGCAGACTCATCTCTTCGACTGGCTTCGTATAAATGCCGCTAAATTGCGCATGCTTGATAGTCACATGACCGGCATGGTGAAGTGCTTGCGCTGCAAAACGATCTTGCAAGCTAACCGTATCAGTGACCGTCGAGATGAGGGTAAAGTTAAAATTGTCAAACATGTCCAATGATGTGGATTTTTTGAAAGCTTAAAAAGGTAATATATTGGCAAACAACTAATAGATGCCCAAATATATTTTTGATATCACTTTTATAACTAGTAGTATTACGAGACGAACCACTGTCATTCCAGAGCTAGTGGCAGTGTGATTGTACTGTCACGTACTACTACTACTGACACATGACTGCAAGAATTAATAAGTCAATGACAGCAGATTGCCGTTGGATCTAATTTACAATGCATAAACATTTATGTACTCCCTCAATGTATATAAATGTATATTTCATCCACTTTTTATGTAATTTTCATTCACTTTTTATAGGCCTATTTTTCATCCATTTTTTTTATGCATTTTTCATCAACTTTAGTTTTAAAAGTATTTTTTCATCCATTTTCTTAATGTATTTATCATGCATGGTCAGTTCTCAAAAACATGATTATAATTTGATAATGAGTTAACTTTGTGTGTTAAATAAAAGTTTTGTGGTCTTGGCTTCCACGGCACAGTAATATCGCAGACTACTTGAAGGGTTAATTTGCTTGAAATTTACATTTAATCGGTAGGTTCCAATTGGTGTTTTCTATGAAATCATGCATGGTAATAAAATCAAACAGTTGTTAATTACCCTACAGAAATTGAACTCTCAAAACCATTTTGATTTTTAATTTTTGCACCAGGCATGCGGTGACTCTACAGTGACTTTGTGGATCGTAATCTATGGGCAATAACTGAGTAAAATGTAAAGTGTGCATTGTGTAATATTGTTTTTTTTTTTTGTCCCCCGCCTTTCGAAGAAAGCAGGGGATTATTAAAGTGGGTCAGTCTGTCTGTCCATCTGTCCGTCCGTCCGTCCGTCACACTTTTTGGGACACAATAACTCTCCTTCTAATTGACCTAGAATGTTCAAACTTGGTGTAAGTGTTTATTAGGTCAATGCCTTGATGGAGTTTGAAGATGAGCATAAGCAATTTGATTGGTTGATGCTTTGGGACACGATAACTTTAGTTCTAATTAAGAGAGTGTGATGAAAATTGGTGTATAGTTTCATTACATCAATACCTTGACTAAGTTCGATAATGAGCATTTTCTGCTCGGGGTAAGCAGAGCGATAAGCAATTTGATTGGCCAAGACTTTGGAACACAATAACTCTCCTTCTAATTGAGGTAAAATGTTCAAACTTGGTGTAGGTGTTTATTAGGTCATCTCATTGCCTTGATGGAGTGTGAAGATGAGCATTTTCTGCTTAGGGTAAGTAGAGATAAGCAATTTGATTGGTTGATGCTTTGGGACACGATAACTTTAGTTCCAATTAAGTGAGAGTGATGAAAATTGGTGTATAGTTTCATTACATCAATGCCTTGACTAAGCTCGATATTGAGCATTTTCTGCTTAGGGTAAGCAGAGCGATAAGCAATTTGATTGGCCGAGACTTTGGAACACAATAACTCTCCTTCTAATTGAGCTAGAATGTTCAAACTTGGTGTAGATGTTTATGAAGTCAATGCCTTGATAGAGTGCGAAGATGAGCATTTTCTGCTTATGGTAAGTAGAGATAAGCAATTGGATTGGTTGATGCTTTGGGACACGATAACTTTAGTTCTAATTGAGAGTGATGAAACTTGTTGTATAGTTTCATTATATGTCATCAATACCTTCACTAAGTTCCATAATGAGCATTTTCTGCTCAGGGTAAGCACAGCATTAAGCAATTTGATTGGTCGAGACTTTGGAACACAATAACTTGATGATGAGAATTGTCTGCTTAGGCTAAGGAGCAATAAGCATTTTGATTGGTCAAGACTTTGGAACATAACAACTCTGCTTCTAATTGAGGTAGAATGTTTAAACTTGATGTAGATGTTCGTCTTGACTGAATTCAATGATTAACTTATCGAGCTAAGCAGAGATAAGCAATTTCCTTGGTCGATGCTTTGGGACAAGATAACTTTGATTCTATCTGATAGAGAGTGATGAAACTTAGTGTATAGTTAATAATCAGTTTGATTGCTTGATACTTTTGAAAAAAAATAGATGTGCGATTAATTTATATGTGTCATCTATTTATTTGGGGATTTCGGCAGGGGACATCGGCCTCACTGTTGGCTTGTTTTTCTTAAAGAGTGTAGGCCTACGATTAAAGTTAATGAATATACATTGTTGTATGGTAGTATTAGAATATGGGTTGTTAAAATGGCACACAATGTTAAACCTTACTTTAATTCAGTCATGTGACGAAGGTAACAAAACACACTTGTAGTTGTGGCAGCTGCTTAGATAATCAACAAACAAAACTTGATTACCCAATCAACAATCTTAATCTCCTGACTAATGTGCTAATTAAGTGGTGAGATTAACAGAAGTCATTCTCATAAAAATTATAATAAACAAAACATAGATTACTAATGTATGAAAGTAAATGGACTTTGTTCTAAATCATAACACTACTAGAGAAAATGTGAATATGCCGCATGTTTTGTAGATTTTTTGTTACAGGAGGTCTATATTTGCAACTTTGAGTGAAGATGGTTCAATTAGTTTTAATCAGTTTGGTGTGTACTTGCCGTAAAGTGTATATAGTAACTAGTGCAGGGGCATTTCCTGGAGTTTTTGCAGGATGGGATTTGCCAGGTTCCTGTTAAGGAAATTCAACAGTTGACAATGATGCCATCATCATTTCCAAATTACATAGGCATTCATACACATTGAGCTTTTTAATGAGAGAAATCCAACACCCTGTTTGACGTCAAGTTTTGTTATGAATTAATAGGATCACATTATGATTCAATTTCATTGATGCAAAGCATTAATTAATTGTGATATCATAAAAATGTTGTTTTACAATTTTTTATTTATGTAGCTGAGCAGTGGGGGGGGGGGGGGGCGTCTGTGAACCTGGGGGCAAGAGGGGCAGGAGCAGTGGCCCTAGCTGCTGGCCCTCTCTCTGAGATAGTTTTTCTGCTTAGAACTAAGTATATGATTTCCTGCCAGGGATATACTCCACAGACCACCATTTGAGGTCGAAATTTCAAAAAATTTCTCAGAGTTGACGGGGAGTCCCCTGGACCCAATAACCCCTGAGAGGAGAGAGAGCCTGTAAAAATAACAAATGCTAAAAGCTTTTGTATATGGGGGGTTGGATGGCCGAATGGTTAGCATGTGCGCGATGTATCATACAGTCTGTCATTGAGTCAGCTGGCGTGGTTTCGATTCCCCTGTTGTACGTGACAAGGAGTAAGGTTGCCTGTCCAGCCTCGTGGTTTTCACCGGCCCTCGGGTTTCCTCCCACAGCTAAAGACGCCTACGGGCAAGCGAATTATTGAAATAAAATTGAATTATGTGTTAGTCCCGATATGACCTAGTTTGTGTCAAGTGTACCTTAAACCCCATCTCTCTCTCTCTCTCTCTCTCTCTCTCTCTCTTGTATATGATCATGGTCTGATATATGTATTGTTGTGGAAACATTGTTGTTGGAAAGTTCACTGTTCATAGGGAACAGACAAGTAAAAAAAATTGTTGGACGAATGCAGTTGATATCAAGGAAAGAAAAATAAAGGTGGTATATATATATTTTGTTTCTGACCTTTTTCAATATTTCTACTGATAGAGAAGCGGTTATTTGCCCCCGAATTTGATAATTTCACTTACATGAACATCAGCATATAATAGACTTAATGTTATTTTTGACAGACATTTTCCATGTTAGAAGCCTCTGCCGGATAGTCTAACCTTAAAGGGGCATTATGGGAGATTAGATAAAGAGGTGGCAGTTCTCATTATAATAGTTAAGAACAAGATAATGTAAAGGGAATTTGCTGAAAATTTCAGTCAAATTGATCCACTCTGAACCAAGATATTAGTTTTTGAATTTTAGCCTCGATCATCATTATTAAAGTCAGTGCAATAACAAACATAGTCTTGATTATCCCTTTTTGGATTAAATCATCAATGAGCATTGAGTAGCAAATCGGATTCAAATCCAATAAATATTGCAGGCTAGCGATTGCATCGAGAGTTGATTATGGTCTGGATAAGTTAATGTTTAATTAATAATTTAGATAACATTTCAGGCCTAAAGAAAGACCTGCAATAGGCAGATTTAGCTCTTGCATAATGTGTGTTTAATGTAATACCAGTGAGGGGTGATAACATTTTGTGTAATACATATATGTACAGGAACAGCATTTAACAAATAACAATCAGGTAAATAAATATAAGAATTCATGCACTAAAACTAAAGTATCTCTTCGTAGAAATTTATGAAATTGATGTTAAAATATTAATTAGCTGACATGATTTTGTATATATATAGAGTTATGCCTCCTCAATCATTACCTTTAACATTTATATTCACGAATTTGTAGGATTTCAAGTCTTTGGTAGATTTATGTTTAAAGATGCATTATGTAAGATTTAGATAAAGAACAGGCCATTATTGCAATGTTAGTTCAAAAATAGATAATGAAAAATGAATATTTTGGAAATTTCATTCAAGTTACTTTATTTTGAGCGAAATTCAATCTCGGCTCCCACTTGAGGTATCCTTCCATCAGTCGCTTCACAAAGATCAAAGATGGTGGCTCAAAAAACTTGTTTCTTCAGAAATTTCACATATTTAGCTGAATCACTCATATTGTGTGCTATAAATTAAACTGTTCCTGGTAAATCATCAAATCGGCTGTTCTCGAATGAACTTTTGATGTCAAGATGTGGAAAATGTTCCAAGGATCACTATCATGCAACGAGCCGATGACTAATTGTCCAGAAATCGGCAGCATTTCATTCTAACAAATCCTGCCAATCAGGAGCCACTGGGGGCAGAGCTTGGGAACCGATTTAAGACTGATTAATGGCTGGCGAGTTTTCCCAGAGATAAACGAAGGGTAAACTTATCTCTGGGAGCCGAGATTGAGCAGAGTTATCATACTCCTCGCAGTGTTTTGTTTGATTAGACCTAATTCCACTCAGCACTGCCATAATGAAAGCAAATTTCTGTTCCAAATTATGACTGCTCAACAGATTAACAACCAATACCTA